ATTTATTTTTATATATATATATATATATGAATGATCTCCTTTGATTCCTGTAGCTGCAGTTTGAGCCATAACTAACCTCAAATCAGCGGGACTAAAAGACTCGTCCACCGCAGTCCGTTGCACCCGTGATCGTTCACTGCATTTGCTGCTATGAGCCCTCGCATGGACCCTACGTCTGTCTTTGTTAGCGAGCATGACGGCCGAGGCTGAGACTGCATCGGCCTGTTTGGCAGCTCTGCCTGTGTTTGTGTGTGTGTGTGTGTCTGAGTCTGGTTTCTCTCTCTCTCTCTCTCTTGGCCTTAGGTGGACTAACTCAGACTACACCGCCGTTAAGTAAGTGCTCTGTTTGTGTTTGATGATGGAGAGAAAGGAGGGAGTGGATGCATGTTTAAAAATAAAGGGGAGTGTAGATTAACCCCCGTGGCTGAGAAGTGATATTAGAGCCTCTGCATGGCATCAGATTGCGTGTGAGCCTTGGCAAAAATGAATTCCAGCAAACAGGATTTAACAATGAAATCAAGTTTCCCATGACCCCTATATTACATAATACTAATTATTTCATGGAAGTCAACCCAACGGAAGCCCTGAGAGACAAGTGAGAAAAAGAAAAATGCAGGAGATCCATTTTCTAACTCTGATCTAAACTGTTTTCTCTCCTGTGTTCATGACTTAAGAACAAGTGAGTTCCTAACAAAAATAATCTATGCGAAACTTTTTTTGGTGATTTTTTTTTACTCCAATCAACAATAATCTTTTATCGTATATCGTGGCATAGAAAGGAAAAGATCTAAAAGTTGTTGTTTTTTTAATTTATGGGAGGAGACAATCTACTACTACTTAATGTGAGAAGTATATTTATGAGTTTGTGTTGCTCTCCAGCCCCCTGTGGCTGAAATGAATATTACAACAGCAAACACTTATAATGATGTTGATAAAACATGTAATTTTACACTACCAAAACGTTTTTCCCACCTGTTTTCACAGATGGAAAAAAGAACTTAAAACGATTTTTCCTGCAAAAAATGTTTCCCCTTTTCTTAAAGGGACAGTGTGTAGGATTTAACGGCATCTAGCAATGTGGTTGCAGATTGCAACCAGCTGAATACCCCGCTGCTCACTCCTCCCCGTGGTAACGTGAGACGCTGACTGTAAAAACCTGCGGTAGTGTCGCTCAGAGGCCATCCATATCATAATAAACACTACTTTAGGAGCAGCAGAAGTCAGACTGCAGCTGGTGGTACCACGTTTTTATGCGGCTCACGTTACTGCAGTTTCACTAGCGAGCCGGTGAGCTACGGTGGCCTTCAGGTAACGTAAAAACTCCAAAGTAGCACTAGAACCAGTGTGTTGTTTGAAATGCTACACACTGGCCCTTTAAGTCAATAAAACCCCAGGAGAGAGCACTATTTAGATCAGACCTAGAAAATGGATCACCATTTAGATTTTCCTCTAGCCTGACCGGAGCGTCCTCTCACGCTCAGTAACTTGTATCCTCACACCCTTCTTCCTCTTCCTTCGACTCCCTCCCCTCTCAGAGTGTTCGGTTTCGTGGCCAAGAAGCCGGGCAGCTTGGCCGAGAACGTCTGCCACCTGTTTGCCGAGTTGGACCCCGAACAGCCGGCCTCCGCCATCGTCAACTTCATCAACAAGGTCATGTTGTCACAGCGCCGGTAGAGGGAGACGGAGAGGAGAGCCAGCTCAGAGCAGACAAGCGGAGGCAGAAGTGACTGCTTATGTTGTGCAGAAGTGGCCTAGTGCCAGTGCTTGTTCGGGCCGTGACGCTAACGCAGTCTTTGTCAACCAGTTGGCATGAAGACCATTTTGAAGGCTGAAAATCCTAGTCCATGATCCCTACTGATGCTTTTTCATTTGTTCAGTTTTCCACTCTGCTCCTGAAATGTCCACCTTTCCCTGAAAGGTTGGTTGATGTTATAACACTCCATGTCATTTGTTTCTAATATGTTCAGTGTTACAACTCCTCCAAGGACAGGGAGGCTTCAGAAGAAACTTTCCAAGAACACAAACAACCATCTACCAGGGGCTTGTGCCATGAAGAGGAAATGAGTGGGTTATCCAGCCGTCTTTGGGCATAACTCTGGATTTACTGGTGTCATGAAGCTGGCTCTCTTTTCAGAGCAGGTTCAGCTCAGAGTCAACATGGATCAAGATGCTGACCTGGACAAAAACTACAAAACAAAGTGACGCGTGATGGCCTGATAATTATGTCAAGAGATAGATGACACGTGTCAAAGCGGGACATTTAGCGCCACATTAACAGACTCATGAATGCCAAGTACAGATGCATACTAATTGTGCACACCATTAATAAGCTCAGTAAATCATTCTGGTAAGATTGGTCTTAGTAAGCATTCATTTCTCTTCTTGAGATATTTTATACTTTTACTTTCTGTACTTAAGTATCACTTATGCATAATACATATGATTCATGAGACAAAATGTGACGATACTCATTGCTCGACTGAGTATGGAGTAATGAGTCTTGAATATTTAACTGGTGAATTAAAGCCTCGCTGTGCGTTCCAGTACCCGTACTACTAAACTATTTGGAATGCCAGAAGAAAGATTTAGTACGTCAAATGCAGTGTACGTCAAAAGTACCAGGATGTTCTGCTACATCCGGTCACATTTTGCAATACGCAAGCCAGCGGGCTTTTCTGGCTGTTCTGACCCACAATCCTTTATGTTGCAGAGCAAGAGGGGCAAAGTTCTAGGTGCCAATGTTATGAGGAAGCAGTTTGTCCCAATTTAGTGCATACTGCTTCCAACAGTACGTACTAAAAGGAAAAGGTTTGCGATTTGGAACGCAGCTCAAGTGTCCAGAGACTCACTCATGCTCCTGCTTATGGAACAGCTTCATGACACCGGTTATCCAGAGTCCCAGACGCCCTGGTTAAACACAGCTTTTATCATCTGGGTCCGACTGGTGCTCAGTGTACAAATGACAGAAGTGTCAAACAGCAGCTCTAAGGACGCACACATGCAGACAGTGGGTACATCCCAAGTCTCTTAATTCTCATTTCCTCGCTTCTCGATCCTCGCTTGAACCGGAAGTTGTTCTGCGCCGCCATATTGACGGCCGTCCCAAAGCTCTTATTTAGCTCTGAGGAGTGAGGATGGAGGAGGGAGGAGGGATCTCTGAGGAGCCATGAGCGAGGACCCACGAGAACAGACTTACAGGAAGTCTTTTTACGGCCGACATGTCCCCTCATTGTTCATCAGTCATGTGATTGGACGCTGCAGCCGATCGGACTGATGAGATTTTTTTCAACACGTAAACAGTGACGACGGATCACAGATTAAACTCTAGTATATATTTGATTCGTTTTCTGATTCAACATCTGGTTTAAATAAATGTTCATTGTAGTCTGAATAACAAAAGGACCACAAACAACTTTCTTCATTTATTAGAAAGATTTGTGTTTTCATGATCTGAACTTTTATTTTGGAAACAATTAAAGTCAGAGGGAACTGGAGAGACGAAACACATACATATACAGTAGAGAGAGAGAGAGAGAGAGAGAGAACACTTTTTACATCATTTATCATCATTTCATTCAGTCACGTGAGGCTGTTCATTCCTGATTGTCAGGTTTGATGAGTTTTATCATTTAAGAGAAACAATAATCATATTCTGGGTTATTTAATATCGACTTCACAATCTGAATTTCAAAACGTACAGACGCAAATAATTCATAAATAAGACGATCGCATTCCGCCGGTAGAAATGGATCCTGTGCTTATAAACAGAACACAGGACACAGTTTGTTAACAGACTACAGAGAGAAACACCTCTACAGTGGTGATTACTGTGTGTCTTTAATAGTTATTAGTATTATTAGTTACTATTATTAAGTACAGTGATCATGTGAACAGACACAAACTTATCAAAAGTCTCTCCAGCTGTTAAAGCCGACTGACAGCTGATCAGCTGTGATCAGCTGATCCTCCGTCATCAGAAACAGACGTCGCTTCACATGACGCAACTGAGGAAAGGACGTCTCAAAACATATTTCCTCGTTCCTCTCTCCTCGCATGGTTTCCTCCATGCATCCCTGGAGGGAGGGACTAAGACGCAAGGAAAGGACCCAAGTGAGGGAAACGGGGATGCAATTAAGAGAGTTGGGATGTACCCTGTGTGGAGCGGCTACAAAGAGGACCTTTCCCTGCACTGCTCGAGGGCCCACGGAGCCCTGTAACCTTCCAACACTTCCACACAATAACTGCCGTTAAACACAGCAGGTGTTTCTGTTTTCTTCGTTTGAATATACAGTGCCAAAGCCCTGATGATGTAATTTAGTTCCTATATCTATATATGTTCAGGTATATCAGACGTATTTACAGCCACTCTTGCCTTTCGACAGCACCTTTTATAAGTTGTGACACGTTTAATCACAATCGACAATCATGGTTGTTTTTTCAAACTCACGTACACTTAATAATCAGAGCGAGCGAGAGACGACAGTCTCTGATGAAAGCAAACGTGAATGTGAGGTTTTTAGCTTTTAACAAGTGTGAGTGTGTATGTGTGAGGGTATTTTCGGAAGGTAATGTTGGGTAAGGGAATCAGTAACGTCCATTTTTAAAGAGAAAGGTATGTGAAAGAGCTAGATGGGGAAAGGACGTTGTGTTTGGAGCATACTTTTGCTGTCCACAGATTATAAAACATATTCACACAAGTTAAAGAGAGGACCGGTAAACACAAGCGAGGCGCTGGCCTAAAGACGGATGTACTTAACCAAAGACAAAGCACTCTTGTATTAATAAGCTTTTTATCCAGCTATATTTTTGTACTTATTGCATTTATTTAGTGTGTTGCCTTGTTTGGTATAAATAAAATAAAAACTAGAAAAACACTATTTGTATTACAGCGATAATATATTGTCTGTTGTCTTGTCGATCTGTATTATGTAGTAATATATTTTCACATGCAGCTATAGGACAACGTATGAGACATAAAAAAGGAAACATTTGTATGTTTGAAAAGGACATTATGCTATTTTGTATGCAAAAAAAGGAGAAAAGAATTAAACTGAAATGATGTGGTACCTGAAGTGCTTTTGGGGGTCGGTGTTTTTTTTGGGGTAAGGGCCGCAGCTATTGATTATTAATTTACACAGGTAATATATTCACTTTAAGACGAGGCTTCTAGTTTCCAGCGACTAATTGAAAAACAAAGAAATCTGAAACAAGCATTGGAGTTCATCATTAGTTTTATTTATTCACACGGTCCCTTTAATTGCATGACAATATAAACTGTATTCTTTTAAAAACCCTGGTAAAAATTCTCAGTCACAAATTTACAAATAACCGTCCCTTTAAAAAAAATGTAATCACAATTGCTTTGACACTGTTATGACACAGCCACTGTAGCAGAATACTTTGTGATGTTAAATCCACCACCAAGATGTGTAATAAACGTACTTCCTGGAGCAGTTTCCCCCTCTATGACACGAATATGGGCGTACACCCCAAATCTAAAAGCAGTGTGCTTAGACCTGCTGTGAAAGCACTTTTAATAGCATTTAAAAACATCCGGGATAAGTTGAATGTCGTTGTTAAATAACACCGTAAAAGCAATAGGTTTAAGAATGTGTCCCGAGTTTTTAGGTGCCAAAAAAAAAAAAAAAATTTTTTTTTTTTTTTTTTAATCGGCCATTAAATTATCCCTTCTTTGCATCGCATCCAAAAACAGAAAAAAAAAAAAAAAAAAAAAAATATCAGCAGTCTTCGCATTTTTTAAAGAAAAGGCAGCAGGACTGTCTGAGACTGTTGCAATACGTTTGCAATGACTCGGGACAAATTCTCCCCAGTGGAACATTCAGCAGGTCTAAAACAGCTCAATGAGCCGTTAACTAAACTGGTATTGTAGACATGGTGAGTTCAGACAATCAGCCCCAGTAATGCACCTAAAACAAGTGGCAAGAAAAATATAAGCCTAACAACAACCACGACAAACCCCTATATCTGTTGCATTCTGGGATGTCCGCTGAAAACCAATGTGTAGTTTAAAACTTCATCATTCAATGGCACAAGTTAACATTTAGGTTCCCTGTGTCGGAGTGAGCTCAACAGAAAGCACCATTTGGTATTTTGCCCGCTGGTGACGGAGAAGTGATCCGTCCACTCACAGCAGGAGAGGCGGCGGCGCTGGCGGCGAGCGGTGCTGCCTGGCCGCCCGGTAGCGCGTGGTGTTGGAGCCGCAGTCTATGTAGCGGTAGGCCTCCAGGCTGTTCTGGGACGTTCGCACCATGTACGAGGTTTTCACCGTGGTTCTGGAAACAAGCAGCGCATTCCAATAGTTATCACAAAGAGCAACGATGTGGCAGCAGGAATGACCATAAGTCTCTGTGCCGTCATATTTCATAACAACTAGCGAGGAAAGGCTGCAGAAAGAACGCTTCAGTCTCCAGTGTGGAGATGACACGGAGTGGGTTTTTCTGTCTAAACTACAAAAGCAACAATTCTAGAAGTACTGGTGCCGCAGTGTCACACAAGCACTGACTTTGAGGAAGTGGCTCTTGTGTGAACACACAGCTGCCTCTTGACTGATTAGCACTCGAGTGCTGCTGCTGCTTCATGCTTCTACGTTTCAGAGAGAAATAGAGTTCCCGTTACTCAGCTATGTTTATCTGACAGCTGGACTTACGTTGCAGATTTTGTACTTTTATTTTCAAGAAAATATATTTTCAGATTCTAAAATGTGATGATTCCCCAACGATCAAGTCATTTTAGTCCTTAGTTTGATTTTATTATAAAAAAAAAAAAAAAGAAATGTTTGTAGTTGGTTGAGGATTTTCTGAAGATATTTGTGTGTTGCAACCTGCAGTATCCTCTCATGTCCAAGGAAAAGATTAGAAAAGAATGAAATAACACTTTTGAGGTTTTTGCCCAGAACTTTAGAAAGTAGGCAACAAGAACTCTACTTTTACTTTTGATAATTAAGTGAACAGTAGTTTGCTGCCAGTGCTTCTTAGCTTCTACTTGAGTAACATTTTCAACAGAGGACTCCTACTTGTAACGGAGTACTTTCACACAGTAGTCTCAGTACCTTTACTTAAGTATAGCATCAAAGTACTCCTGAAAGGTAGAGATATACTTACTGCATATATACGACAATGTTGTGGACCTTAATGCTGGGCATGGAGCAGAAAGCGCTGGAAAAGAAACAGAAAAGGTTTAGATTGGAATACTGACTTGGAGCGTTATTCCACCCGTGTTCTTTGTGTAATTTACATGTGGCTTTATCGCCAACACAGCAAAAAAACACAAAACTTGAATGTGTTTTAAGTAAAAAAGAAGAAAAAAAAAAGCCTGTGCTACAAACTAGAGGTGTGGAGCTGAAAAGATGTAGACATTTAGGAGACAGGGAGGCTCCAACAGAAGATGCTGTCCCGTTGCATCGTGGGAAACATAGGATCGGCCGTGTTTAGAGCTTGAGCCACACTAGGGACTTAAAGCCGGGGGAGGGACTCAACCTGTGCTACTTCAACCTCGACCAATTTTTCATTAATCCGTCTCTCTCTCTGCCTACTTAATGGAAGTCTACATGTAGAAACCACCGGAATGACCCTAGAAGCCGATGAGAACAGCTCAAAAGGAGATCATCATCAAATATAGAAAAAGAGAAGTTGCATTTCTACGAAGCCACTAGAACAATCAGTTGGAGTAGCTTAGGCAGGTTTGGGTGGAGACACTTACTAGACGTAGGGTGCGCTGCTACCGATCTCCACGCTGACGGTGTAGTTCACCTGCAGGAGACACAAACACAGCACGCTTTAAAGTTAGCTAGAGCCGAGGACGACGTCATACTCGAGTATGTGAGGAGCAGCTGGGAAAGTCAAAGGATGAAGTTCGACATCTTTGCTGTTGGAAACAAATCCAATAAGAATAACAATACGTCCCCAAACTCTCTACGGCGGTCAGCAGCGAGGCCATTCATTCCTACCAGAGATTTGTTTACAAAGGTTCAATCTGTTCCTAGATCAGCTGGTACTGCAGTATTCAGCAGATGGTACCGGCACAGATCCATTTTGTACATGTACTTGATGATGTAATAGTCTACGGCTGTAACTAACTGTTATCTTTCATTATCGATTAAGCTGCAGACTATTCCCTAGATTATTCTTTTGGTCTATAATATAAAGAAAATATAAAAAAATGTCCGTCCCGGTTTCTCAAAGCCCAAGACGATGTCTTTAAATGTCTTCAAAACGTTAAAGATCTCCACATTAGGGAGGCTAAAAACAGCATTATTTATATTAAAAATGACTCAACGGTGAATCAGTTATCGAAATAGCGATTATTTTTCTGTCTATTGACTTATTGTTGCAGCTCTAGGTTGTCATATTAGCGAGTGCTGTACTCCTGTTGGATGATTATAAACTGCAGCTCCCATCTCTGTGCTCGTCAACAGTGAGCAGCACAAGTCAGCCCTGGTGTTGTTGACAGTAATGAAGAATGGCGGCAGCCTCATTCTGTCAGTGTGTTGTTCTTCAGGAGCATTTAACCCTTTAGCTCGTGTTGTAAACACGTCTATGCATGCTTTAAAAGTGATTGTTAGCATACTGAACTCTGTACCGGGAGCAGTGTCTGGAGCAACCAGTGATAATGTTTATTGCACGCACACGCGCACGCACACGCACTAAACGAGTGGGTTTTACCTGACTGTAACCGAGCGGCAGGATGGTGGTGACACTGTCTAGCTGCTGTGTTCCGATCACCGTCTTCATGTAAAGGACCTGGCAGCTCACGCTCTGCACCAGCACCGAGAAGAAGTTTGGGTTGCTGAGGTTCAGAGTGCTCTGGGGGGGGCAAATAAAAGAAGAGAGAAGCTTGACAAAAGGAAACATGTCTTGCGTGGATCCTGTGAGATTAAAAATGGGCCTCTGGTATGATAACAGAGGCTCTATTTACAGAGAACCGCTCCAATGAGACACTTCAGGTTCAGACCAGAATGACATTTATTCATCGTATGGGCACACGTACCTGTGTGCCCATACGATGAATAAATGTGGAGTTAGACTGTTTTGCATCCCTCTTGATATACTTACACAGAAACACAATAAGAGTTAGGAACCAGGAAACATATGAAACATTAATAATTTATAGGAACATTTGGATTAGGGCTGCCACTAACAACTACTTTCAACACTATTATCAAATATGTTCTAAATGCATCGATTCATCGCTCTGTCAACATTTAAAAAACAAAAGTTATAATTTAGGTTTAAAAAAAACACAACCCATTTTTGTTAACGGTCATTATCACAAAAACAAACGCATCCAATCAGCACGACTGAAGAGAAAACATTTAGACACATTGAGCCTTTGATCTACTCATCACATGAGCTCTCATTTAAGGACTCCGCTGAACCGGATCACTCACTCACTGCCACAAAGTGAGGATGCAAACAAATAAGATTTATTATACATACCACACAAATCTGACTTCAGAGAGTTGAAGTTTTTATAATCGCCGAGGGAGAAACACCGCTCTGTGTGATGCCACAACCTTCATCCTCCAAAATGAGAAACAACCCTACCGTCATGTTCATGAGGACGTTCATGCCAGAGGGGTTGAGGAGCACGGTCACCGAGTGTATCCCATCGTCCACCACAACCACGGAGCGAGGGAAGAGGAAGAAGGCCACGAGCGAGGACGCAAGGAGGCACAACACCACCGACAGGACCACGTACAGCTTCCTATGACAACAAACAAAAAGTAGGTCCTCTCTCACCTAAAGCTTGGATACACATTTTGAATGACGTATAAAAACAACTTCACTTTGAGAACTACAGAGAATGTACAGCGTGCAACAGAAAGCTTCTCATCTTTCTCCAGCATGGCCGAGATCCTCCTCGTGGCCCCTTGCTCGGCACCCGTGGAGAAGCTGCGGATGCTCCATGAAGCTGCGGAAGGTGTATGCATGTATGTATATATAGATATATATAGATATATATAGATATATATAGATATATATAGATAGATAGATAGATAGAGATAGATATAGATAGATAGATAGAGATAGATATAGATAGAGATAGATAGATATATATATAGATATAGAGATAGATAGATATATATATAGATATATAGATATATAGATATATATAGATAGAGATATATATATATATATATATATATATAGATAGATAGATAGATAGATAGATAGATAGATAGATAGATAGATAGATAGATAGATAGATATACTGTGCTTTGTTTGTTGTTGAGTAAGTGGCATCCACTTGTAAACCTCTCAGCACTACATTCAGCACTTTAAAGCTGTAGCTTACAGGAGGCGGAGCCTCTACCAACAGGGTGTGCATTCAGTGATTAGGGTGTGATTTGTTCGTTTCTACACCTGTCACTCCAGCTGAACCATGTGTGCTCTGATGAAGGTCCTTTAGACCGAAAGCTAAAAAGAAATAAAAGTGTTCTCTGCGTAGATTGAAGTGTGTGTCTATTCTACCAGTTTCAAAACGAGCAGAATCATTAGGAAATGGAATGAATGAGAAACAACAAAAGTACAGCGTGGTTGCTCCAATGGTTCAGGTGACTCAACTAAAAATCTTTCAACCGATTTACAGCAGCCGACCTGTCGTAACAACAACAACAACAGGTGTTCTCAGGCAGCTCACCATAGGTCCTGAGGCCTGAGCCTGTCAGTAACCGCACTCACTGTGTCTCTCTCTTTCAGCACCAATACACGCAGTAAGATTACTCACGTTCTTTGGGGCCGCAGCCTTTGGTCGCTGTACGGGATCAATGCGACCAGTTCATTCACTTGATCTATCGGGAGGGGAGATAGCGGGTCATGCAACATGCTGATTAGTGTCTCCCTGATTAGAGTACATTTGATTGGGACACAGGGCGAAGCCTCTGAGATTGCATCAATGCATTCAATGATATGCTATGAGAAAAGTCTGCTCATCAAAGGTTCAAGCAGAACCAACAACAAAGTAACATTGTTGAGTCTGAAATTGAATATGTATTACATGTGTATTTATCATTAAGTTCACACTTATTAGGCCTTGGTGTAACTTTAATTATCAATAGTTTTGTCCAGGTTAGAGTCCATCTTCAGTGAGGTGCTTAGCTTCATTCGCGCTAGCGTTGGTCCTACTCACCTGAGGGTATCCGTCCGGTGCCTTGGCACGTTGGACACGTTATGCTGTCCCTACCGGTGAACTCCACGTAGGGGAACTGAGCTATGTCCTCCGGTCGGACGAGCCCGTCCAGAGAGGCGTTGTCCGAATCCTCCTCTTGCCGCTCGGAGCGCTGCCTCTCCGGGAGGAGCGACAGGCTGCTGCCGCTGCGAGACCACAGTGTCCCCATGGCAGAGGGCTCAACGCGCGGACGGTCAAGCCAGTTTCCAACCGAGTACCAGGGCGGTCTGCGTGGGAATGAGAGCGAGCCGTTCAGCCATGAATACACACGCCAGCATATTGACTCGGGAGCGATAGGTCAGCTGGTTATCGACATAATGCCTCTCCTGTGTCCGCCAGTAACGATACAGCTGACGGAGTCAAAATGTAACCTTAGCGGGCTGCAATGTTGTTCTCTGCTAGCTAACTAGTTTGCTAACAGGTGTTCTACAAGTGAGCTCTGAGTTCAGTGACTGTAGCCACCCGTAACGTTAGTTAGCTTACTTACATTTTAGACCAAACAGCTCAACGTATCCATCCCAAAGTTGGGTTTACACTGGCGTACTGTGTGCCCTCCGTCATACCTGCGTTCATGATATGTACATCACATACATCCGTCTTCTGCTTCTTTTTCTTCTTCTGTGGTGTTTAACGCCAGCTTGCATCCTATTTGTTGCATTACTGCCACCTTCCGGTCTCAGTCAGTTTCCACCTTGTCCACCTGCTAAAGTTTCCCATCAGTCCCGCTACTCGCAAGAAATTGGTAGAGCCCAGATTACTTGAGCCCCACTCCAGAATATTCTTTAGCTCTCTTCCTCTCATATCCAGACTTTGCATTTCCTCCAGCATGCCCCCCCACAACATTCTTTTTTTGAAATCTATTGTAAGTGGTGATAGCATGTTAGCACAGTTTCTGGTGCCGGGCAGTGCTCACAGAGGCCGGTTGGAGGATTCCACTGTTGTATTCTCAGCCTTGATCCTTGATATTGCGATATAGGGGAGGATATTTGTTTCCTCCCCTATATCTTACACTGCCCACTTTATCTTGCATTGGGTCTCTCCCTCGGCTGTTTCCATATTTTTTCCTGATGCTGCCCTTTCCCCTCTGCTTTGGATAACTTGATACAGATGTACATATTATTTTTCTTTAGTGCTTGTTCAGCTAGTTTGTCCACTTTTTTTATTCCCTCTGATACCCGTGTGAGCTGGAATCCATATAAATATATTAAAATATGCATACAACTCGACTGTATACACATCAAAAAAAAATATGGTTTGAAATATTTCAATTTTGTAACTAATAACTGTCTGTAGCTGGGTCTTCTGATCCATCGGTAAAAACATGCATTCTGCTTCTTCTTAGAGGTTTTACAGCAGTTCAATGCATCACTCCTGGATATACTCCTCCCCAATGTTGGTTACTTTCAAAGTCGGTTTCTGCCCTCCACACGTTTATTTTCATGATTAACACTTGAAATGAAGAAGGCACTTGGAAATATCAAGGACAATGACACTATAGCATTAGTATTATTCACTAATTAAATCAGTGTTTGTTTTTGCAGTGTTTAATATTCCACAGTTTCAGTTTCACACATGAACGTTCCAATACCAGCTTCAAGCTATAAAATACAATATACACCACACATGCATATTTGATTTATTATCCACTTGTGTAGAAGCAAATCAGTAGTTTCTGGCATCAGAATCATTAGATGGTGGATTAAGCTGTGATTTTCTACTTATCCTGGTTTAATTTAGCCGTGAATCTGGTTCATGAAAGCAGTGGCACATACATGACCTTAGCGTTTTAACTATTCTGTGCAGCTAGCCGGCTCCAGATCCGTCCAACAGCCAGGCTGGATTATTTTGACTAACCATTAACATATATTACTTTTTTTAAACCATACAGTCTGCTTTACTGAGGCGAAAAAACTGAAAATGAGTCGGACTAACCAAAATAAGCCTGGCTTATTTGGTAAATTCGCTTTTTGGAACAGACCCCAGGACACTACAAATGGAACTGTTCCTTTTGTAGATATGATCAAACTTTCTGCCCTTCATTGTAATATATATATATATATATATATATATATATATATATATATATATATATATGGTATTTCTCTGTGGTACTTCAGAATTTCTTTAGTTATTCCTGAAGGCACAAGAACACACCTACAATTGAGTTAACATGAAAAAGAATAATAACACATCAGCAATTATTGCTATTATTCATTATGAGGGTAAACAGTATATAACAGGGTCAGTAGTTTATCTTTTACAAGTGTTTTAGTGTGTATGTGTGCAGAAGTGCAACCGCATATATTAGTAGCAGGAGTTAGTTAGTCTGTCCTGCAAGCAGCCTCTTCAGCTCAGCATTCTCTCTTTGCAGCATTTTGTTCTGGAAAAAAAAAGAGAAAAGAATGAGAAAAACGAAGGTAAACTGAGAACCAACAAATGAACAAAATAAATTCTGACCCAAGCTCCGATAGCGATGTCAAATCCAAAGCAGAACTGACCTTATGTCTGAGGGCCTCCACGATCAGGTCTCTTCCTCCCCTGATGCTCTCCTCCTTCTTTGAAGCTCGGAAGGCATCCCCGATAACTGAGACCAGCACATGAGACTGAAAAATTCATACTTCCAATATTAATATCGGTAATCTCCCGCTCAAATAACAAAACAAACCATCAAATTGCTCCTGTAGGGAATGGATAGCTGCACTGGATTAACTCACAAACGTCTTGCTCTGGAACAGATAACAGTGGTTCATGTCTGCTGCAGGGTGTCTGGCCACAAACCCAAAGACTTTGGGCGAAGACGGCAGGACGGCACAGAAGGAAATGGTGGACAGAGGGCACGAGTACAACAAAAACTGAGGGTAGGAGAGACAACAAGGAGATTAAAAGCGATAATTCAACAGTAAAGAAAACATGCAATCGAATCTTGTGCATCCTCGGACCTGTGCGACTAACTGGCACACACCTTGGTTTTGTTTTCCAACACGTCGATTCCACTCAGCGACAGGAAGAGATGGACTTTGCTCTTCTTCGCTGCCTTTTCTGAGGAGAATTTATCAGGCGTCTGGGGATGAGAGTCGATGGATTACATGTCATGTTAGTCAGTGACGGCATCTGTAGAGCCGACACGTTCATATAGAGATATAATATAGTCGATACAAAGTTGGCTTCCTGCTAGAATACAAGTTTCTGATGTGCAAAAGAATCCCAGCATCCAAGTCAGAGAGTTGCATTAACATGTACATGGAAGTGCTATAAAGGGAAGGTCTGTTTCCCTGTTAATGTGGAATAACCGACTAAAATGGGATGCGAGCGGTAGTGGCTGACCTTTAGGCTCTGAGCCGCTTCAGACAGGATCTGTAGTCCATCGGGGCGGACCACCTCAACGCGCCCAAGAAACTGCAGTTTGGAGAAAGAAATACACATGAAAGTGGGAAACAGTGTTTTAAAGAAGGCTGATTATCGGTTTAAAGTGACATGAAGAAAAGCTGCTGATACGGGCCAAACGGAGCCAAGCTATTGATCAGTCGCATTATTAATCACAAGTGTCTCACCTTCTACTTGATTCGCTACATTCAGAATGACATTTTGAGCTGTTAAAAATCCGTATTTACCTTTACTGTAAAGGAAATTTCATTATCATCCTCCGAGGTGTCACTCATCTTTAACCCGTCTGGTGTCAAACTGAACCCTGCAGGCGGACGTACAGATGAAAAATGAAGAGATTCGTGGTGACATGAATGTCTTAAACATGAAAGACGTACTGTAAATTCATCTTACCTGCGTGCAAATGTACTTTCACCGGAGGAAATCGGCTTTTTATTGCACTTCAAACTTAAGGGTGTAAAGTCTGTTGGCGTTAATGAGTAACTCGTGTCTTCCTTATTGCTCTTTCATCAGAGGTGCATGGCTTGAAATGGTGTAAATATGAACGGGACAGCAACATATCATGTACCATGACAACGACAAACAATATGCACAGTTGTGTGTATTTTATACTTTGATTTGAACGTCTTCCAGGCTCTTTCCTCACAAGATGTCATTTCATATAATATATTTACTAGTTTTTGTCAAAAAATAAATATCCTGATTTCATGTGTTTTTTGTTGAATCTTCACTCCTTAATGTTTCTGTGTACGTTTAATATGACAGGCTGAACACCCCTGTGCCGGCCTCTTTGTTTACGGCTCCATCCACATGGTTACCCCGTGTTTAACGCCCCATTGCAATGAATTGTGGGTAATTCTCTCGGGCAAAGTCTGCATTTAATGCGGACTTATGGAAAGGGCTCAAGATGTCTGCCAGAGACTCAAACACTCGATGAGTTGACAGTGGGACACTAAAACCTCTCAAAGTAAGAGTCCGTGAGTGTGAGATTGGGCCCATGGTCTGACTGGAGACTGGATTTGTTCATTCTGAGGTTCTTTTTGCCAAAACAAGGCTATGCTGCCGACCCCAACATGGTAAGCTGGTATTTCCTGCTATCAGATGCTTTGAGAAACAGATTCTACATCAGAGTTGTGTAAATTAACCCAGTGAGTTCCCAGACACTGAGCTGAATCACATATTAGTGTTCTTTCTGGTGTACATGCATACTTCATTCACTGTAAATATACACATACTGCACAAATAACCCACATGTACTGTAGACTCACTGGAAAAAAACAAAAACAAAATATCTTCCATATCAACTTTTTAATATTTGTTTTACAATAAGTGCCACTTCTTGAATGCTCAATCATATACATATACATATATGTATACACATATCTATCTCTCTTTAGCGAGTTCATACAATGTCTCAATCATAAGCCAGGAAGAGCATTATGGTCATCAATGGTTGAAGATGATTGTGGTCAGAGAAGACGAGGTGAAGCCTAAATACCCGATCATTGATTGATTTCTGAAGAGTAGAATTTAGATCAACTTTAAAACCTTTTCAGACTCAAAGAAATAAGTTTCACAGAAGAGATGCAGGCGTCGTTCTCGTAAAGATTTCAGTTACCGATCACCTTTTATTGTCTATTACAGATCCTAAAAAGCTGAGGAAAACATTAACTTGTAATGTTTAAGTTTTCATAACTACTGCAATGATGTGAAGCTGGAATTTTACCAGTAGTGTCATCTGTCTGTTTGCTGCAGAGGTGAGAGAGTGAAGAGTAGATGTAGGAGGAGGCCTTCGTCAGTGCGCTCTATGTGATCGTGGGGAGGAACAGCTGAGATGAACACCTTCCATTCAGATAGACACAGATGAGACGGAGCTCCCCTTCACGAAGACGACAGTAACAGCAGAGCTGACCCGCGGTTGTCCCCCCGGGAGGCCCCGTTCCACCCGTGTCTGCCTGCGTGGCGCTGGTGAAGCGGCGCGGTCGCCGCGGCCTACGAGTCGTCGACGCACATGGTCTCCATGGCGTTGGGAAGGTTCTGGCCCCCCCCTCCCTGCTTCTTCTTCTTCCCTCCGTCGTTGTGTTTCTTGGCTTTCTTAGACAGCTCCTGGTCGATGGGAGCGGGCTTCACGAACTTCAGGATCTCTGTCAAACCTGGAGGTGAAGGAAATAAAATAAAATACATCCTGGAAAACACCACCACTTTGTTTTTACTGTGACGGCCCTTAAAGGAATAGTTTGTCAGTGTCGCTCTGATTAATACATTGACCAAAAGAACTACAAGCCAAGCTAACAATAGGTCCCTTCATTATTCACTTTGCCTGAAGGTCATCATTGACCACAATGCTTCACAGCATCTATTGGTCATACTCGACACACACCGGATGTGAAACCCTTCGGCGCAGCTTACCAGGAGGCATGAACGGCCGGAGCATCTCTGGAACAACGATGCCTTCCTCGGTTTGGTAATTCTCCAGGATGGCGCACATCACGCGAGTGGTAGCGCACATGGTGGCGTTCAACATGTGCACATACTCGGCCTGCGTGACACACAGAGAGGAGTGTTTAGAGCAGCTGCAGTCTGGATAAAGCTTCTACCGTATTCTGGAATTAAACCTTCCGCCCAACGACAGTCGAGGTCGCGTTGTCGGGGGGGGGGGGGGGGAAATAGATGTGGAACAGCGCGCCTCACCTTGTCCATCATCTTCTTGGTCTGACCGTAGCGGATGCGGAGGCGCCGGGCCTGGTAGTCCGTGCAGTTTGAGCAGGAGACCAGCTCTCTGAAGGCACCAGAGCCGGGGAACCAGGCCTCCAGGTCCAGCTTCTTGCTGGCGGCGTGATTCAGGGCACCTGTGCGGACGTAGAGCAGCAGACAGTTAGCCGGTATCACGGTAGGATCTTCATGCTCCAACAGCAGCTGGTAAGTCCTGATTTCTCTCCAGTGATCATAGAGCAGCAGACATGTTCCATGTTACACGTGGAGCAAACCAAAACCCTCCCGGCTGCTCCAAATTCAAATCATTGCCTCGACGGAAAAAGCTTTTGGCAAACACTGGATACATTATATCAAACTTAAACCTGAGTGTAAACAATATGTTCCTTCCAGAATTGATTCGTCCGCAGATTATTTCTTCCGCTGACCGTTTGGTTTCTAAAATGTCCAAAAATTGTGAATAACACTGATCACACTTTTCTAAAGCCAAATGTGATGTCTGCAATGTACAATCTACAAACTTCTATTTCTAGAGTACGTCTTCACTACATTACCTTTACATTATGGGGCAGGCTCATCCAGAAACATGTCGGTCTCCACCTCATCATCATCATTCATATTTAGAGCCAGTATCTGTTTTCATTCTTAACACTCTGAACCCCAAAACTGAGTTTTTCACTCAGTTTTTCAGTCACATCTTCCTCTCTGTGGTCTTGATGTTCACTGCAGTTCATAAGTTCTGCACTTCTATGGAAACACTCATGGCTAGAAGTAGAGAGAACTCAAAACGGTCTTTTGTGCAATATAACAGTTACAATGCCAGAAATAATAATTTAGTTTGATTTTATTTTACAAAGACTGGAAAACAATGGAATCTATATATCCAACATTGTTCCAAGTGCCCACAAGTGTTACCACCAGGGTAGGAAATTTACATATTTTTTTGGGGCCAACTTTTGCCCCCACTGACTGAAATCCAGGGGCATTTTCAAAAAGTTGGGGGCACTTTTTGAAACTTGTGAAATAACATTTAACCTTTGTTATAAATAATAATAAATATACTTATTTAGGCTTACAGTATATGAACAATTGTCATCAAATGGCAATAATAAGACTATTAGCAGTAGTCTACAGATTCAAAGTGTTTTCTTAGATTTATTTAACAAAAAACAAACATAAATCAGACAATCATATTCAATGTTATTCTTATTTCTTTGTGGGTATTTATTGTTATTATAAAAATTTTTAAACAACTATTAACAATTACTAAGTCAAGGATGCCTTGATTACATATACATCAGTCATTGTATGGAATTATTGAGAAAGATATTTTTGTAGCAGCTCAAATATTGTGATATTACCCATTTTTGTCCTGAAATTATGCATTAGTCATTGTGTGGAATTTTTGAGAAAAACATTTTTATAGCACCTTAAAAATTTAAAAAATGTGCTATTTGAAGGTACAAATTCAGTTCAGAGTTTTTACTTAGCAAAATATCTTAGTTGACTGTCAGTCAGGTATTATTCATTAGCAACCCTCAAATCAAAGAACAAAGACACTTTATGCACAATTAAGTATGTGTACTTTGTTGGCATCTTATTCTGAAAACCGGATGTTCGTCTGAAGAAACCAGATGTTGTCTCACGTTAATCTTTCCGATAACTTTCAAAGTCCTTCGCTCGCTCCCGATCTGCGCCGTTTACCGTGAATTTCAACATATAGGTGCACTAAAATTTAAGTGTCTGCTGAGTTGACCGCAGTCACAGGTCTGATTAAGAAGTGCTCCATTTATTTATTCGTTTAGAAAGTTCGGGGGCATTTTTTGCCTCTCTCCTAGTGATATCGGGGGCAAAATTATATTTCTTAGGGGCAGTTTTGCCCTTTGCCCTCGTGTATTTCCGACGCTGGTTACCAGTGTAGTAAAAAAATAGAGGGTCCACGTGCTGTATATGAATCTATTCACATTTTTACAACCTCCTCTCCTCTCCGTGTTCAGCAGCAGTCCAGTCAAAGTGACCGTTGTCTCAGACCAATCAATCGTGGCTTCATAGTTTTGCTAAGGAGCTCAGAATTTAATGATTTTTACAGGATGTGGTTTCTTGAAACGGTTTATTGGGGGCAAGATTTTTAATGAGGCATGCAGAAAAAAGGGTTTTAAGCTTAGATTCGGTTGAATTTTCTGACAGCAGCGGTCATCACACATGATGTGTTCAAGGACCACGGGAAAGAAGAAAATGTGACGATTATGTTTTTACAGCTTCTGGCTATGATAAACTGTGTAGTTTTGTACAGAGAATAAATGCTTCTTCCATCCCTCGGGTGGGTTTTGGGTTCAGAGGGTTTTAAGATGTGTTCACTTACTTTGCCGATAAAGTGGAGATTAGTAGAATCATGTTTTGAGCAGAGTATCCCTTTTCCATTTTGTAATACCGTGATGAATTACCATCACTGCAGTACCCCCCCGCAAACATACTGCAATACATTTTAGGTGGTGTCTCCCTCCCCTACATCATTCACATACTGTAGGAGGGTCTACGAGTGCATGCTGAAGACCTACCAGAGACGATGTTGACGATGCGATAAGGAATTCCCAGAGTCTGGTAGAACTCTTCTGCCGTCCCGATCATCTCGTCAAACATCTCCCACGATTTGCCGTCGTGTGGGGAGGCGAAGACGAACTGCTCAATCTGCAAAGAGATCCTCCGTCACTTATTTATCTGAATGTTGTACTCCGATGACAATGAAAAGTCACAGAAGACACGACCGACCTTCTCAAACTGGTGGACCCTGAAGATCCCGCGGGTGTCTCGGCCATGGGAGCCCACTTCCTGCCTGAAGCAGGTGGAGTAGCCGGCGTAGCGGATGGGCAGGTCCTCGGGTTTCAGCCACTCATCCCTCAGGAAGGCCGCGATGGGCTGCTCGGAGGTGGCGATGAGGTACTTCTCGTCGATGGAGTTGTCGTCCGACTTCTCGCTGCCCTTACCGATGACCTGGGGAAAAGGAGTGCAACGGACAGAAAGGTTCACAGTCATCAGAAAACAGTCGTTGAATTTGTATTTTTATTTTTCCAGGTAAGTTTGGGGAAGAAGTGAAATCATAGTACTATCTAACGATGCGCAGTTCTCCGTTTGGGCCTCCAGGTGGCACTTCATGACCAAAAGTATGTGGACGCCTGAATATCTCATTCCAAAACAATGGCTGCTGTTTGATTTCCAAACTACTTCAAATAATGTCAGCTTGTCTGAAGGACAGAATATCTTTGAGAGGGAAACTTGAGGAACTCAGTAAAAGCCTCCGTACCTTGTAGAGCTCATCGTCAAACTGGCTGAGCTGGGCGACTTCCTGCATGACCTCTTTCCTCATGAAGAAGGGCGTGTAGAGCATGGTGTAGTTCTTGCTGTGGAGTATCCTCATGGCGTAAGTGATCAGGGCCTGCTCCAGGAACACCAGGGGGCCCTGAACACAACGGAGGAGAGGAGGAACAACAGCTTTCGTTATTTGCAGGACACAAAAGGGCAGTGACGAGTCTTCTGTGGATGCAAATGTTTCTCCTATGTGGGGTGAAACAGCTCAAAAGTAGAGGGAATGTTGGTCCGTCTGCAGTGATGTCCTAATGTCTGTGTCATGCATGTGTTGACCCTCTGACCCGTTTTATTCTACTTGTCTCATTCAAAATCTGCCCCCAAATCAACCGTTTGCTCTCACCAAAAACTGTAAAAAAAACAAAACACATTGAATTCTGCGCTCCTCATCACAACTAGGAAGCTATGACTGATTCGGCTGAGACCAACAGTCGCGTGTAAAGAATTCAGTGAAACTTCCACTGAACTGCAGGCTGCTGAGCGGAGAGGTTGTATAAATGAGAATAGATTATTGTATAAAACAAGTAGAGCCTCCAATTTATTCCAACATTTGTAACACTTGAAAAAATGTTGAATATATAGATTATATTGTTTTCCAATTTTTGTAAAATCATTTATCAAAGAAATTCAACTTGCGTATTTTTAGTTTTTTATGACTTATGGCATGGTAACTTTGTAAATACTGCAGAAAGAAACCAGCAGTTGAGTACTCTGTAGTTTCCATAGAGGTGCAGGACTTGGGGGAACTTGGGGTTAAATTTGCACTCACCTTCAGGAAGTAGCCTCTGCTGCCAGCCACAACAGCTCCTCTCTCTCCATCAAAGCCATCGATCATGACCACCAGGTCCACATGGGAGTACTTCTTCTGGACACTGCAGTCGCCCCAGGTACGCTCCACCTTGTTGTCTGCGTCCTGTCAGGAGGAAACAACAGCGAGTATGACATTAAGATAATTAGTCGGCTGTCAGAAAGTCAATCTGCGACACTTTAGATGATTAATGAGTCATTCATCGAACAAGAATGCCAAAAAACTCTCTGGTTCTAACTTCTAAAATGTGAGGATCGGCTTCCTTTCTCTGTTTTTACATCATTACCAACTGAATGTCAAGATTCCCTTCATTTCTTTCTCTCGAGCTAAATAGAACAGTTAAGGTAGAGATGGGTACTGGCAATGGCGGCGCACGTACGTGCTGCGGCCGGTAGCTCCTATGAATTTCACTATATTTCTGTCTTTGTTGTTTTTTTTCTTGTTTATAATTAATGGCGTATGACAGAATACATTCATCCTCATCTGAAAAGGAAGCATGGGGTTTGGATTAAGTGCTAGAAAAGTAATAATTCAAGACTGATCCGTGTGTGAAGCAGCGTCGATAATTTACACGACATGGTGTTGCATCTTGTGTGTGGGAGTCCAGCAGAACTGCAGACGACGACGTTTCCAGCCTCTAATACCCCCAGAAACACTCTAAAGAACTCCCTGTGAGTGCAAAAGTTGAGTGTTTGTTCCTATTAATACACAATTTGTAGTAGATCATAATATTTATATTTAGGTATATGTCCTGAAAATTGCTGCATCATTTGTTATATAATCCAATTTATTAGCAAAGACCACGCCAATCAATGGATTACCAGCTACTTGAACTGTATGACTGAGTCAGAGTGATGTAATGGGCTGCTCCTTTAACCAGACTGCGTCTCACCTCATTGTTGCTGATGGGCACAGACGGGTGCAGAAGGTTGCCGAGCTCCCTCAGGTACACCAAGCGCTCCGCCTCCAGCTTTATCCTCTCGCTGTCGCTTTTCTCCACCGCCTCTTCCACCAACACACGCACCTTCTTGACCTGGGTAACCGTCAGGGGCTGACACAGAAAAAATATATATGTGTAGACGTGCAAACAAGAGAGAGAGGGGAAAGAAATGCGTGTGTTCCGTCTGTTTTTATTTTTGTTGAGATTTGTGTGTAACATGCAAAAAAAAGCACCGCCACACAGGTGGGGGGGGTAAGCGGCTTAGCGCACAAACCCGTCATACCGAGAGCGTTTCAGCTGTTAGGGACTCCACGTTCTGTGCTTCTTCAGGTACAGACTCATCCTCTCCAACTGGCTCCTTTCTCTGCATTTACAACATGAGCAAGGTGTTAAAGAAGAACTCCCTTCTCAGGACACATAATACTGACAGAGGTTTTTATTCCTCCCGTCTCAATCTACATCAACAATGACTCATTGTGTCTTCTTAATGGCCAGATGTTTCTGTACCTTCATCTTCTCCCCAATGCTCTTGCTGCAGAGGTTTTTCGCTTTGTTCAGGTTGTCTGCAGTGAAGCGGCCTGTTAGGAGGTTAAATAAAAGTCAGTCAGTGCATGGGACTGTGCTTGTGTGTGTGTGTGTGTGTGTGTGAGAGCTGGAATTGCAGGACTGGTAACAGGTGTGAGTGTCTGTGGCAACTCACCCTCACACAGTCAAAACTGATTAAAAGATGTAAAAACAAAAACTACCTTTGTCACTTAAACACCAGCAACAATGCACCGATACAAATCATTGGTGCCATCATGCTGGATCAGAATGACTCTTTTTGTAGCTACACTGCGGGGCGAGGTTGACCTGTCGTGTTGCAGGCTGGGATTGCATCAGATCTCACGTTATGAGCCGGCATCGCTAAGCTAACCCCTGCATTAGCCAACCTTCTGTATCGTATCCGCCGATAAAACTTATGGGGATGCGTGATTAACTACAGCCTGGTCTCTCTCTCTTAACAGCCTGATATTAAGTAACTACAGTTCGCTCCGTGGAGAGTAACCATATGGTTCATTTGGATTCTTAGACGCCGCTAGCCGCGCTAGCATTAGCCCCCCTGCGTGCTGTTCTCTTCCTCTGTGGTATCATCATGCCAAACCTCGTTCAAATCTGGCTATGAATTGTTGCCAACGCTTCTGACAAAACCCCGCTCATTGTACAAGGTACATTCGTTTACACCCCGTTAAAATAGTATCCAGTGGTAAATACGGCGTAAATATAATGCACCAAGCAGCACTCTAACTAGTTCACTAGTTTACTTTCTGAAATGTTTCGCAGTCCACTGCAGTGCATTGAGCGAGCCTTCAGCTGGCGTTACTGCCGTAGCAGCGCGTGGAGATAACAAGCAAATTCGTTGTAAAAACACATTTTTTGACCGTTTTAAAACACTTCAAGGTACCGAATAGAAGACGTGGTCCTATAAATGCTTGAAGTCTTTAAATGTCCCAGATGGGATGTAACAAACAGCTATATTTCTGTACTAACAATACAAATGCCAGATTTTTTAAAGGAGTTGGGCGTGAGCTCCTCTCCAGCGGAAGATACACTGACGCTACGTTGGCATTATTAGCCACCGCGCTAACGTTAGCCACTATGACTGAACTGATAGGGCGCTTACATTTTCTCCACTCCGTGTCTGCGGCGACCAGTTTATCGACCAGCGTTACATCTTTAAACCTCTTCCTTTGGGTTTCACGGATGGTTTCCGGATCGCCACCTTTGTCGGTGCGAAACAGGTCCAAGTCGAGCACCATCTTTTGTCCACGCTGTCAGAGAGAGAGCCGGACTGAGCTCACAATGACGACGCCTCCAACCGGGTTGCCAGGTCTGGTTGCTCAAGTCACTAAACCGTAATCCCAATTTGAGTTGTTAATTATACATAAATGGAAGGTTCATTATTAAGACACTAATGCGTTGCTTGAAAACACAATCTAATTTTATTCAGATGAAGTTGATCATATTTTGTTTATTGTTTTAGATACAAAAAGACGGTAGCTTTTCCACTTGTCTGGCAACCTTCAGCAACACCTGCAGATAGATAGATAGATACTTTACTTTGTAAAAATATTAAATATAAAAATGTACTATATATACAATAAAATATAGTAATATTAAATTAGCTAACTAAACAATAGTGCAAAGATTTAACCAAACAACAGAGTAACGGTGTTATAGTTGTGTGAGTTATCTGGCCAGAGGTGATTTATTATAAAGTCTTATTGCAGTGGGCAGGAATGTTCTCCTGTATCTGTCCTTGTGACAGCGGAGCTGGATGAGTCTGTTGGAGAAAGTGCTGGAGGTAGGTGGTGGAGAGGGTGGTCCAGGTTATCCAATATGGATAATAATTTCTTCAGTGTTCTCCTCTCCACCACCTGTTCCAGAGTGTCCAGTTTGCAGCCAATGATGGAGCCGGCCTTCTTAATCAGTTTGTTAAGTCTGTTGGTGTCTCCGGCTCCAATGCTGCTCCCCCAGCAGACTACGGAGAAGTACAGTGCACTGGCCACAACAGACTGGTAGAACATCTCCAGCATCTTGCTGCACACGTTGAAGGATCGAAGTTTCCTCAAGAAAAAGAGTCGACTCATCCCCTTCTTGTACACAGCGTTGATGTTGGTCTTCCAGTTCAGTCTGCTGTCGATGGAGACACCCAGGTACTTGTACTCCTCCACCATGTCCACATCCTCTCCCAGAACTCTCAGCGGTTGTGGAGCCGTCGTCTTCCTCCTGAAGTCGACCACCATCTCTCTGGTCTTGGCCATGTTCAGAAGCAGGTGATTTCTACCGGCCCACTCCACAAAGTCATCCATTACTGCCCTGTACTCCTCCTCCCGTCCGTCCCTTATACACCCGACCACTGCAGAGTCATCAGAGAACTTCTGCAGATGGCATGACCCTGAGTACTGGAAGTCAGTGGTGTACAAGGTGAACAGGAAGGGAGACAGAACAGTTCCATGTGGAGCTCCAGTACCACTGACCACCGTATCAGACAGCACACTGCCCAGTCGGACAAACTGTGGTCTGCCTGTGAGGTAGTCAGTGATCAAGGAGACGGTGGACGTGTCTACCCCCACCACCCGCAGCTTCTCACTCAGCAGCACTGGTTGGATGGTGTTAAATGCACTGGAGAAATCAAAGAAAGTGATTCTCACAGAGCCACCGGTTCCGTCCAGGTGCGACTGAGCTCGTCGCAGCAGGTAGATGATGGCGTCGTCCACTCCCACATGAGGCTGGTATGCAAATTGCAGAGGGTCCAGTGATGATTTCACCTGCGGTTGGAGGTGGGCCAAGACCAGCCTCTCCTCTCATTCACTCATTCACTGAATCATACGAAAATCATTGTCAATGCTTCTTCTTTACATGAGATGGACAATCATCACGCGCTGTTTGATGTGATATAAAAAAAAATATGATTCCACTTTTCACCCGCTATAATTCACCAACTGATTGTTTCAAATGTAGGTCTAGATTGAGAATTACTTAATAAGCTAAAGTTATACCAATCCATGTTTTCATATTGATAACAGATCAAATGACTTCAGGTAGTCTGCAGTTGGCCTCAGTCAGCACCTTTTGAGATGTTTTTTTGGACTTGGTTTGCACTGAATTATATTGCTTCCGCTTGTTGCACCATTTATAATCATCATCACATTCATTTGTATTTCACTTATGTACAGTGTTCAGATTTTGGTTTGGGGAGCAGGGAGGGAAGAGCCTTACTATTGCTTGAGACGGAGGAAAAGGTGTTTGTAGATCAATCAAAGTTTACAGCAGTGATTCTCAAAGACTGGGTCAGGACCCACATGCTGGGTCGCAGGAGAATTTATTAGGGTCGCCAAATATATCTGCACAATTTCTTCCACAGTCTTTTAATTGAACATTTATATCTGCGGTTCACCTTTTGAGCCACACGGGGGAGCCTGAATGTTCATATTGTCCGTTTTAAGACACTTCTGTATGGCTTCATTTGGCAGAACCGGAGGTTGCTTCCTGCTTGGTGTCCTTGAGCAAAACACTGAACCCTAGAGGCTCCCCGGGGCGCTTCAGCCCACTGCTCCTAAAGGTTATGGGTTAAATGCTGAGGTCAGATGTCTATGTACCTGTACGTATATGACCATTGTCATAAGGTTTATGTTTTTTTACATTTTAATCAGGAGGAGACCATTGATGTGTGAAGGGATTTTGGCGACACTACAATGCATAATAATTAAGTTAGGGAATGCTTATCCCAATACAAAAAAAAAAAAAAAAAAATATGCAAAGCACATTTTTTTCTGAAATAAGTGTTTTAGTATAACCAGGAGGAGTTCATTGATGCAAGGAGTGATTTTGGTCACACCAAAGTTATTGAACATGTTTACCGTGTGTCTTTTCAGCGTTGCTCTTTGTGGACGGTCCCTACTCACTCCGCTCACCGCTGACAGAAACCAGTATTATTAGCTCCTTCTGAGGAAACATTAGGGTGGAGTTCATTAGGGCATCGTTAGTGTTTTAACAACATGTCGTTTATGAGTTATTATTATGAGCAAACTACGGCTGGATAGGCCCACAGCTAGATCCCTAACAATTCGCATACACACATCAGAGAGGCACTGATGATGATGCAACCAACAGTATAGTGCATAGTGACTAAACACCTCGAGAATCCAAAGGCCTTTGCTAGACTGTTGTTTGTAGACTTCAGTTCAGTGATATCTACACCTGAAGCTGCTGGAGGGGATGGCTGCTGTGGACCACCTGCTGATCGGAGGTCTGCTTTACCTGGACCACCATCGTGGAGGTAAGAGAACTAAATCCATGTTTCCTTACTTTCTTTCCTGAACCTCCCTGAGAACTGTGAAAGCTTCCTCAGCACAGAAATGAACACACTTGTTGAATCTAAAGGTGAAAAAGTATCAGAATATGTGATGGCCTGTTGGGTGAATCTCTGCGTTTTCTTGGTGTAAAATTAATATAAGTGTGTTTTAATGTATAAAAAGTTGTGGGACACGTGCATGTGTAATACATAAACAATGCATGGTGCAGGGATTTGAAAAAAATAAGATGGCGACCGGGCCGATTTTCATAAAATGAAACTATTGGGAGCCCAACGCAAGAACGTGCAGGTGAGGGGCCCCGTTCCTCTGTGTGGATGGAGCATCGGGTCCTTTTAGTTATTAAATATATAATCTGTTCATAACGTTTGAACTAAAAACAGCTTTTCTTTGATTATTGCTTGTTTTGTCACTAATATTTAAATGTAACAAGAAGCACTCGGGTCTTTCCGTGCGTTAACTTTTTGTTTCCTCACAGGTGTCTCGTACATCGTTGAACGTCCCGCAGCCGAAGGGATCCCCGAGGTGCTCAGGATCATCGGCGATGACGACAAAGGTAAGTACGAAGGTACGACGGCGAGCCAGCGGAGATCGTCTTTTACATCGAAGACAGCGAAGAAGCAGCCATCGGTGTTCCTGAGGTAGATGAGGAACAAGAGGATGAAGGTCAGGGCATCCACCATCTCCCCTTAGATGATGTAGGCAGCGATAAAGAGGATGGAGGTGATGAAGACTCAGAAGTCACAGATGACAGCGCTGATTGGTCTGGCAGGTCTGAAGCTTCTGACTGGATCAGCGAGATTCTGGGTTCGACAGCATGTCGTCTGAGGAGGAAGAGGACGCTGGCTATCGGGAGGATGGTTTTTGGAGTGATGAAGAGGAGTTTGAGTTTGAAGACAACGGCGACATCTTCAGAGCTCCTCGCTGTGGAGGTCTCCTGCGGGAACCTGACCAGCTTCAGCAACCACCTCAGCATCCAGGATGCTTTGAGGAAGAAGAGGACAGGTCCAAAAAGCCGACTCCCTCAACCTCCGGCCCTAGCTCCTCCACAAGGAGGAGCAGGGAGGAGGGCGACGAGGAGAGGGATCCCCCCCAAGAGACAGAAGACGAGTTCCGAGCATTGCTACGGCGATGCCCCTCCTTCGACGTCTGGCCTCGGATGCTCCGCAAACGGGAGATGGGCGCGATGCTGGGGGGTCGTTGCTAGGAGCCCGAACTGGTACGATGACAGCGACTCAGATTAGGATTTTAGCTCTGTATGCAGCAGGACTGACAATCCATCTGGAGACAGTCGCAGTCGCGTATTTTGCGTCCGGCATTACTGGTAGCACCCTGGGTCGCATCTTCCACCCCGGGTTTGGTTTGGTTTAATTTAATATTATTATTACTGGTTTGCTAATAATATAAAATATATATAATATTTACTTTACGGTCACATGGTAGTTATTCTTCCTATTCATTGGTTTCAGAATGTCAAGGAGGCGGGTCTTATCTAACAAAAGCCTGTCAGGGAAGACGATCTGTGACCCAAGAGGAGTGAGGAGACACAGCGCGGGATGAGTCCAACTCACCTTCCATCCTTCTGGCTGCGGCTCAGTGTAGAGCAGGTCGGCTTTTAACCACAAGGTTGGCGGTGCGATTCCCAACTCCTGCATGCAGGGAGACACCGAAGCACAACTGGCTCCCCGACCGCTTTACAGCATCCCACAACAATACTTAGGATGGGTTAGATATGGAACAATATGGAACCCATCGGTGTCAGGGGACAATGGGACTTCCATTATATTAATGGGACTACCTGTGCCGTGTCAATAATATAACTATACATATAGCAGATAGATGGGACCCTCCTCTCAGGTCTGGTCGTAAGAGGAGACCGCTCTTCCTGATCCAGGCCTGATTACATCCGTATCACTGCTCTTTTTTGTTGATAGGAGCCAGTAGAAGTATTAGATTGAAATATCTCCACTGGCTCCTATGTGTGCCATGTTGCTCTGAGGTTCAGTGGGTTTCCTGCTGATCCCAGATCATTTGGGGAAAATGGTGAGGACAAAATTCTGACTTGGATAGAAAGTGACCTTACATGTGATATACCTGTTTATTCATTTAATAGAACTCATAAGTTAAAGATCACTCACTCTTTTGTTCTTTGATTTCTTTGTTTGTTTTTTTACTGAGGTGAAGATATCTTGAGATACAGGTATGGAGATCATTAATAACATTATTAAACGAGTCTAATTATTAGTAGTTAATGCATTATTCATTATTTATCTTTCAATTCGTAATATTTTGATGTCAGGCCAGGATTCCTGTGTCTCCTGAGGGTGGATGTCAACCAACCAATCATCCCAGGAAGCTGTGGCAGCCCACTGAACACCAAACTGTCTTCCAGACCCCCATCAGCTGGATCCCTAAACTGCCAGCCCCACCAACACCCTACCTCCCCCCAGCAGTCAAGAGGATGAGCAGGGCAAACTGGACAGCAGAGATGTTTCAGTCCACCAAGTAAGTCATTTGAACTACACATGATGACATAACTGTCAGTCCCTGCTGCAGTAAAATGAGAGGTTTTTTAAAGGCGCTCAGACACACTACCGCTTTAGTCCACAGGGACCGCCAGAATCACAGACAATGAATGTTCTTCATAGTAGCTCATTACATCCTGTTTGTAGATTAAATATTCTACATATCATCATGTTATTGAATCACATATGTATCAATATTCATGATCTGTTTTTGGGTGTCAGGGCAGGACTCTTTTCCTGATGCACTCGACAGTCGATGTCAGCCAGCCGAACATCTCAGGAAGCTGCAGAAACCACAGCAGTCTACCGAACACACCCCCAAAACCAGTGTGTCACCATTGAGATGAAGAAGACGGCAGCCCTGGTCAGTAGGATGAGGAGTGCCACTGAGCTTCCTTTGTGGTGGCGAGTTTGTGAAGCTGCTCACACGCACCGAAGAAGCTCTCCGCATCGGCGCACATCGAGACGGTCAAGAAAGAGACACTAACAGACCAACATGTTCTTTGGGGCTGTGCAGTGCCTTCCTACGCATAATTACTTGCATCTTTGTTTGGTGTTGAATTCAATAAAAAGGTCAAAATGTAACATGATCCAGCGTTCTGTGAGATCCTTTACCCCCGGGTCGGGTTAACATGAAGCTTCTTAAAGCTACTACCAGGAACTTTAAAAGTTAGGCTTGATGGATCAGACTTTCACATCTTCACCCTGCTGATGATCAGCACTCTTTGTTTGTGAAATATCTTCTTTGGCCAAGTATGTCATGGATACATATTTGATGATCCAGAGAACACTTTGTTTTATTAGATACATGATAACAAATCTATATATCCATATATAGATTAAACTACAGAACAGCTCACTTTTATCCTTGCATAAGCATAAAGTAAAATAAATATGACTTAATAATCCATTCCTAAGTATATGAGCGATGCACATGGATAAATAAACAACAGCCAAGACTTTAACTATGCACATATTAAACAATGTGTACTTCAAGGCACACGTTATCACAGAAGAACTTCAATAACTTGTGTATGAGATAGTTAATAGTAAGTACAGTTAATATATATATACACATGACAATGCTTATATTATAAATATACTTATTTTTACATGACATAGTAAGAAAACAGAGGAAATGTCCACCAAGTACATCGATAAGACTTATTTTGGAGATTTACTTCATTTACCATTACACACATAACACTGCTCTTATTTTACAAATCCTTCCAGTACGCACACATGTGGCATGTAAACGCACTTTGGAGGTCAAAGTGCACAGCTGAGGCAGAGGTTATCAGTTAGTTAATTGCTTAAGGGCACATTAGCAGGGACTGTAGAAGTATGACTCTCACAGCTTCGATTTGTACGGACTTGCAGCCAATCACTGCAAGCACTCCTTCATTTAATGCGACGTGTGATTGGTCCACCACCGCAGCAGCTACTACCCATACAGCGGGCTCTGAACACCGAGACGTCAGAGTAGCTAACGGTGCTAAAGGCGCTAATATCAGTGCTGACAGAGCTGACTTGGGAGGTTGGGAACCGTTAACGGTGGGCGTTGAGTGTGACTCATGCTTGCCGCATTTCGAGGATCACGAGTGTTGGTGCGGCCAGAGTGCCGTCACACCATCAGACGCGGCCCCCTTTGATTTCTAGCTACGCGGGAGGGCGGGGAAAATGGAGAAGTCTTGAGAATGCGTGGTGTATAAGAGATCTAAACGTTTCCTCGTCACGATTCCACGTCAGCTCATGTCCGCAAGATCGTCCCAGCGGAAAAGTATAACCGAGGTTTTACGCTTCCGCTCCGATGCGGTCTGGGAATGCAGTTAACAGCAGTAACCTCTGTATGATCGCTGTGCAGGGCCGCGGCAATATGCTAGCCAGTGGGACACGCACACAGCATCCATTCATATGTTGGGTATCGAATAAGGTATTGGTATCGGTATCACTTTAACGGTATTGGTACAAGCGTCCTAATTTTCTAAATGACACCCAGCCCTGCCACAGAGTGATGCCTCTTTGCCGTCATTGCCAGCCGAGCCTCACAGATAGCACACTGCAGAGCTTCTCCGGCTGGCAACTCAGTATACCCTTCCTCTGAGATATGGTTGATCTTCAGGTAATGCCCCGGCCCGTGCAGAGCCACTGTATGGAGGTGTGAGAAGAGCAGTTGCAAGTCCCTTGTCAGCTTGTAGTGAGACACCAGCCTCAGCTCAGTGGGGATGTCCGCTTCCTCTGAGTAATCAAAAATGGCCGCCATGTACTTGGACAGGTCCTGGCCCCCGGCTTTGGCTCGGCCCACCTCCTCTCCGATAAGCTGGACGGCTGCGTTGGAGCTGAAGGCGTCGGACCCGAAGCAGAGCCCTCCGTCTGCCTCCTCGTCTACGCCGCCGCCATCGCCACCACCTGGAGGCTTCGGCCTATGGTTGAGGCCCGGTGAGCAGATCACCAAGATGAAGTCGCTGTCCCGGATCTGCCGGCAGTGCCAGGCCATGCTGCCCTCCTCAGCAACGCTCAAAGACTCCCAAAGGTCCAGGCACACCTGGGGAGCAAAATAAAAGAACATGGTCACAACAAAATAATCTAATAACATTTACATCATATTAAAGAAACAAAGAATTGAACAATATAGTAATTAGCTTAGTAAGATCTGTTTCTGTAGCACAATGCATCATGACACATCACGTCCGCTACCTGAGTGGCCATGTGCTGTTGTATGAAGGCCCCCAACTGCATGACGGCTTTGACGTGTGCGGGGCCATCGTAGCTGCTGTAGCAAATCAGAAGACGAGGAGGGGTCAGCCTCTTCCTGGTCAATGACATCACTTCCTCCTGAGTCCCGCTCTCCTGATGCTGCTTGATAACATCTGAATGGATGACAAACAGAAATTTGGTTGCTCGGTGATGACGAAGAGGAAAACACAGTCGTAAAAAGAACGGGTTTACAATTAATAACAATTACTTATTCAGTTAGCTTTCATGAGATGCAAACAGTGATTTTACACGAAGCACTTGGTTTGTCTTGGCACCTGGTTTGATGTCAAGTTTCTTCATCCAGAACTTGGGCCTCCTGGTGAGAGCAGCAAATAAGACTACAAACATGGCTACCACGGCCAGGGATAGTGGAAGAATCAGAGCCAATGAGGGAGTGACCGAGAGTGGCAGGGAGCCTCCTGAGGATGGGGGAGTTGAGATTACATGACAATTCAGTAACAGAGACATTTTGGGTAATGTGCTTATCTGATGGGACCGATCATACTCGTGTTAAAAAATAATGTTTTATATTTTTCGTTGCGAATGGCGCTCTTTATATCTCCACAACAAAAAGATTTATACATCGTGAGGATCAGCAGCAACCAAAACAACCTCCCCTACCTTTTTGAATGTGCAAGACTCGAACATTGAATGTTTTCCTCACGGCATCCACTTCATTCGCTGCAATCTGTGACATGAGAAATGTTATTCCTAACGTTGGACACCTTGTAGTTTGACAAAATAATCTTAAACCTGCATTCATTGATTATTTTAGGCCACTTAGCTGGAACACAATACTGACTTTAGAATCACCTTAAGTTGAGGTGGTGAACGTGTTAGCAAACAGTGAGAATTGGCGACTGCTTGTGACATTACACTTGTCATTTCATCGATAGTTAATACAAACATATTGAACAGTGCAGCTTTAACTCAAGGTCCACTTCTGGCGTCGTCAACCATATCTCATAAAAGGTGACATAATGTGAACTGGGCCATCTCCACGACACTTGAGGAAACTCCATCTACTGATGAAGTTCATCAAATGTGGTGGAAAGCTCCAGAAAAAAGTGGACCCTTGAGTTAAGATTATTTGTTTCGCAACGAGAAAGAAAGAAAGAATAAAAATGTATGACGTAGCATAGCCCATATAAAACATATATATGACACAAGTATTTTAATATCACATGTTTAATAGAAGGCCCCCTGAGGTTTTTATATAATATGCAAATATTGTCAAGCATAGCATTCATTTTACCTCGCAGGAGTAATTGGTTCCTTCTTCGAGGTCACTCAGCTGATAGCTGTGGTGAGTTTGGTTTTTGCTGGAATTCTAAGGAAATAAAATTCATAGCAAATGATTAGGTTCAAGTGGTAATCAAATATTTCTACAACACAAATAACAGACGCAAGGTATTCATTTAAAGTTGAAACCACTGACAGGTGTGATGTCTGTGTATTTCTTCAAGCCGTTCGCGTAACACAGTGAGAAGTAGCCTCTGATGCCCAGGTTTGGGGGAGCCAGGTTAAAGGTCACAGTGATGGCACTCCCTTCCTGCTGGACCTCGATGTTTTTGGGGTACCAGTCTACAACAACCAGGCCGTGAAATAATGACAGATGCAAAGGTGATCATCACAAGATGGCATTGTTGTACCAGTTTATTTGGGAACAATGAGAAACATATTCACCCTTTTTGCACTGCTCAAGACCATTCTTCTCTGCACATGCTGCGGAACCACAATGTACACATTGTTATAGATTCAACATTGTTTTGACAATAGTCTTAGAGCTAAAAGTTGCCTTACAGCGGGTGGAGAAGAACTCGCTGCGGTAGAACTTCTCCCACTCCTCAGGCACTGGCAGAGCCATGACGGTAACAGCATACTGGGACCCAAGGGAAAGGCCGGGGAAAGGGTCCGACTTGTACACCTGCAGAATGCAGCGGCAACCGTGACCTTGGTTTCAATTCAAACTTTTATCTGATAAGGAGAGTTATTGACACGTGCTTTATTAATGTTTTAGAACGGCATTAATGTGATAGGTCCCCTATCTTCAACTTTTAGGGCCACCCCCTGGTAGTCTATAAGTCGACTAATTGGTCAATTTGGTCTCAGTCATCTAAGATTTCTTTAGTCAATTAGTCGTTTTTTATGATGTTTAGTTGTTTTCAAGGTATTCAACATGAACTCAAGTGGACGTTTGTGACAAATTTGAAGAAATTCCCTCAAGGCGTCCGCGAGATATCATGAGCATGAGGCGGACGTTAGGCCACAGTGACCTTGACCTTTGACCTCCAAAATCGAATGAGATCATCCTTGAGTCTAAGTGGATGTTTGTGTGAAAATGTAATAAATGCCCTCCTGGGAATTTGCGTCCACAAGAATGGACGGTACGGATGGACAAACGTACGCGTGGACAGAGATGTAAAAAAACGTAAGGCAACAGAAAGGAAGTAAGTGGACAGCTAACTGTTGCCCAGTAACGGGCAAATACACCGCAACAATATAACCACAAGAAAAATCCAAGGCACTCTCTTTTAAGCACTTACAATTTCTCTATTGTAATGGCATAGTCATGTGAAACAAAAAGTTTTGACTCCCTGACGTAGGCCTGCTGCTGACACGCATTCCAGGTTTATTTTTAGATCTGACATGACGGCGTCTCTACGTCTCTCCCCTGCATTCCAAATATGATAACTTCCTTAATCCAAGATGGTGACGGTAAAGTCGCCGAACTCAAGGCTTCAAAATGCCGGTCCACATACCAATGGGTGACATCACGATGACTACGTCCACTTCTTACATACATTCTCCGGCTCCTACCGAAACATTTTTTGACAGCGCAACAATGTGTTTCTTTCATTGTCAAAGCTGGGATAAACTAATAATGTGTAATAATACTTGTACATAAAATACATTGAATTTCCATTATCATCACTATCACCTGTTAATATTGAGCGTGCATGTCTACCTTTGCCCTAGTTGGGATCTTATCCAATGGTGCATGACGTAGTACAGGACGTGGGACGTAATGTAAGGCAGTGGGAAAGATTAAGGATCCACTCTGAATAGAAATATATTTATTTGAAAAGTACGGTTTTCGAAACTTTGTTTGTAGCAAGAATTTGTGTCAAAAACAACATGCCAGACGGGGCCCTACCTACCCTTTGAGCATGTGAAGCAGGGAGGGAGAGGTTTCGGTGGAAGAGAAAGAGCTGGCAGGCAACACTGGTCCCTCCCAGGGCCTGGAGGGAAACCTGAAAGCCTCGCAAGAAGGCGATCCCTGCGCAAAAACACCAAACGGACAAAGTGAAATTGGCATCACAGACGTCTGCGGCAATTGAACATCCAAGTTGCAGATATATACTGATAATAATGTCAAATACGTAGGTGCGCTATATGTGCTTCAAACAGTTCAGTTCATGGTCTATTAAGCTTTTGACTTGACAGTCTGTTACAATGTCACCTGTCAAAGACCCAGTCATACACTGAATAATCAATGGAGCTGTCTCTCACACGTTGAAGCATTCTCACTGTGCGAGTCATACTTTTGTTACCTTTCAGTAATAACTCACTGTGTTTCACCTGAAATAAATCTTGTTTATGTCACCCTAATATGAGAAATTACTTCTGGTGAGGCAACTCGTCCCCGACATTATGAATGTGTTTTAAAACTGCCTAGACCAGGGGTGTCAAACTCATTTTCACTCTGGGCCACATCAGCATCACGGTCGCCCTCAAAGGGCCGGTTGTAAATGTAAGACGGTGTAAATGTAACTACTCGTAACATATTGGTAAATAACTGTCTCTGCATTTGATTATTGTTTATTCAAGTGTAAAAATATTGTACATGCAGTTATATAAATGTAAAAATATATTTAAGCACATTTCTGTTATTATAACTTAAATCCTTTTAATTTAGGGTTAAGAAACCCACATTACTCTATCAAAGATCAAACTATTAAAGAAAATAACAAAGACAAATATCAAACACAAGTTATTACAATAACTTTGTTCAAAGCTTAAAATCCTTTCAAGGGTGCGTTTGCACAATCCCACTTGAAGTATTTCATGTGTTTTAAAGTCACATTTAAAGTATCTTCAATGTACTCACAATACATTTACATGTCACGTGTAGGGTAACCAGTCAAAGAGCTGCTTCTATGACTGTGTTTAAGTATCTCATCATTTTGACTTTCTATCTCAGAATTATGACTTTCTATCATAGTTATGACTTTCTATCTCATAATTTCGACTATGGGGATATTTTTATTATCAAGTCTAACTTAATTAATTTTTTTACTTTTTTTTTTTTTGCTGGCGGATTTGCGGATTCACATAAAATGACGTGGCGGGCCGGATTCGGCCCGCGGGCCTTGAGTTTGAGACCCCTGGCCTAGAGACTTTAAAACCAACCGAACCACTTCATGACGTGCGTGCGTGAAACTGTCTTTGTCGATCCATAACAACATACCATAGTAGCTGGGCTTCCAGGAGACAACAACGGTGTCTGATTTGGGGTCTAGCTCATTTACTAACTCGACCTTCACATCATTCGGCGCTTGGACGTAGTGCTGACAGAGTTTACGGTCTTCTCTTCCAAGTAACTCAAAACACGGCCAGGGAATGCAACCTGAGGAGGAAAAAGCAATGGATACATTCAATGTCAAACTGTTTGCCATTCAATGTCTCAGTATATCAAAGCAAGAGTAGTCTGCAACCATGCTAGCTGCTCGGTGAGGCTGTACTTAATTGCTACGCCCACAATCACAATGTTAACATGCTAATGTTTAAACAGGAAACATTTACCTTGTTCATTTACATTTACCTAGCGACTTAGCATGCTAACCTTAGCTATTTGGCACCGAGCACAAAGTACAGCTGAGGCTGATGGGAATGTCAGTAGTTTTGCAGACCTTATTCTTAAAATACGTAAATATAAAAGTGAATATTTTGACCTGATTTTGGCTAGCTAGCGTAGCGTTAAACCATTCATCCTTTGAAATGTTAAAGTCTGAACTGAATTTCTTGGTAATACATCTAATAGTTGTTGTAATACATCTAATATTTTAGTTTGAACCAAAGTGGTGGACCGACCAACTAATGGAACCCAGAGAGCTACACAGCTAGCTTGGCTAAAAATAATCATGGGGTTGGTTAACGTGACTCCAGTTGGACCAAATGTTGTTGATCTTTGCATAAAAATAAAATATTAGCAGCATGGTTGCCAATGCCAGCAGCAGGCGGCAACCTCCAGGTCTGAAAAGTGAAGCTGATGCCGAAATGACTTAACCTTGCATTCTCTCTACTGGCCACCAGGGGGCGACTCCTCTGGTTGCAAAAAGAAGTCTTTTTCTTTTTACTTTTAGTACATACTGCAGCTACTCTTACAAATTCACTTGGGACATACTACTTCGTGATGCACTTTGAACTTTGACCCTCTTGCTGCGCACAAGATTGTGGGTCAGAATAGCCAGAAAAGCATGCTGGCTTACCATCCTGGTATTTTTCCTATACTGCATTTGACATACTATGTTTTGGGACACACTAAATATTTTTCTGGCATACTAAATAGTATTGTGGTACGGGTATTGGCACGTACAAAAAGGCTTCCAAGTTGTAGTCAAGAAGCTAATGGGTGGGGTCACGGTGACTGCATCCACTGCTTATTTCAGTCTATGGCCGGCAGCAACACACAAATATCTCACCTATAACTACCAGCAATTCATTTGTTTCTGTCGCTAGATGTAATACGTCATAGGCACAATCCAGCTGGCATTTGTTTATTATGACCTCAGGGATAACAAGAACTGGTTCTACCCTTTCTGTGTTTGCTATGGAGGTTAGCCTATCCAATCCTGGTATGAACTTGTGCAAACAACGTGGCATCTGCTCATTATGATGCAGTGAAGTGTCACTTCAGGTTATGGACAAAAAAGACTCGATAGAGAACATCTCACCACTGCCAAAATATGTTTACGCAATAAAGGATTCAGTGCATTGAAGGCTTGACAAAGCTGTGCAGTTCCAGTGCAGCCCGTCGGAATCAGACTTACTTCCAAACCCTTTGATGGAGTTAATGCCCAGAGCCCTCTTGAGATCAGCTCTGGTTATTCTGCAGTATTCACAACCAGGTCCTCCCTGCAGAGGCGAAAACAATAATTAATTCAGACTTAGCACTTTCAACTGCATTTTTTACCAATGCATATTGTATGTTGTTTGCAAATCGTGTCAGTTTCACGCCAGGTGAACAGCCTGGATGAACGAAGGTCAACACTAATGGAAACACAGCACAAAAACAGATATGCACACAGTCGTACGCCCCAAGAAAAACAGACACAATAATTGTGTTGAATTTTAACATCACCTTAATTAAACTCACATCAACACTATTCCAGGACTGAGCACATTCTTGTTCAGCTGCCAAGAGTAAGGAGGATTGGATCAGAGGCAAGATAGGAAAGGAACTCTGTTTATCCAAATGGGAAATTACGAATTCACAGCAGAAAAAAAAGAAATGAACAAAACCATATATTATGAAACATTGTTATAGATGTTATATTAGATTGATAAATAGCACTACAGGTAAGTGAAAAAATAAGAACCTTTAAGACGTGATCGGATGCCAAAAACATTAGCTGTCTCGGATCACAACAATCTCATAAACTGTGACGTCAGTGGATACACTACATGCACTGCAGCATCGGTAGGAACCGTGAATCAAGGTCTCTCCCGACTCCGGGTGGCTTGCTATCAGCTGGCTCCAGCCATCTCGGAATTCATTTAACAAAACATCTGAGAGGGACAGACACACACTGATCTGAGCTTTCGGTTTGCATTCGTCAATAAGACCTCATGATTAATAGAGGTGAAGCCTCAGGAGACCACAATCACAATGCCAGAAAACATTTACCTTGTTCATTTGCACTTACCTAGTCTATTAGCAAGCTAACATTTGCTGCTTAGCACCAATCAGATTATGGCTGAGGCTGATGGGAATGACTTGTAGTTTTGCAAACCATATTCTTGAAATGTGGTATTGGACAAACAAAACATTTTGATCTGAGCGTAGCTAGCAAAGTTAAATTATACCATTCATCCTTTGGAACATGAATGTCTGAACCAAAAAACAAAGGGTCTGTTTCTGAATGTTTCAGAAACAGACCCTTTGTTGTTCTAATTCACAGTATCGGGTTTCTGTTTTGGAACAAATTACATAACCTGAACTAATTCATAAACCAAAATATGATTCAGTAATGTCAGAATGTGCGAGTCAAACTGTTTCAAGAAGGAAACCTTTGTTCTAACAGAGTAAATATTATTAAAAGTACACTCGTGCATATTGCCGACTTGCCCTGCAAGTTTAGAGACGCCATAGCATATCATTACCATACCATTGACCTTAAATAGACTGACAGGTAGAGAAGATTAAAGAGGTGACAGAGAAAGTGTGCGTGTGCGTGTGTGTGTGTGTATGCGTGGTGGTTTACACAATGGCAGTTAACCTGTCAGGCTGGGTACTAACCGTCAACCTTTAAGTAGCCTAACTAAGTGCTTGCACGCAAGCCGACATCATTATAAATGTTCCTAGCGTGAGAGGCCCTCAACAGTCACACTCACAATGTGGGTGTTGCTCTCAATTAACAGGACACACATGGACGAGTGTGTCTCAAGAGTTGTCTGCCAAAGTAAATCTCATCACGTATCTGCGCCCTCTAAGGGGAAACAGGTTTTTTTTTAAAAAAACTCTTACACAGATGAATTAAATTTGATGTGCTTCCAACATCAGATTTGAACCTTGCGTACTTTTTTTCGTCTATTTTCTCCTCACTGAGGCAAACAGCTCTGTGCTGAAGGATCCAGCCCATGATGGTTGCTAACCTATAATAGCTAACCTATTCAAAACCATGTGTCCAACATGTCACAGAGAGGAGACCCGTTCTGGCCATACCATGTTTACAAGAAGAGGGGCATCTTGTCTGATCTTTAGTAAAGGGGGAGGTTTCGTCCTTGTAGATATTAGAAAATGACAAACACAAAATTGTTTAGTATCTGAGATGCTGGGAGATACAGTATCTATAACAATTGAAGTAGAAAAAAACTTTGGAAAGCACCTTTCTTCAGTGAAAAGAGATCTTTTAGACGTGTGAGTAAGATGTAGATAACACACCAGTCCCGAGCACATTTGAGATGTTTTCTGCAGAAACGTGCTTGCAATTCGAGATTTTGTTCTTCCTAAGCTTTCTGAGGACATGTGGCAATACATTAAAGATGATACAATCCTCTTTAGTTTCCTTTACAACATAAAGTAACACCATTTGAATTGGCCAAATTTAAACCTAAATACCAAATTAAATGATAAATTAACAGATTTTTTGGGCGATCTATATAGTTCAACTTATTTTCTGACATGTTAAAAATATCCGAAGAAGCTCCATTTGGTGCGGTACTGTGGCGTCTCCCAAAACACGATCATCTTTGATGAGCTCCTGGCTGGAGATTTATATCTTATATAGACGTATACAGCAGACTATCTGCGGAGGTCCTCAGGAGTGCTTCTTCAACTCTGTGCATCGGCATCAGCCATTTGTTATAGAGTGGTCTGCTGGGGCAGCAGCATCTCGACAGCTGACAGGAAGAGACTAAACAAACTTGTCAAGAAGGCCAACAGTGTCCTGGGGTGTCCACTGGATATGGCGGAGGTGGTGGGAGACAGGAGGATGCTGGCTAAGCTCTCATCACTGATGGACAACACCTCCCACCCCATGCAGGACGCCCTGGCAGCTCTGTGCAGCCACCCTGATTCACCCCCGGTGTGTGAAGGAGAGGTACCGCAGGTCCTTCCTGCCTGCCGCTGTCAGGCTGCACAACCAGCTGTACTCCCAGTGGACCACACAACACAAAAACATCTGTGCAATATTTAAAAAAAATACCGTGCAATAAAAGAATATTCTGTCTGTATATATAATATTTTTAGTTATAGGTTTTTACTCTTTTACTTATTTAATATTGTTTACCGTTTTATTACTTATTTATAATACTTGTTTTACTCTTGTTTCTTTTCTTACTGTCTCTTGTTTGCACTGTCCACTGTGCTGCTGTAATCCTGTAAATGTCACCGCTGAGGGACTAATAAAGGATTATCTTATTTTATACAACTGTCAATGTATGGATTAGAGATTTTATGCATAATCTAACCATAGAAACAATGATCTACCAGTCACATAGAGATGCCTCAGACATTATATAGAATTATATTCTATTATTATATTATATATAGATTTAATGTTTTGGTAAATTTGGTTCAGGGTTACTTGTGGGAAAGGATTTTGTTCAAATGTATGAGTCTGCATTTCATTGTATTTTGCACCACCTAGAAAGCTTGCATAGGATTACAGTACCCGTCTTCTAGGTTAGTAGGTCTGAACCATTTTTCTCTTGGGACCCTTTATAAAGTTGTGTTGTCCTGTTCAACCAAAGAGCAATTCTTCCTCCTCAGATTTGATGGATTTTTAAAAGGTTCGGGGCATCAGGACATGAACATGTCCAGTCATCCACAAGCAAAATCAATGATTAGAAAATAAGTCAGAGAAAATTATGTTACATCCTGAAAGATATTTCTTCTGCTCTCCCATTCTCGTCACTCGTGACCCTTCAGATTTCTCTCACGGCCGCGTGGGGGGCCCTGACCCCCAGGTTGGGAACCACTGCTCTGGGTTATAACTGAGTCGACCAAAGAGTTTATTTGAATAAGTCAAGTAGAATGTTCCGATAAGTCAAATGAATAACGCTTTGAAGAACATCGAAGAAAAAGCAGATCTACAGTTGTGTGAAAAAGTGTTTGCCCCCTTCCTGATTTATTTTTTTGCATGTTTGTCACACTTAAATGTTTCAGATCATCAAACAAATTTAAACATTAGACAAAGATAACACAAGTAAACACAAAATGCAGTTTTTAAATGAAGGTTTTTATTATTAAGGGGGAAAAAAAATCCAAGCCTACATGGCCCTGTGTGAAAAAGTGATTGCCCCCTAAACCTAATAACTGGTTGGGCCACCCTTAGCAGCAACAACTGCACTCAAGCGTTTGCGATAACTGGCAATGAGTCTTTTACAGCGCTGTAGAGGAATTTTGGCCCACTCATCTTTGCAGAATTGTTGTAATTCAGCCATATTGGAGGGTTTTCGAGCATGAACCGCCTTTTTAAGGTCATGCCACAGCATCTCAATCGGATTCAGGTCGGGACTTTGACTAGGCCACTCCAAAGTCTTCATTTTGTTTTTCTTAAGCCATTCAGAGGTGGACTTGCTGGTGTGTTTTGGATCATTGTCCTGCTGCAGAACCCAAGTGCGCTTCAGCTTGAGGTCACGAACAGATGGCCGGACATTCTCCTTCAGGATTTTTTGGTAGACAGCAGAATTCATGGTTCCATTTACCACAGCAAGTCTTCCAGGTCCTGAAGCAGCAAAACAGCCCCAGACCATCACACTACCACCACCATATTTAACTGTTGGTATGATGTTCCTTTTCTGAAATGCCGTGTTGCTTTTACGCCAGATGTAATGGGACATACTACACCTTCCAAAAAGTTCAACTTTTGTCTCGTCAGTCCACAGAGTATTTTCCCAAAAGTCTTGGGGATCATCAAGATGTTTTCTGGCAAAACTAAGACGAGCCTTTATGTTCTTTTTGCTCAGCAGTGGTTTTCGTCTTGGAACTCTGCCATGCAGGCCATTTTTGCCCAGTCTCTTTCTTATGGTGGAGTCATGAACACTGACCTTAATTGAGGCAAGTGAGGCCTGCAGTTCTTTGGATGTTGTTCTGGGGTCTTTTGTGACCTCTTGGATGAGTCGTCGCTGCGCTCTTGGGGTAATTTTGGTCGGCCGGCCACTCCTGGGAAGGTTCACCACTGTTCCATGTTTTCGCCATTTGTGGATAATGGCTCTCACTGTGGTTCGCTGGAGTCCCAAAGCTTTAGAAATGGCTTTGTAACCTTTTCCAGACTGATAGATCTCAATTACTTTGTTTCTCATTTGTTCCTGAATTTCTTTGGATCGCAGCATGATGTCTAGCTTTTGAGGATCTTTTGGTCTACCTCACTTTGTCAGGCAGGTCCTATTTAAGTGATTTCTTGATTGAGAACAGGTGTGGCAGTAATCAGGCCTGGGTGTAGCTAGAGAAATTGAACTCAGCTTTCCAAAGATGGGATAAACCACAGTTAATTTATGTTTTAACGGGGGGGGGGGGGGGGGACATTTTTTTTTCACACAGGGCCATGTAGGTTTGGATTTTTTTTTCCCCCTTAATAATAAAAACCTTCATTTAAAAACTGCATTTTAGTGTTTACTTGTGTTATCTTTGTCTAATATTTAAATTTGTTTGATGATCTGAAACATTTAAGTGTGACAAACATGCAAAAAAAAAAAGAAATCAGGAAGGGGGCAAACACTTTTTCACACAACTGTATATATTGTCACATAAATAGATGTTTAATAACTAGACACTTATTTTGTCTCTTCAGGTTTCTGGATACAAAACCGCTGAGTTGGAGCGAAGACTCAATCTGAGGCTCACGTTGTTGGAATCACAATGACATGTTAGATTAAAATGAAGCATTTATGTAATATATGTACTGCGGGATGAAAGCCAATTACAAATGAATCCCCAACGGCTGTGCAGATTCAGAAACGTCTACTTCGTCAAGATAAGAATTTCAGTTATTAAACTTTAAAGCACAAACACAACGTCCATGTTTGCTGTCTGAGCAGGAAGACAGCTCCTCCTCTGTCGACGGCAGGCCAAAGGAAGAAGAAGCAGCATGTTTTTCAAAAACTAGTATACATCTTAGCTCGGCATTACAGAAGACTTAGTCTGCGCGTATGTCAACGGCGTAACGCGATTATCCTGTTTACCTGCTGCACACAGTTTAGACTGCAGTCCTGGGCAGTGATGGCAGCGGCGGCGGGGACGTCATCCTGAGCCCGGAGCGGCCGACCTAGTGCAAAGAGCTGGTACAAAACAAGAGTCGTCTTCCACATGCTGCTACAGCCAGCGAGGCATGGTCCAACTGTGAGCACTGGAACCTCAAACCCACACACACACACACACACACACACAAACACACACACACACTGAGTGGACTAAGAAGCCTCACAGCTGGTGCGAAAGGTGGAATCTAAAGTCAGAGTGTCCTCGTGGTGCAGGAGAGTAAGTGACAGGAAGCTGGGAGGAAGCAGAAAAGATGATGAGGGGGAGTGGTGTCTTCAGGCTATGGGCGGAGGTAAAGCCTTCTTTCTGTTAATAGTCACGCTGCCTGACTTGTTGGTTTGTGCTGCGGCAGCAGGAGGCACGGAGTGGGTTCGAATCCCAAAAGTCTCATGGATAACAACAACGCGTTCTCACTTGACCTAAAAGTGTGAAGGAATGACAAACATCCTTTCAACGGGAGCCAAGAGAATCCTGAGCCAGGTTCATTTTATTACGCATCGATGCTGAGACATGTTCATGAGCTGTACACATGTGAGCGTGGGGTTTGTTTTCACAGGAAACATTGCATTGGTAGTTCAAATACATGTTGGAGGGAAAACTAGTATTTCAAATACCAAGTAAAAAAAAATAAAAAAATAAATCAATACTTTGATCAAATCCTGATAAAGCATTGATGAAATATGTAGAGTAAAATAAGAAGGACGTTAACAACAAAAAGTTTGCATCTGGGATTCCAGAGGCTGGAGAGGACAGCTGTTTCACCGGATCTGAAAAACAAACAAACGCAAAATGAGGGCTGAAGCATGTCACAGAAATATACACATCTAAACATATCTGTGCCCTTCTTCAGCAGATCTAGTCACGCCGACTTGAGTGTTTTTGATTTTATGTTTCCGAAGTTGACCTTAAATTAAACATTATTTCTTCATCAACAGGTGGTAGAAAAATCGTCTCTGTGTGTGTGTGTGTGTGTGTGTGTGTGACAGGCATCTGGGTGGGCCAGTGGTATGCCATAGCGTGCGCATGCAAGAAGAAGTTGGCAGCTCCACCACGCTGGGGAGCTTTCTGTCCTCACAGAACAATCGGAACGGACGGAGCGGTGATGTACTGCAACCACAGGGCTGTTACCCCAGTTTCCCCGATGAGAGCTTAAAAGTATACATTTCCATTCCTCTTCTTTTTCCTGACATGTGTAGATGTATTTCAGCCACATGCGTTTTTGTGAAAACATGATCTCAGAGTTTACCTCCGAGTTTGTAAGTCTGTCCTATATCATCATTTACAAAACAAGTACAGATGCTGCCTCAGTCCAGAGGGCCGAAAATCACAAAGCCTCAATCAGACTGGATACAATTAAATATAAAGCCGACTAGAGACAAAGGGAGAATTTGGGTTCTTTGAAGTTGGGTTATATGAGGTACTACTCCATAGACAGTGTATTACTGCCTACAGTAGTTTGGAGTTGGAGAATCAGACAGAAGTACCAGCATGGGAGCAACGTAATGTACTACCTACACACCTAAAACCAATCAGTTTAAATATACGCTAACTTTGGAATATTTCCAACGCTTAGACAGACAGCCCTTTGAAACCTTTGAAGATGGGGAACTGAAGCTGTTGTGGTTTACACAACATCACGAACAAACTAACCGCTCAAGGCAGCGGTAGACCAGCAGCTCTCGTGTCCCACGAGGTAAACTTACTGTTGTTTTTAATGGAGTCTTGTGGTATGAAAGAGAGCATGCTGATTCAGTTTAAGTGTACGCTCTAATACGAATATTTCTACCATTTTACCTTGCCGACGGGGAACTGATGCCGTTATCGATGCTCTCTTTAAGACTCCTTTGACATTTTCACCTCGCAGAACACGGGGGTTGTTGTTCTACCAAGCGGTTGGTTTGTTTGTGTTGCTGTGTGAAGCACAGCGGCTTCAGTTCCCCATCTTACAGGGCTGGTAGACCGGCGATAATATTGTAAACGTAACGTACACTTTCACTGATATAGATTCATTTAGGTGTCTAAAATACGTCTACAGCAGTACCATTGCTTTGCTTGTCTGTTTCTCCACCTACTGCAGGTAATACTCCGACTGTGGATAAGCACCTCAAACAACCACACTTCCAATTGCTTCTGTTTATGCTAATGATCAAATCTGACAAACGTGCACATCATCAGGTTAAAGATTTGTGCAGCTAAGAGAGACCAACCTCAACCTGTTTTTTTTCTTTTAAATGAGTTCTGGATAGTTTAATAAAGTGAAGACAGGAGGGTTCGTCATGGTCAACATTGTGATTGGTAACAGTTTCTAAATCCTCGCCATTTAAGTTCAACGCAAAATCAAAAAAAACAACGAAAAGTGCTTTTTATACATTCTAGACGGTGAGATCACACCGAGCTCGGAATCATCCAGAGATGTTAAATGACAGAAAACTCAAGAGGAACTGTTGAAGCCTGTTGGCTACACAGCAAGTCCAGCTGCCTTTGACTCAGTACTCAACGTGCACGCCACAGTGTCAACCTCAGAACAAACAGCTACAAATCATTTACTACGGAACATACGCGCCAGCCTTTGTACCCGTGTGAAAGATGAGATTTACGATCAGATGAAACTGGAATGATGCTTGAGGGGGAACTGGGTAAGGAATGCTGACATTTAGAGACCCTCACCGTATATTTGTCCCATTTCTTCTCTGGATCGTATGGCTCCCAGCGACTAGCGGGGAAGATGTGCTTGTTCTTCTCATACCAGCTCCTCAGCACCACTTTACCTGCATGAGACTTGAGGCAAAATAATAAGACTGGATTAGCTCTCTAAACGCAGAAACCCCAAAAAAAAGAACCCACACCTCAAGTTGAGACGTATGAACTGACCTACTGACATAAGATGACAAAGAAAACATAGTTGAGCGTCATAGTCGTGTGAGTAGCTCCACCGTGAATATGGACAGCAGAGAACTGTTTAGCAGGAATGTTACATTGACAAAAATATCAATCTAACAGGTGCAGCAGTCGATCATGAAATGTATAAAAAGAAAACAGCCAAATTCCTAAACAGATTTCCAGACATTCATCCAGCAATAAATAAAGCAGAGATATTGTAAGCCACTCACGCATTTGAGCCTTAAAAAGAACAGAAAGAAAACAGTGGTCTTGGTAATTGTTAGGGTTTCAGTGTTGGCCGTGGTTACACTCCTCTTTTTAATGCTTCTTTTGTGATCAGATGTGCCACCTCGACACAAGGCCTGGCCGATCGGATCGATCTGATCTCGGAGCGTACAGACTCGACAGTTAATGGTGATCGGACGACACGGGTCGCATTGAAAAGACAAAGTGTAACAACGGCCTTTGACCGATACGTAGATGTTCTGTTAACCATCTTTAGTTCCTTCGGACATCAAGGTTGGTTCAGTGGTTCAGATCGACCAAAAAATTCGGTTCATTTCTTCTCACAATCTCTTGTTTTTGCTGTAAAATAAAATCGTCACCTCGTCTTTCTCAACGGTGGCGTCGTTCACCAGTCGAATGTCATCGTGGACGTCAAAGCTGAAGAGAGGACCTGTGGGAGGATATACAGCTCAACTTCATGGTGTTCCATATATAGTACAGAGCAAATACTCATGGTGCAATGTTTGGTGTTCTTTAAAAGTGTAACAAAAAAAAAAAAAAATCACAGTTTAGTAAGAGAATGGGGCTGAAAGATGTTGTTCACTTACCAGATTTGCCTCTGGCTTTGGTTACAATGAAGTCGTAGAAACTGTGGTGCTGAATGAGAAACAGACAAAGACAAATTAAACTCTTTCTCTGCACTACAACATCCTCAAATATTTGGAATAAAAAACAGCAACGTCCACACAGAGCATGTCTTGAGGTATGTCGCCCTCCAATTTGCAAATGCTCCGTTTCAAGATGTTTCGGCTTTACTTTGGGGGAGCTGTCATGCTAGAGTCTATGAGAAACCCGCAGTCCAGAGTAGAAGAGTAATATAATGGATGTCACTCGTTTGAACAGTTCTTCATTAACAGGAATGTAGCACGACAGTAAAGTGACAGCAGTGCTTTGTTGATTTGATTCTATTTTGCTTCTAGGAGATGAACTGTGAAAGGGGGCCAGTCTCACTGTCTGCAATAATCCAACTGGCTATCTGTCGAGGGAACCACAGCGATGCTAGGTTCCTGGGTTTCCCTCCAAAGATACGTCATCTCTGCAGCACTTTATGTGGAAGTGGAATCTAAATATCTTGTCCCTAAAATCAATGAATAATCGAGAGAGTAAACGTGATCTGAATATGGATCAAAATAACTGTGATAATCATGTTGGTCTCCTGACTGAGAAGACAGTTTGCATCATGAATAACTCGAGAGGAGCCTTGCTGGTTAGGAGGGCTATAAGTAACAATGATGATGAATTATAAATTATTTTTAATGAACGAATTATTTGTTTTTGAAGGTTTTTGATGTTTATTTTCAGTTTGTCCAGTAGAGGCATGGGCTGGATGAGAAGGAAGGGGACATTGGGTCTTTGTTCATACTGTTGCTCTTTGACATCCTTTCAGTTCAACCTTCTTCGAGAATGATAAAAACATTTAGAGAAATAAACACTGAAGGTGTCGTATAAGCTGCAGCACCAGAACGCCAGACCAACCGAATCAAAACAAAGTCAAGCAGCAGCTGAGCCGTCGGAGCTTACATGTGGGATGATCAGATCCTCTTTGATGTACATCAGCTGCTCCACTCCTGCAGACCTGCACAAAGAAGAGATGAAGTCAAATGAATTCACACATTAATGTAGAATAAATGTGAAACGACATTTCCCCGGGTTTAAAGCCTCTGTGTGTGGGGTTGGAAGGTTATCAGAGACGTCGCTGTGGCAGACGACAGAGCTTGACGTCATCATTGCAGTGGGAGAAGGGGGAGACAGTCTGTGTGTAGCTGAGTGAGTTCTAGCATGTGTGTCTATCTATCTCTGTTATATGCGTTGGTTTGGTTTCAAATAAGAGTTTCAACTGCATCTGGAGGTTCTGAAGGACTGGGGTGAGTGGGAGAGCAGTTCTGGATGTATTGTAGTTTGTTGATGATGTTGGTGGATGAGCCGTACAGGATGCTGTTGCAATATAATAGTTAATATAATACGGTACGAACCATCTACATGCTTCCACTAGCTCAGATTATGGAAAACAACAAAGTGTGTTGTCATAATTATGCAGACGACACACAAATCTACAAAACTATATCACCAGAGGACTACAATCCCATAAAAGGGCTTTCAAGGATATTATTCAATTTCCTGCACGTTACTTCTTACACTGCTTTTTAGTGTTTCAATGAATGTTCTTAATTGTTTTTAAATCTCCCTTTTCTTTTGCCTTATGTTTTGATGCTTTTAATGGTTTTATGTGAAGCACTTTGAATTGCCTTGTTGTTGAAATGTGCTCTACAAATAAACTTGCCTTACGACATTTGATGTTTCCTCTCCTGCAACTATTCACTGATGTTGTTTTGACCGCGTGTGTTTGGTTGAGACTACTTTTTGTCCTCTCACCTGAGCTCGCTGAAGTCCTTTCTGAGGACCTCCAGCGCCCTCTGCAGGAAGTTCTGGATGGTATTTCCCTTCTTCATCTGCGGGCGAAAAATACACACAAAGACATCAGGAAGACTCAAAGAGAGTAAACACGATGTTAAGTGTACAGTGTGACCAAGGGACCGGTGGGGAAAGTGGGGAATCTGCCCGTACATGTCCCAGTTATCAATTCTCTTCACAGGGTTTACATCAGCTTCTGTGGCCTTTTACGAACTGAACAGTGAACCGGTGCTGCGGCCCGACGTGCTTTACCTTGACAGTCTTACGATGTCCAGAGCCGTCCCAGTAGCTGAACGTGATCTCAATCTCCTCACCTGGAGACAAAGAAACGTTATTTGGGACTGAGAGCGTGCATGTTTGTGCGTGTAAAGCGGGGAAACGACAGAAAAAGGGAGGAATTCTTCACAGCTGACACGTTTGACCACAACGAGACACACTGGTCACGGAATGTCTGCTTGTGATTAGAGTTACACTCAACTCACTCTTAATCTTCTCCTGCTTGAGCTCCCACTCCTGCCTGAGCTCCTCTCTGAGACGATTCTCCTCCTCCTGAACACAGAAAGCAGACAAAAACACAAGAAGTGAAAATGTAACCTGTTTTTTTTTTAGAGGAGGGCCATGTTGCATTCACAAAACATTAGAGAGAGGATACATGACAAATGAGCATCTCAACAGTTTAAGAGTGTAAACTTTACCGCTGTGTGAACTAGATGAAAAGACTCACTGAGGGTACGGCTTTAGGATGCTCCATACATACTATAGAGGCCGATCAGATCACACAACAACTTTGAATTGAAACGTTTACAATACTCGTTCGCTTGCTTTCTCGCCAGTAGGCTCGGGTGGCATTATGGTACTCCAGGGTGTTTAGATACAGTCATAAATAAACAACGCTGACCTTTCTATCATGCCGTATTGATGAACTGTAGTGCACCGCCAGAGGTCGGTCTCTGCGGTGTCATAGGCAGCTGAGCTCAGACAGATGGCAGCGTTTGGGTTTAGTCTTCTTCATTAGCTTACACTTTATAGTCACATCTACTACCAGCAGCCGCTCTGTTCAGCCCACTGATGTGTCGGTGCCTGTGTGTACATTAGCATCAGTGACGTTACAGCTGTGAGCTTTACGTACCTCAATGTATGATTCAAAGTTAGAGGTCCGTTACGCAGCATTTCGTTTGATCAGACGATGCTAACAGAATAAGAACAGTAGAGTGAGCCTGTATTTAACCCCAAAAGTCCTGATCGGAGCACCCGTAGAAAGGTTTTGTCAATCCAAGCTTTTTGTTGAAATGAGAGCCAAGTAGGATGGTTTCCCTCTAAAAATAAATAAATAAATGCATTTAAAAAATGAAGCAGAAGATTAATTCCCATTCGCCTCACCTCTCTGTCTCGATCGGGAAGGAAACTTGTGTCCACGTCTGGGTTTTTGCCCAGATACTTCTTCCTAGCTGGAGAGTCTGAGAGACAAACATCATGAGACAAACGTGTTATATCTTCTTTAATCCGTGCAAAACCAAAGTGTAAATACGACCAGATGACATTTTTGTTATTTTACAATAAATAAGCAACAAAATGACTAAACTATATAATATATATAATAAATATATATTGAGAAAGCAACTAATTCTGCAACATAGGCATGTTTTTTTAGAAGGAACAAATCATCAAATCTGACATTAAAAGCTCGGCTTGTAAATCTTCAAAAACAGTGATGTCATATTTGCTGATAATCTCATTACATTCCGACAGCAATCAATAAATCAATCGCTCTGAGAAAATAATCTAGAGGCCGTCGAAGGACTTTAATAAGCCTGAAATGATTTAAAGGGAAAATCACACAAGACACAAATCAAATGAGAAAAGCTTGAGCGAGGTACAGCACACAGCTGATCCTCTGCGTGTGTTTCCTGATCACTACGACGCAAACACTCACAGTCCAGCTCTTCGTCTTCGTTCTCCTCCTCCTCCTCCTCTTCGCCCTCGTCCTCCGGGTTGAACGATAAACTGGCTATCTTCCTCTTCTGTTCCTCCTTTCGCTTCTTCTCCTTCTGCTTCTCCAGCTTGCTGCACACAGAAAGGCGTGAGTGATGAACAACCACAATAGAAAGGTAGACGTACCACAAAAAAAAAAAAAAAAAAAAAAAAAAAAAAAAAAAAAGAGATGATGGCCAAACAGTCCTCATTTCAAACGGTGCTTTCGCGAATCTGGATCCTAAATTCAGAGCGTTATTTATCCCACTTCCTGACAAACCAGACATGGCCACTTCCTTCACTGCGGCTCTAAAAGCTGCCACAGCCTCTGAGAGACGGGGAAGTCGGCCCGAGGATGACCGCCTTCCACAAGGAGTGGATTTGAGGACTGCTCGTTACAAATCGGGAATTGACAACAACATCTAGCTCGTGAGGTTACGATTATGAAGTCTCATGCAACTTGGAAACAAAAGAAGTTGCGAAGAAAATCATCCTCGACCACATAACTGCTTATTAACGCGAGAAGCAGAACGATCTGTAGAAAGGACTCTACAGTCTACGAAACCAACTGCGTCCGTTTTACACAGTAAGAAACATTGACCTGTTATAGAACCTCTCTCTCCAGCTCTCTTTCGTCACCCTATGTTTTACAATATTACGTCAGCTCCCGACTTTTCAACTCTGCCTTCCAGAACAATAATATCGACACTTTACATTTCCACTGTGGTCAGACGACACGGCGCACTAAATAGTTCTGATAGAGTCTACCCCGACCATAATAAAGTTCAGCTTTTAGAGGTTCTCCACCAGATGTCGGCACCAGGCTGCTCCAAATTCAGCCACAAGGGCATTCGTGAGGTCCAACCGTGACGTGATGTAAAGCCTTTGATTTGGATTAATAAGGCCCGGCTCACAGCGAGCGCCCCGGTTCATCCTGAAGCTGCTGAGGTCAGCGCTATGTGCAGGCCGGTCAAGTTTCTCCACACAGAACCACCCTGGGTTTGGAACCACTGCTCTAAAATATGGTTGTATGCTGTAGCATTAAATGTAAGTTTTGTTTGTCTCAACATGGGCTGTATTTTCAAATGTTTTTGCTTATGAAGGACCAAGGGGGGAACGACATATTTTGAAATTGGTCCAGTATTGAGCGAAAGCGCCGAGACGACGGCAGTCGCTATATACTGTAAGTTGCAATGTAATGTAATTTACGTCCACTAAAGGTGCTTGTGTTTTGCCACTGACAGGCTCATACTGCTATTATAAGTGTCTGACAACATCATGGAAAGGGTCTCGCTACAGGAAAAGCCTCGATCTGAAATCTGGTGAGGTCAAGTGTTGACGGAAGACAGGGGCGGGAACGCAAGTGCCGGCTGGAGCCGAGCTTGTTGTGTTGGGAGTACAGAAAGCACAGCTCAGTGTTATCTAAAAGCAACCCCCCCGAGGAGGAACGCTGTAAAGACTGGGACCTGTTGCTCCCTGATATTCAGCTTTCACAACGAGATGTCTCCTTGAGCAGGACTTGGACACACTAACAAACAGACTCATGGCTCATGCCATAGGTATAGAAAATAGTATTTCTCAGTCGGGTTCTTTCCATTATGTTGTCAGACACTAACAATAACAGTCCGAGTATATCAGCGGCCACAACAAGCACTTTTAGTGACGTAACGTTACACCGACGCTCTCACAGGTGCCGGCTACAGCCTGCTCCCCAAAAACTTGACCTATTTCAAACAGTTGTTGTCCTCAATAGTCCCTTCGACACAAACACATTGGAAGAATAGGGTTGAAAAGGTTGAACAATAACAAAGTTACTCTTCCCTTAAAGGGGCCTTGCTCAAACCATGAAAAAACAAGTACACAAAAGCACAGCCCTGTCCACATAGTTTGGGCTAAATGTTAAATATCTGATTAAGATACAATCTGCAGGATTTGTGCTTTGGTGCTATTGTTTGGTCAGATATATTTTTGAACTGCTGGGAGCAGCAATCAATAGTTTGTCTCTTGCTACAATGCATCAAATTCATGTGCGTCATTTGTTTTGAACCGATGCAGAGCCTCGTGCTCTACATCACCAACCAAAAGCTTCTGGGCTCACAGCGAGCCAACTCACAGTTGGAGCTCCTTGGACTGCTCCTTCTTGGCCAGCTGTTTCTCCCTCTCCTTCACCAGCGCCTCCTGCTTGGCCTTCATATCATTCAGCGTCACCAGACCTGACGGAGGCACACAAACAAGTCGAACATCCTTTTTGGGTCACGTTGTCGGCCGGTCAAGGCATGCGTGTGTGACAGAATGTAGTGCAACTTCAATACATTAATAACACAAGTATAAATACATCTGTATGTGACTGTACATCTCAAAATGTAAAGGGTTCACGTGACGTCCAACAGCAACAGACTCGTACCAACTGTGCTGGACTTCAGCTCTGCTTCCACAGCATCGTAGTGAGCTGAGAACTTCTTGTCGATGTTGGACTTGACCATGTTGTCCTGTGAGGGGACAGACACGCAGCAGAGAGCAGGAGGTGGGTTAAGGTTGTCCTGCCACTTCTCTAAAGCAGTACAAGTGACAGCAGGGTGCCTATGGGAGACTGTACGGTATAATATATGAGCTTTACTTCACATTATCATCAACTGGACTCAAACGTTACGTAGGAGTTTGAAAACACAGCCACGGCTCTCCTTCACTGACGCAGCTCTCTGGCCCCTTCACGGGTCTCCATGCTATACCTAGCTAATTGTTTTGACAAACAGTCATGAGGCTGATTTATGAGGTATTTTAATAAACATGTTATAACTTAGGGTAAAAGGCTAAGTCGCAAACCTCTGCAATCTTCTGCTTCAGCTGTTCAAGCTGCTCTCTTTCTTTTTCTCGCTTTTTCATCAGCTGCATGGCTCTCCCAGCCTCGCTGGCAGCTCCTTTGTACTGCGCCATGTTGCTTTCTTTGCTCTCGACGCTCGCGAGAGCTGAGAGTTTAATCCACAATAAACAAAGAGAGACGTTAAATTCTGAAATAAAACAGATTGTTTTTCTCCAGAACTGTGAAGGCAGATGCAGACCTCCCCGGCACACCACAACAAGAAAAATGGCGGCGACAGAGTGCATGCTGGGTAGTTAAGGGGTAATTATATATGATGCCTTCATGTACCTCAGGAAACCTCGGAATTGTGCCGCCCCACAGCAACAGGCAAATGTATTTATGTAAAATTGAGAGAGACGAATAAAGATATGTATATTGGATTGTTCAAATCACCAATGAAATATAGAAACAGAAAAAAGACAGAAGAAAACTTAGAAGTCTTCCAACTAACTTTTATTTCCCTCATTGAAGATTGATTTATTAAATGATAAATTTAAAAAAAACATTTTATACAAATTAATTTAAATGTTTTGCTTCTTAAACGAAGACCAGAATTATACATTTCTGATTAATTTTCTGCTGATTAGCTAAAAAACTAAAAAGCAGTCATTGATTGATTAAATCAACTTTATTCTCATCTGTGAAAATATCTGTAAAATCCATTCACATAGTACAGAATAATAACAACAACAACAGTAATAATCATAATCATAATAATAATCATAATAATACAAATTATTTGTAAGAATTGGCTTTATATAGAAAACATTTCAAATGGCATTCACATTATGCAGAACTATGCCAATTAAAAATCACAATAAAAGACACAATCATTTCTCTCACTCACTCACTCACTCACTCACTCGATATCACTCGTCATGTCTCACATTCATACAGTCTCTTTGTCTCTCACTTGATGCCAGTCCCTGTTCGACAGTGAAATGGTGATTTGACTGCAGCAGAGAGCGAGAGACGTACAGAAGGGAGCGATGAAAGCATTCACAGCACACATACACAGGGACCGTAGGCATGGAAGGAAGGTGTTGCTCAGCTGTAGGCAAGGCACCACAAACCTAGAGCGAGAGAGGGGGAGAATTATTCAAAGGAATCTGTCAGGACATACAGAGGAGTTAAGACACAGATTTATTACTCATTATTTTGAAGGAGTGTAAATTATAGTGAGGCCCTTGTCGCCTAAGGTCAGGTAGGGAGCAGCGAGCGTATGTAGCATGCATAAGTTAATTCATTTGACTGTAGGTCACAAATCCCTGACCAGGCAATGCTTCTGGTGCAAAACATGCAGATTGTTAACCCATGACTCGATTTCTGCTGGTTGCTGAGCAAACCTCACGGTGATAACAAGACTCCATCTTCAACCAACATTTGTAGAGATTCAACAAACGAGATATAATGTGCCAACTCGTGAGCTTTAGAGGTGCTGGTAGGTGGCTTTTGTTACCTTTGGACAAAGCCAGGGTAGCTGGTTTGAGCCTTTGTGCTAAGCTAATCTAATCACCTGTTGGCTGTAGCTTCATATTACTATTACTATAATATCTGAGAGTGGTATCAATCTGCTCATATGATTCTCGGCAAGATGGTCAATTAACATGATTTCCAAAATGCTCAACTGTTTTAACAGCAGGAACATTCAGACACATTAAAGAAATACTATAATTTACACAGTTTTGAAAGAAAATGCTGCATTAGATTTGTCAGGGAACCAGATGAATCTGAAAGCTTTGTTTTCTCTGTTAGATGCAGATGGTCCTCTTCCGCTTTACAAAAATTCCAGCGGCCTTAGACGTGCTGAGCCAATCACAATTGTTTATCTGATATTGTGGCGTGTTTAAAACAAAGACTGTAAATAAGAGTGCAGATTACAAACTCATAAAACACCATCTGATCTTGGCACACTGTACTGTGATTGGCCATCTACACAGACAGACATGGCCGCTGGTTTCTTGCTAGTCTCCCATTGACAACACCCCTTGGAAAATAAACTGGGATGTTCCAAACTAGTTCACATTGGCAATTTGGTCTAGTGATGTCAGGCTCACATTGACGTAAAATTACTTCCATTTATGTTGAATTCTTGTGGCTGGATGACTGTGAAAAACTTGAGTTGTGCTTCAGGAAAGGAATCGTATTTGTAGCAGATTTTATTTGCCAGGCCTGGGAGAGAAGGCAGAATGTTTTGTTCAAGACCGAGCGGTGTAGTAACCTGTCATTTTGTAGTTGAATGAAACTTAATGGAATGTGTGTCCACTGCAGCTGTATTTTTGATGTCTTAGAAACCCACGAGGGTTGGGCACATTATGTGCATGACACGGAAAGAAAGATATCAATCATATAAAAGAAACGAAATCAAAATGGAAAACTGCTTTTTTTCGTGGTTGACTAAATTAAGATTATTTGGCTAAAATACTTCCGTGGTGGAATGTAAGCCGTTAGTTTACCAACAAGCTAAATGTTACATTGCATTTGTAGTTGAGTTCAAATGAGCAGCTGATTATCATTCATGTTAATGTAATGTAAGGATTGCATTGTGCGTTTTTACTGCATCAGCGTACCAGACGTGTAGACAGGCGAGAATGGCCAGGGAAATACCACATAGGAGAGCGAAGGGCACGGCAAGCAGCAAGGAGAGGCAGCGGTACGTCCAGATACGAGTTGTCTCGAAGCCAGCAACACTGTAAAGCCACACTTTGTCTATGCTGTGAGGTGTGGCCGGCTCCGCCAGCACTTCACTGACCTCCACCTACAAGCAAGGGACGAGAGAGTGTCGAGTCAAGTCAGTTTATTTATAGAGCAAGTGTTGACTGAAGTTCTTTTTGGCACAAGAGATTTTAACGTTTTGCTCTACGTCAATATATATTATCCTTCTAGTTCATTTTGAAGATTTTTGTTGGTGACCGTGGTGGAGTTTGTTTATTGCCCTAAGTTAGCTTTTTTACATTCACGCTTCAAAAATCATAAAAGTAATCTTCATTTGTGAAGATTATCTTGCTGAACTGCAATAATTTCCAGGACAGAGGCCCAAGGAGTTTGCCTACACAACTAGTGAAATCTATGCAACCGGTGATTAAGACCTCTATCTTAAAATGTTGGCCGTTGACATCTTCAAGACAACTTAGTAGTGACTGAACATCATGTGTTTTGCTTGGTTTTAAGGGAAAATAAAGCAGCTTGTCATGAACTTAGCAACAATAAGGGATGGTATATTTTCTAAAAAGCGACTCCAGTCAAAGCAGATACAATCAAAATAAAATAGGGCCTAAAATGGAACCCTGGGGTACACCCAACACGTCCCCATACCTAGACGACAGACTACGTCGTTTGCCGATGACTCACAAAGCAACATAGATGTGACATTAACATTGTGAAATTGTGTTTTTAAACACCTGCTTGTCATTGTGAAACGGAGCTACTGGGTTACATTTAGGGGAAAGATTGTGGTTTGTGACCTAGTTATCACGTTACGTGACGCAGTACATGACATGGTTACGTACTAACGTAGTTACATACGTACTAACGTAGCTACATACGTACGAACATAGTTACGGTCGTACTAACGTAGTTACATACGTACTAATGTAGTAACATAGTACACAACTTAAAATAATTACGACGGCCACCAGAGCTCGCCACCTAACAAAAGAACGTAAATACGAGTTGTAGTAAGCTTCTTGCAGAAATGTCCTATACCTTGTGGACGTTATTTTCGTTGAGACTACACCACACGTGAAAGCAGCAGAGGGGGATGAGAAGTTATTATTTGATATATTATTATACATCAAACCGACTGCTAACACTGCTCTGGAATACAAAATAGAGAGAGGGTGGAAAAGGGTGAAGCGAACCTTTAGGTGCTGGTTGATGCCATATGGGTCCCTGTTGACAGGAAATGTTGCTGTGGGCCTGGGCGTGGGTATGGGCGTGGCAGGGGCCGTGGGACTGGGCGTGGCAGGGGCCGTGGGAGGGGTCGGAGGTTCAGGCGCTGGGGTTGGGGCTTTGGACGCAAACTCCGGGGGAGGAGGAGGCGTGTTTATCTGTTCTTCATCGCTGTCATCATCAATCTTACACTCCACCAGGCAGTCGTCGCTCACCATCATCATCCTCGCCCGAGGGAAGAGAGAGGCACACGTTTGTTTTCACACGAAGATAGATGGAGGTACAGAGAATTAGACACATGGGCAAACCTGCAGTCGCCCTCTCCTGGTCTCGTCTGACATTGACATACACACATTCATACCGCAGACCAATGCACATGCACACACACACACATACACAAATACACTCCTGCAGCAGGCATGTAGCGTGTCACAGTGAGCCGAGCGCTGCCACCTGTTCTTTAGCCCCCCAAAAAAGAAGCTATACCAAAGTCTGTAAATAGCTGCTGGTCGTTTTAAAAGCTGAATTGTGTTATTTTTATCTTGAGACATGGTTCAAAGTCTTTTACAGCTTGCATGAAAGACTTTTAATCAAATCGCATGTATCAGATTTTATACAAAATGTGCATGAACCGAAAGTGTAAAACTGTATTTGCAACTCATACCCTCATCGCAGCAGACCTACAACAGGGTCAGCAGCAGTATAAATGATGAATCTTGTGTCTGACTTACCTTTCTCAAAGTGCTATCTTAATCCTGTATCAGTGACAGAGGCCTGCGGCCAGAGGGGAGCCCTGCAGAGAGTGCTAATCTGAAATGTCAATGAGATCAGTTCAACCGCTTAATCACAAATGTCCCTCAGAGCTGAGCTGGCTCATGAGAGCTCATACAGAGGCACAGAGGCACAGACACACACACACACACACACACACACACCAGAAGTGCTAATGTGTTTCAGTGCTTCTTATTCCATGTGTGTGTATGTGTGTGCGTATGTGTGTGTGTGTGGGTGGAAGGGGTTATTTTAGGAGGAGCGGTTGGGCCCGGAAAGATCGCCTTACAGCACTCGGGTGCCGTCGTACACAGAAATTTAAAACAATCAACACACACTCCAACAATACAGGAAACAAGTGTAAATTCAGACTCAGATTTATCCAGCCATACTTCTTTTGTGTGTGTATGCTAGCTAACGCTGCATGCTGCTCTAAAGTACTGACTTACTCCATAACAGTCAAGATGTGAAATTACCTCTTGGTTCAAATCTATGTTTTATATTGTTGGACCATGTTTTTATTGATTAACAGGTAGGTCACTTGGAAGTATATTTATTTCAATATTTGCTTTTTTTCTGAAAATAATCGATCTCCTTGCACAGTTACAGTGCAGCTTTGTCTCGGCAAGATCTTCACCAAAATCCATTCACTGAGAATAAACGCTCCAAAACCTTTTTACTATCTCTACTCGTCACACCTCGGCCTTATTGTCCAAGGTTGCATTGCATGTCTCAGCTCAAATCAGAGTGCGTGTTTCCTTCTTAGATTGTGTCATTTGAAGAGTTTTAAGAAAGTGGGCAAATTTCCAGTATTTCGTAATAAAGAGGCAAAGAGTTGAGAGAAGTCAGACAAAAGAAATCTATATTTTCTTATTTTCAAACGTTATTAATGATCTTGAGACTCCTCAGATGTAACATCAGCGTGCTCCCGAAATGCAATCACTGCCCTAAGCATTATCAGATCAAACCACAGACTGTATGAGAAGTAGTCACTGTGATGTTATCCATTGGTTTGTGGACTGCCATTTTGATGCCTCGACTTCTGCGATTTGGCCGTCGTCATATTGTTTTTTTGCAACTAGAGGTGACACGAGAGGGTGGAGCTAAGTAGAACAGAATGCTGAGTAAGACCTTTTAGGAGACAATAATGTTACAATTTACTTTCATGAGCTGAAAACACACTGTGAAAGGGGAAAAGTTCTAAAAGGAAAACACATACAACTCCCACACTGGGAGCGACCGGTCAATCACAGTAAGCCCCGCCCTAAAGCATACTCTGCTTTATGGTCTATTTGACTCTAAATGGACCATAAGTTACTAAATGAACATCATGCTGTGTTGAAGAAGACTTGAAACTAGAGATTGAGACCATAAACTCATGTTTACAATGTTTACTGAGGTAATAAATCAAGAGAGAAGTAGAGTCATTTTCTCATAGACTTCTATACAACCAGAGGAGTCGCCCCCTGCTGGCCAGTAGAGAGAATGCACGTTTAAGGAACTTCCACATTGGCTTTACTTTGCCACCTGGTTCAACGCGACAACTTTTGTTTAACATTGCAACTGCGCACCTGCAGCTCCTTGGCGTTAATTAAGATCAGCTGTTTTCCAAGTCACGTGTAGTAATGAACTGGAGTTACATAAAGAAAGTTGAGGAATCATCCCCAGCTCTGTTGTCGCAGGCAACTGAACTCGATTGAGATAATGAACAAACTCTGAGTATTGAATCCAATTTAGCATTACATTCATTACTGACTTGGATTTAGTTTAACTTTACTCAAAGAAGTTCTAACTTCAGCTCAGATGCAGGAGCACTTGGGGCTGGCTCACTGGGGGATGTGACTGTGCAAGTCCGGCACGGTGCTGTGCCCAGCATTCATTGCCTATTTTGGTCCTCTGGACTACAGAAGCCCAGTGAGGCCAGTGAGATAAATACATATTCTGGTGATCTATTATCTGAGTGTGATCTAAATAGTTTTCTTTCCTGTGTTTATGACTTAAGAACAGGTTTGCCAGAACAATCATTCTAAGTTCCTGCATGTTTGAAAAAGATGGACGTTGCTAGGTGTACAAAAACGTTTTGCCAAGATAATTTTTCTAAGTTACTTTTCTTTTCCATCTGCACCATTAAGCCATGTTCCAAATAGGACGGCACATAGCGCTGATGAAAAATGTATTTCTAGTCAAATGAAAGACATGTCAATAGTGTTACATAACTTGCTAGCACACAAATGATGTACCTTGTGTTTAGAGTGCATGGAGGAATTAAAACATGCTTTTAGTCCTATTTAGAACGTGCTGCCCACTAGCCGTGTGTTCCAAATGAGTATTACATCAACAAACAGTTAAAAAACACAAAAATCACCAACACCAAAAAAACATTTCACCTGGTTTTACGGAAGAAAATTAGGCAACTTAAAAACTTAAAAACTAAATAACTTTTTTTTCTTCACCTGTTTCAGAGATGGAAAGAAAGGAAACAGGAAATAAGGAAAGATGATCCAGGTAAAACCTTTTTCTTCACCTGTTCTTAAGTCCTAAACTATTTAGATCAGCCTTAGAAAATTAGGGTTAGGGTTAGCCTCTCAAGGCTTCCGTACTGGACAGCTTAGGTACGCAGTGATGACTGAATATTGCATTATGTTACAATTACAGTTTTAGGAGCTAAAAAGCTGAACACACAGGAGAAGTGTTTCCTTTATGGCTTTCTACCAGAAAAGGTTTATTTTCTTTCGAACCATGATCCTTTCTTGAACCTAACCAAGTAGATTTGTTGCCTAAACCTGAGGAAATTTCTGTCAGGAAGGGCTGAAGCCAAACTTGGCCCCCTGCACATCCTCTCCTGGAATACAGTCGTTAAAATGTTTAAATACACGACAACCCTTGATCATTCATCTCTTTATCATCTTTATTGAATTTAGTTTCTTTTTTAACCACATATACAATTGGACACAGTCAATTTAGTGACATTATCAAACAGTGATCCAGAATAACAGGGTGTTTTAATCACAGGGGCAGAATCGATTTTAAAAAAGGATTCTACTTCTATGCTTCCAATACTGAAACAAGACAGAGGGGAGATGCCATGAGAACAAAGTTAAATGTACACCTCACTGCAAACATCCTGAAACAAGGAGACCTGTGGACGGTGCTATAGATCTATCCAGAGCGGGGCCAAAATGTGTGACAAGAGTTTCCAAAGTGGCGACAGAAATGTCGCCCGTTGCATTCACAGTTTAAACCAGAGGAAGCCACTGAATCCTCTCTGGTGTGGGGGCCGTTTTTTGGCTCTTGAGGCTATAGGGCACATGTTTCCAGTTGAAGAGCGAGTCAACCAAAGCCCTGAGTGTAGAAAGTCGTACTTGTTCCTTTCGAAGCCAAACCTGAGTTAGCCCGGCTCTAACTCTGCAAAAAGCCCTGAGTTTTGGCCTGCTTATCAGGCCATGTATCACATATGAAGGGGATGTGTTTTCTGTCTTTGTGTGTGTGTGTATGTGTGTGTGTGCTAACGCTGCATGCTGCTATAAAGTACTGACCGAACTGCTAACATCTATGGGGCGCCAAAATGTTCAATATTAAATAAATAAATCATTGTGATATAAATATTCACATGAATAAACTGTGTAAGATATATAAATAAAACAATCATCTGTGATATCATGACTAAGACATTATTCTTATTATCATTATAATGAAATGTTATGTCATCATAAGTGATGAAATATCAGATTTTTATAGATTGCATTGGCCCGATAGGTGGGAGGGCATCGACTGCACCACCATCGTGAAAGGTGACATGAAATTATGAAATGTGACTTTATGAAATGAAACTGTAAATGACACAATAGTGTCATCGGGAAAAATGCCACCATGAAATAAAAGCAGACCCTTTTGATACAAACATGTCCATTATAAATTATATCCAATCAAATTAAGTTTTTATGAAAAATGAATAAATGGTGAAATAGCATTTTAAAATAATGACTTGACTTTTGAAAATGTCTTTAATTGTTCCATAAAATTCTGGATAATTTCCTAATTTTACATAGTTAATTCATATATGCTTATTCATTGCATATTGTCTTATTTATTATTGAACACTAGACTTTTTATTAACATAATACTCAGAGCTCAAACCTACTGGATCTCTTCAGGTGGAATAAGAGTGAAAGACGTGAAGGCACTCAGGCCCCCGGATCAGTTTTCTTTTTTTTTTCTCAATGAAGCAAACATCATCAGGGGAGAGCTGATCTCACAACCTGCCACTAGGGGGCAGCTTAAGTACTTTGTTGCTGCTCGAAGTATCATGGCAACCGCTTTAAAAAGTCATAGTGATGTCACATCCCTGATTCTCCAAAAAGAAAAAGAAAAGATCACAAAAGCCTGGAGAACAAAAAAACGACCGGAACGTAAAAGCAGCTGGAGAACAGACACACGGGACGCACAGTAACACGGCACCGACACTAGTGGCACTATGAGATGGCAGCGACGCAAATATCATACATGTGTCAATAAAAAAGAAATCAAGATCTTCACCAAATGTATCATCATGTATCAGCATAATCAACGTTAAACAATGAATCAGCAATTCCAACCTCTCCCCCTCTCTTAGTCCATCGGCCTGAAAAGGGCCCGTCCTCTGAGGCCGAATCCGACTTTTTTGGCAGCGGGGGCAGCTTGAGGAAGAGAGGAGGAGGAGGAGGAGGAGGAGGAGGAGGGAGCAGTGGCGGCGAGGGCGGATGACGGCATGGCAGGCTGGCGAGACAGGAGCTCCTTGAACACGGAGTTCATCTGACGGCTGATTATGTCCTGAGAGGGAGGGAGAGAGGGGGTGAGGCAAACAGTTAGGGGGAGACACATGGAGGACAACGAAAATGTAGCATTAAAGCATTTATATTCAAGTATTTCTGTTATTTAGAATCATGGCCTTTGGCTCAACCATCACAACAGTTTCAATGTGCAAAGACAAAGAGCCGAGCTGACTCGCTGAACTCTTACTTTTAAAACGCCGTCCTTGGATAAAAAGTGCAATCACATGACATCAGTCCTCAGAATACACAGAGCTCACATTAGCACATGTTTCAGTGCTGTTGTACTTCCACACACATCACTGTATTAATGCAAACCATACAAACTGCTTTTTTCGTTTCTTTTTCTAGGAAATAACTTCAATTACTGTTAATGACTGCCTGCATCACAATACAGTGCTGCTGTGGCTTACAGCTCCAGCCCCACCCCTGAAACTGGCTTACAGCTCCAGCCCCACCCCCGAAAGTGGCTCCTAGTCCTCAGCCAGTTTTGATACAATCGGCGAAGTTAAAGTGCCCTGCCCTTCCCCCACCTCCACCTCGGCTCCACAACCATCCTCTGTCTCCCCTACCTGATAAAGGCAGGGCAAGGCAGGGCAGGCCGGTGCGGAGGACTCGGAGCTGGAGTGATGTGATCCACTATCTTGGATGCTATGATTGATATCTTCTGGGTCCAGGCTACAAGGCTAATGACACCAATGACTCTCTCCAGGAAAAGTCGGGGCCCTGTATGCAGCTAGGCTTCTCAATTCCTGTTCTGCTAGTTTATAGAAAAAGAAAGGTGAGGCTGCGAAGCAACAATAGTAAACCTGCAAACTTATCAAACTTAACATACTGTACATTCCTCGTCAGCCTGTCCAAATAAATTGGGCAAAGAAAGCTTTAACCACATTAAACTTAGCTTTATTAAATGTCAGGTCTCTGTCAGGAAAAACATTTTTAATCAATGATTTTATTGTTAGGCACAAACTGGACATTTTGTTTTTAACTGAAACATGGTTAAATCAAGATAACAGTGCAGCTGTTCTTATTGAATCAACACCTCACAACTTCAGTTTCATGAGTGAAACAAGAGCGCATAAGAAAGGAGGTGGAGTTGCTATTTTATTTAATGATTCTCTTCAATGCAAGCAGATGTCCTTTGGTCATTTTACTTCTTTTGAATATGTCGCTCTGAATTCCACTCGAGCCTTATTCCTAAACATTTACAGACCGCCTAAATACTGTGCAACCTTCTTTGATGAGTTTACTGAACTGCTGTCTATCATCTGTATTGATTTTGACTGTGTTGTTATTGTTGGTGATTTTAATATCCATGTTGATAATCCCCAGGACAGAGGGTCTATAGAACTATGTGGTGTCCTTGATAACTATGATCTGACTCAGCATGTGACAGGACCCACCCACAACAGGGGGCACACTCTGGACCTAATCATCACCAAAGGTGTAAACATTTCCAAGGTCGCTGTGACTGATGTTGCACTCTCTGATCATTTCTGTGTTTTCTTTGAGAGTGCAATCTCCTTGCACACAAATGTCCAAACCAAGGTTGTGACGAAGCATTACATCTCTGAAAACACCAGTGAACTATTTATTCAGAAGTTCTCCTCCTCACCAGCCCTCTCTTGCATCTCAGTCAATGAGCTTGTAGATGGCTTCAATTTTAAAGTTAAAAATATTATTGATGCCATTGCACCCACTAAAGTGAAGGTTGTCTCGGGTAAGCAAAGATCTCCTTGGAGAAATGCTACGCTGGTCAAAATAGAGAAACGAGAGTGTCGGAAAGCTGGTGGCGAAAAACTAATCTCCAGGTTCACTGTGACATCTATAAAGAGAGACTTCGCAATTATAATTTGGAACTTAGAAATGCAAGGCAGTCCTTCTTCTCTGACATCATAACCAAAAACAATAACAATACATATGCCTTATTTGCTACCGTCGACAGGCTACCAAACCCTCCAGTGTCGGTAGCTGCTGAGCTCCAATCCACCTGGGCATGCAATCAATTTGCCTCCTTTTTTACTGCCAAAATTCAGAAAATTAGACAAGCAGTCAGTGCCTCCACACCAACCACAGGATGTGTTGTCCCCTTCTCTAAATAACATCCATTCAAATATCATGACACAATTTCATTCAATCGACCGTAGAAGCCTAGAAGACATTATACAACATCTGAAGTCATCCTCCTGCTGCTTGGATATTCTACCAACACACTTTTTCAAAAATATTTCAAACTGCATGACCACTGATCTTTTACAAATTGTAAACACATCCCTTCTCTCAGGTGTCTTCCCACAAGCCCTAACAACTGCAGTTATTAAACCGCTCCTAAAGAAGGCTAGTTTAGACTCCGCAACAATGAAAAATTATAGGCCAATATCAAACCTCCCATTTTTAAGTAAAATAATTGAAAAAGCGGTCTTCCAGTCAGGCTTTCGACAGCACCACAGTACTGAAACTGCTCTTGTTTAGGTTTTCAACGACATCCACTTAAACACAGACAATGGCAGAAGTTCAGTCTTAGTATTACTGGATCTCAGTGCTGCATTGACACGGTTGACCATGCCATACTCCTAGAAAGACTAAAAGTCTGGGTGGGACTCTCTGGCACAGCACTTAACTGGTTTGAATCCTACTTGAAGGACCGAGAATACTTTGTGTCTGTAGCTAATTACACATCAGAGCTGACTAAAATGATATGTGGTGTTCCCCAAGGTTCAATACTGAGGCCTCTTCTGTTCAACATCTACATGATTCCACTAGCTCAGATTATGGAAAACAACAAAGTGAGTTATCATAATTATGCAGACGACACACAAATCTACATAACTATGTCACCAGGGGACTATAATCCCATGCAAGGGCTGGGTGAATGCATTGAACAAATCAACAACTGGATGTGCCAGAATTTTCTTCAATTAAACAAAGATAAAACAGAAGTAATTGTTTTTGGTACCAAGGACGAACGATTGAAAATCACCGCTCAGCTTCAATCACTGATGTTAAAACCCACAAACCAAGCCAGAAATCTAGGTGTAGTTATGGATTCAGACCTCAGCCTGAACAGTCATATCAAGACAATTACAAAATCAGCCTACTATCACCTGAAGAATACATCAAGGATTAGAGGACTTATGTCTCAACAGGATTTGGAAAAACTTGTCCATGCATTTATCTTGAGCAGACTGGACTACTGTAACGGTGTGTTTACAGGCCTCTGTAAAAAGTCTGTCAGAAAGCTGCAGCTGATTCAGAACGCTGCAGCTCGAGTCCTCACTAAGATCAGGAGGGTGGATCACATCACTCCAGTTCTGAGGTCTTTGCACTGGCTTCCTGTCAAACAAAGAATTGACTTTAAAATCCTGTTGTTGGTTTATAAAGCACTGAATGGTTTAGGGCCAAAATACATCTCTGATCTGCTGCTACCTTATGAACAATCCCGACCCCTTAGGTCGTCTGGGACCGGTCTACTTTCTGTTCCCAGAGTCAGAACTAAACATGGAGAAGCAGCGTTTTTCTGCTCCACATATCTGGAACAAAGTCCCAGAAAGCTGCAGGTCTGCTGAGACCCTCAGCTCCTTTAAAGCAAGATTGAAGACTTTTCTGTTTGCTGCTGCCTTTAATTGAACCAGATTCAATTAATATATGAATCAATTTCCTGCATTTCTGCATTTTACTACTGTATTTTATTTCTTACACTGTTTCTTAATGTTTTAATGGCTGTTTTTATTGTTTCAATGAATGTTCTTGATTGTTTTTAAATCTCCTTTTCTTTTGCCTTATGTTTTGATGCTTTTAATGGTTTTATGTGAAGCACTTTGAATTACCTTGTTGTTGAAATATGCTATACAAATAAACTTGCATTGCCTTGCTCCATTTTGAATGATTGAACTAAAACAAAAGTCTCAAAGTTATGAAATCTTGGATAAAAATGAGTGGGTGATAAAGAACAGAAATTGTAAAAACTGATGCATAATTAAAACGTCTTAATAACAATGTTTTTTTGCGAATTAAAGGACTTGTTATGGCCAGAGCCTCCATGCACTCTAAACACAAGGTATATATACTGTGTGTTAGAAAGTGATGTAAATAAAAACTCAACTGGAAGAAAACATGAATGCTTTGAGTATCCTGAAAAAAATAAAATTCACCTGTGAAAAACGTTTTCCTACCTGTTTCACAGAAGAAGAAGCTGTTCTTGAGTCATAACAACACAGGTGAGAACAGATTTGAATCAGACCAGAATTGTATTTTTTCACCGAAACTTTTCATTTCGGTCAATGTAAAAAAATATATAAAATGTCTCTCCTCTTAATGGAGAAGTCCCCTGGTAGCAATTCATTGCACCATATCGCTGATTTCCAGGCTGCTGGACCCTGAATACAAAGGTTTTGAGAGCAAAACTAGGGCCGACAGAATTTACGGTTTCTCAAGATTCGAGGGCTTCACAGGTGTGATGTGTCAGCCTGCAGAGTCCAGGACGAACCACCAACCTTGTCGGCTGCTGGTCTCTCCGCCTGACCAAATGGAGGTTTGTCTGTGGGTCTGAAGGTGCCCTGTCTCACAGTGTCCAAAGTGTGTCTTCGCTCCTGAGACCTAAAAGACAAGAGGCAACACGGGTTAGACAAAACCACGAGTGACGATAGATGGAGGTTACTGAAGATCTGATCTGAGCCATGTTTCATGTTTTGAAGAGAGAAGCTTTTCTCCATCTTCTCACACAACAAAGATAACTCACATCACATCAGATCATGGCAACTGTTCACATTTCAGTCAACAATTGAGTGCAGAATATCTTTTCCTGTATGTGTTCCTCTGTAGCAGCTTAATTGGCACTTGGCAAGACTAAAGCTTTGTTTATCCTCGCGCTAGGCGCCATAGCACGAGCTCTGAGCATGCACGGAGGCGTTTATGCTCTCTGCGCCGCATTAGTCTCTGAAAAATGCCAGAGGGCAAACAAACAAAATAAACTGTGAGGAACCAAACAGACAACGAGTGTAACTCATAGATATGCCCATAGACTGTAGGTGTAACCGGCAAAAAGCCATGAATCAACCTCCACCATAGTGTTTCTGTAGTGTCTGTTTGAACTATTTGTGACAGTCACGTGATCGTGTGCGCCAACTTACAATAAATCAAAGGTGCACGACCAAAGCACCGCGGCCACTTTTCCCGCACGAGTATACTAGGTCGAGTACAAACTGAGCTTACCGCTGCAGACCATCTAGTGTTGATGCTGTGTGCAGGACTGTTAGGGTGCCTGTTATTAGCTGGTATGATGTCTGATTTCCATTAACGCCCTTTGATTCTAAACCTGCAACAATTGATTTTTTGGTCACTTGTGGGCGGCGGAAACAAGCTGTGAACACAACACTGACGTATTATCGACTTACAAAGTCGATACCATGAGTCGTTGTTCTGTCTCTCTTTTAGCTCTGTTTGGGTCTCCACCAGCCCCTGAGGGAAATACCTGGCTGTTTTAGCTGCTTCAATGCTAAACGCTTTGTTCACCAGCTAAGGCCTGACTTTGGTCTGACCGCTGTGTGGTGCTGCTGGGTAGGTAGCGTACAGCGGGTTCATCAGAGCATTTTCACTGAAAAACGACACTGAAAAGGACGTGGTGAGGGTGAACCAAAGCAGTAGAGTTGTGGGTCGTTAAAAAAACAAAACAATGAGCTGAAAGACACTAAACAGACACATACAGCTGAGCTGAACCGCGGAGTCAGCTGATGATTGTCTGTGGGTTCGCCGATACGAGCGACCCCTTTAAATACACGTAGTCATACGACCCATTGTCCATTAAAAACATTGCTCACAGCTGCTTTCAAGTATGTTAATAGAATGTTGTGCGTTGTTTGTCTGTTATTCTTCTTTATGTTGATTGTTTCCACATAAATAACATTTATCCCCTATAGCTCTCTATATATTCCTATATGTAAGTGTCTATAAACCTCTTTGTATTTGAGTGATGAGTCAAGCACAGAGTGTTATACAGAACATGCATTGCCTCCAAAGTGCATGTCAGTCTTACACTGGCAGGTGTCGCGCAGCAGGAGAGGTTGGCGGCTTTTGACCGGGGCTCCCCTCGCTTCCTCTCTGTCTGCCAGGCAACGAAGCGCTGTCGCTGTTCACCCGCATCCTGTCGAGACGCACACAGAAACTTTGCAAATACTTGTGTGCATCCATGTGAGTTTGCTCGTGTGTGTGACCGTGTGCAATAATGAGAAAGTGAGTATTTCTGTCTTTGTGTGTGTGTATTTTGCTGTCCACATCTATTGTGCCTGAATACATTCATATATTGCAGTGTGCATTCAAGTGCGTATGTGTGTACATGTGTGTGTGTGTGTGTGTGTGTACCGGGTTGGGTTCTCCGTCTGTAGATCGTCTGCTGTCAGGTTTCCAGTGCTGCCTCCGCCTCCTCTGTCCTCTCTTTTCCCTCGCTCTGATCTGAGGGAGGAGAAGAAGAGAGACACATATTCAGAAGATAGTTCACTACGAGAAATATGGGATTAGGGTTGAGTGACAGAATAACCGTAGGTGGGAGCAGGAGTGATATTAAACGTGACCAGATTTTTATACAGAAAATTTTGAAGATGAGACAGAAATCTATAGCGAGTGGACAAAATAATGGCAAATAAAATGCAATGTAACAACTCTTCAAAAACACTATCTTTGTTAATTTGTCCACCCCTTGTTTATGCAACCTGCTCTTTCTCTGTACAACACATAGACTGTATATAAGAAGTGGATGTAGTCTTCCTGACCTCACCCACTGGTCTGTGGACTGCCTCCGGTTCTGCCGAGTGAAGCCAATGCAGAAGTGTCTTAAAACCTGCATTATCTCTACTGACCAGCAGGGGGCGACTCCTCTGGTTGTATAGAAGTCTATGAGAAAATGACTCTACTTCTCTCTTGATTTATGCTTTAGGGCGGGCTTACTGTGATTGACAGGCCTCTGCCGCTACCAGAGACGTATACGGCGTCTCTACGTCATTCCTCCACATTCCAAATATGATAACTTCTGTTCATTGGTTGCAAAAAAAACAACATGGCGACGGCCGTAATCCAAGATGGCCATGGCGAAATCACCGAACTTGAGGCTTCAAAACAGCAGTCCATAAAGCAATGGGTGACATCACGATGACTATGTTCACTTCTTATATACATTCTATTGTTAGCCCGCTACAATGGTCGCAATGGCAACGGTAGACATGAAAAAGGCCGGCACACCTCTAACCATCCGACTACGTTGATTTGAATGAATTTGTAACTTCCGCCGGTTAAAAATAACGCATCAGGTCTTTGCGAACAAAAACGAAGAAAAATGGATGTAAATTTCAAATTCAGACTCTGGTCTGAGAGGCAAACACAGTCTTCTTCCAAGACTCAAATAAAATGTAGTGTCTCAAATTGGGATCGAGGCCTTCGAAATCCACTTCAAGATCCGCTCCCCGTCATAAAGGAAGATCGTCTTGGCAGCTGTTCTGGATGAGTCTCGCAGTGGTCGGTGAACAGTTGTGAAGTGGAAATGTCACTCACCCTTCCAGCACGCTGATGTACTTGTGAGGGATGAGACCCTTAGCCCCTCCCACTTCACCTCTCCACCAATCACAGGAGGCCTTGCTGTGAAGGATGAGAAGCTCCCCTTGCTTGAAGGACAGCTCTGCTGGAGATCTCGCCGTGTAGTCAAACATAGCCACCGCCTCCCACTCTGCACACACATGCAGGGTTACAATCAGCTTAGGCCCAACAGATGTATTCTTACGAATCCTAATCTTAAATCTTTGTTGTACATTTATGTACAAGTATAGGGAGTGATGCATAGCCTATGTTTAATGGATTCCGGCCTCTGGTAAGTGTGTGCATGTGCGTGTGTGCACTGTATGTCCTCACCGTCCTCACTGGGCAGATGCTCGGTCTCTCCGTCTCCCTCCTCTGTGATTGGTTCACTGCGGACAAGCAGAAGAACCAAAGTCTGTGGTCACTGCACAGTTCCTGTTGTGTTCGACACACAGACCGACTTTCAACCACTCATGAAATGTCACATAATATTTCACACTGCTGTGAGATTTCTCAAATGACAACTAACACCTTCAAATCACTGATGATGCTCTGTCAAATGTCAAAAAGTGTAATATATATAAATATTCAGGAAGAAAACTGACAGTTTTAGTGAATTATTCAAGAGCTGATTTTGGCGTGTTAGAGGTTTCTATGGACACATGGAGGTTTGTTTTCAGTAGTGAGCAATCAGCTCAATAGTATTAAGCTGTCTTTACACTAGCATGGTATGAAATTCTGTTTCAAGAGGATGAGCCATGAAAAGAGGGGCAAGGGGGGGAAGCTTGGAACCATCTTTGTCTTGAACTCTGACATGACCAACAAAGCTCTGGGGCAACGTGAGGCTGTTGCCCAGTCATTCGTTTATGAAGAGAAGACAGAGATGAGTGGAGGTGACATTCTATTTAAACGTGAATAATGGAAGCCGGTTTAATCACATAGTTAGATTAATTCAACGATTCAACCAGATTTGACCAAAATACATCAAGACCATTTTCGTACCAAGCCCCGAAACTGACTAAATGTTGCATAAGATTATTAAACAAGTCAAGAACATAACGAAAAAAAATGAATCTAGAATATAAAGAAATAAAAAGCTTCAGAATTTTTCTTTAACCTGCAATGTTAGTTCAAAAGCAAAACGCTTTTAATATTTGTCTTGCTACTATCAGTTGCTAAATTGAATTAGCATTAGCTAGCTCACACTTTTAGCCTTAGCTTGCCAGCTAAAATAATAATATCTTTTTTATTAATATTGTAATTTATTTTATCAATCAGAATTCTGTTGGCCTCCATTTTAATTATTTAACAATAAACATTCATTATTGATTCAATTATATTTTTGACTTGTCATATGATTTTACTAAATGTTGTCACTTTGGGGTATGAAGCTTTTGGCCGAATATTTGCAACAAATGATGTTGCATTGGCATTTCATCACAACAAATACCACATCAAAGACTACTCGTCTCTCACCAGTACTCCTGCTCCAGAGTCATGTGCTTCTCGTAGACGGGGCCCGGCAGCTCTGATTGGCTGGGGTAGATGATGTCATGCTGGAGGATCATGGTTTTGACAAGATCGTTGACCTGTGGCTGCCTGGCAACGGCGTCATCGGAGTCCAACCCCCTCAGCAGGCTCGGACCGAAGCAAACGGCCAGGTTGTAGGGCTGCATCATGTTCTCGTCGCTGTACTGAGTCACACTGGAAAAAAACAGATTGTTTTATTTGTAAACTTTTATGACCATAGCAGGGAGTGCATGTGATAGAATATCCCACACTGGGTTACGTTGTAGCTTACTGATTGAGGAAAGCAAAAAGGTAGCGCATCACGATGAGGAGAGGCCGCGGGAAGGTGGAGATGATCGCCTTAATCTGGACATCTTTCTCCGTCACCCCTTCGATTTCTGATGATGATAGAGAGGAGAGGAGCAGGATGAGTAAAGATTCAGCTTGTGTTTGTTGCAGTCGCAGTCTCTCCATGCCCACAGCTGTTAGAAACTGTGTCACATGCATAAACCCCTCAAAGTTCAGACTTAAATAAAGTAAGTACTTAAACTACTGAGGTTGCAATGGCTAGGTTGACTTAGTATGCAGCTGACGGGAAACACAAGCATTTATGGGGAGTAAACAACCAGCGGGCAGGTTCACAACCCTGATTAGCTGTGCTGATTCTGACTCAGATTTTCTGTTTTTGGAAAACAGAATTGGGCCTACAGGAATAACGGAGGCAGTGAGAGAGAGAAACAGAGACAGTGCAAACAAGACAGTGAGATGCACTGGTAGACAGAGGAGACGTTGCACCATCTTGCATCAACAGTCAGTATTTTGCAGGGGAGAATTGCCTCACCAAGTAACTTTGTGCTTGGAGCGTCAGTAAAGTGGCATCCGCTGTGTGAGGCTGCTACTGTAGCGACGTATCCTCATACAACAGGTCGTATGATATCTTACGAAAAGTTAATTTTGGATTTGTGCATCCAGCAACACGAGCAATCAGCCCATGCAGAACCTGTTTAGTTAGGTTTCGAAAAAACATGGTGGTTTGGGTTAAAATAAGTATGTCTCAGTGGTGTCCCCAGCTAAGAATTTAAATTGAATGGTAAATGGACTTGAATTTGTTTAGCGCCTTTCTAGTCTTCCGACCAGTCAAAGCGCTGGGCCATTTTTTCACCCATTCACACACTTTCATGCACTGATGGCAGAGGCTACCACGCAAGGTGCCACCTGCACATCAGGAGCAACTAGGGGTTAAGTGTCTTGCCCGAGGACACTTTGACATGGACTGGAGGAGACGAGGTACGAACCGCCAATTTCGCGGTTGTAAACAGAACGGCGACCGCTTTGATTGGCTCTGTGGGTACAAGAATGGGACCTTCCAACGGCGGCGCGCAGTGAGGCGGAGAGACGAGGGGTGGGCTAGCTAGCTAATGCTAATTCCTGTCTCATCCATGTCTCATCCATGTAGGCCTACCGCGCGTACTTTATCGTAAAAACACACAAAAAAATGAACGCAGACAACAAGAGTTTTATTCATATGCTATGACACATATAGTCAATAGGTATCTTGTGTTGGCTATGTGAGGACATTATTACATTATAACCATCAACGGATGAATAGCGTACTAGCTTTGTTAAGCTAGCAAGCTAGCTAGCTTTGTTAAGTTTGTCCCAAATGTTTCATTAAAGTCACAAACAATGTTACAATTTTTTATTTAAAAAATAGTTAAATCGTACTTAAGACAGCATAGCCACGAATTTGACTGACACTAACAACCCGATAAAGTTGCTAGGCTGAAAGAGAAAACAACTAGTCAGTCGTTAATGGGTGTTCATTGGTGTCTATACACTGTAGCTTCTTTACATTCTATTAGAATGTAAAGAAGTTACATTCTAATAGAATGTAAAGAAGTTACATTCTAATAGAATGTAAAGAAGTTACAGTGTTGCCTTTTCTTTTCTTTCCACAAGAACGTAATTTTGTCAGGTTGATAAAAAAATGTCACTTTACTTCCTGACATTATTGTTATTTTACCCACCAATGATCCACGAGGGGCTCCATGGCTGGAATCAGACCCATCTCAAGCTCAATCATAATTAGCAGGATTATGCATTTGCACAAAGGTAGGAGTGTACATGAGGAGGCGGATCAGCTAAATGGAGGTAGACTATGCAGCCTAAATAACCGAGTAACCAAAAGAAACACACACAGACATCGAGGTCGTATATGGGGGACTTACGGACACACTCCAGCAGCTGAGAGTAGCTGTCGTAAGGGAAGAGAGGAGGCTCAAGGCCCCTGAAGTAAAGCTTCAACACACCGGCCACAGAGTCCAGGTCACACTCACTGTCCGACAGAGGATCCTCTCCTACGGGGAGTTTAAAAGAATGTTAGTCACTTGAATGCGTTAACGTAGCAACAGACGCTTGTGTACACTTTTTTTCGTGCTTAAAAAAGGATTGCAGAACAACAAAAAAAGACGAATAACAAGGAAACGTGATAAAAATCATAATAAAAATTAGGTTTTCTCCATCAGAGGAAAAAGTGATGCAATTTCAGAAGCTCACTTACCTCTCTCAAATGCATCTCTGATGTGGTTAACCTCCCTCTGTGACCCAGGAACTCTGAATATCCCCTCATGGTGGAGGCCTGAGACACACAACACATTGCATGTTCGTAGATGCACGATGTTCCATACAGGAGATAACATACAGGATTGATCACGGATACACAAATCAAGTGCTTCCACCTTCTCATTCTGTGTGTCCAAAGCTCTCTCAACATAACTCATTGCTTCACCATAAAGACGGACTCACCGTGAAGGTTGATGAAACGGATGCAGCTCTCAACCACCACAGGAATCTGCTGCCCAGAGCTCTGAAGACAGAAGATGAGTAGAGAAGGAGAGAAGGAGAGATGAGAGCGCGGATAGAGATGCCGATAAAGACAAAGGCAAGGTCAACGTAATAATCAACAGGCGTAACAGCAAGAAAGGAAGATACGATGCAAGGGAAACGGTGCTTAAACAGGAGTTTCTAAAATCCCCAGAAAATAAGTTTGGGAAACACTGGGCAAGGTATTTACAGACAAAAACATAATTTATCATGCACTGATACAATTGGAGATTTTGGGCTATTTTGCTTCCATAATTTGTCTTGTTTCAGACTAGTAGAAATAAAACATCCAAAAACACATTCAGGTAATTAAAAAAATACCATTAGATAGTGCCTCATTTGCATATATAAAACTAATGTAAGTAATCAAGTGAGGAAATGTCCTGGTGATATCGTTTCATTACTTTATTTACCCTGTTTTAAGTCTTGCAAAATATGTCATTTTACAGTAAAAGGCCGTTTTCTCAAAATGAGTTTTTTCTCAGACTCTGAACCAGAAGTCTCCACTTCAGCAGCTCCTACATCCACCAAACTTTCCACTTTCATTCCTCTCTATATTCTGAAGGTTTTTACAGAGAAGTTTGTTCTAAAAACACCGCAATTGTTTTTTTTTTTAATGGATGTTGAAAGTATTTTCTGATTTCTTATTCTGATCGAAAGTAAAAAACCTTGAATCTAATATATTCTTTCAGTCTTTGTGCTAAGCTAAACTAAACAGATTATTTATCAGATGTGAGAGTGCTGTCATTCTTCTTATCTAACTTTCGGCAAAAAAGACGCATGTCTCCCAAAATGACAAACCATTCCTTTTTGTCTGCAGAACGTAACCCCCCCCCCCCCCCCCCAAGGCTGCTAAACCCAACGTTCCCAGAAAACAAATCCAGGGCCTCTAAGTGGTCACAGTTGGGGTTCGCTACCTGTGTCCGAGACATTCTCCTTCTTCTCCTGTAACCGAGCCGAGCCAAGCGCGGCAAAGAGGAGACAGAGAGAGAGAGAGGGGGGGGGGGGAAAGCACGGATCAGAAAAAGGCAGAGTGGGAAATAAGGGGGAATAAAGATTTAGCAGTGGGAAGAGGCGCACAATAAGCACAGGCGCTCTCAGAAGAGGAGCCGAGAGAGGAGGCAACAAAGAGGCCAGTGCATTTTAATCCCCTCCACAAGAGAGGAAGAGATAAAAAGGAGGAGGGGGGGGTGGGTGGGGGTGGGGGGGGGAGTGGATTTAAAGGAGAAAAAAGCCAGCAATAAACTATAAGCATCACCATGCACATGAAGGCACATCGCGTGCATGTGCTGCAAGAAGCCCCCGCCAATTCCTCTGCTTCAGTCTGACAGGATTTACTAAATCATTCCCTTCTGAGTGTTGAACAGCAGTGCAGAGCAGCAAGCCAATCAAAAATGAGGTAAAGACAAGGGATGTTTATTTATTTTTCTTATTTGCATGTGTGTGTGTGTGTGAGTGTATGTTACCTGTATGTAGGAGAGTATGTCTGTGGTGAAGAGTGTGTGGCAGAATTGGGAAACAGGTCTGGACTTCCGAATGCGCACTGACCGAGCACATTGCATTCTGGGAAATATAATAATAATAAAATGCATAATGCCATTTTACATCTTACATGCAGTGATTTGCTAACTGTTATTATTAGTTACACTACACTTCACACCCCCCTCCCCCTCTTTCTCCAGAAATCAGCTTTTTTTTTGTTACATAATAGGAAGAATTGGCCAAAATGGCATTTGTGGTTCCAATTTGGGTAGTCTCTTCCTCTCCTCCTTGTCCTCTCTGCTACCTCCTTGTCTCTACACCTCTCTCAGTCACACTGGCTTTATTTCAAGCTACGTGAAGACACTGTTTACCTGGAGGGGTCACTGTCGACAGACTCAGCTGGAAGAAAGAGAGAGAAAACAGGCAAGAGAATGAGGTCTGGTTCAGGGTCAACAAGTCTGTCTACAGTTTGTTAAGATACGGCTCTGGTAGAGACCTGTCAATCACAGTAAGCCCGCCCTAAAGCATACTCTGCTTTATGGTCTATTTGACTCTAAATGGACCATAATTTAATAAATGAACATCATGCTGTATTGAAGAAGACTTGAAACTAGAGATTGAGACCATAAACTCATGTTTACAATGTTTACTGAGGTAATAAATCAAGAGAGAAGTAGAGTCATTTTCTCATAGACTTCTATACAATCAGACTTATCTTTACTGCTCAGTAGAGAGAATGCAAGTTTTAAGACACTTCCGCATCTGTTTCACTCGGCAGAACCGGAGGTTGGCGCCTGAAATGACAGAAGTCTGGGTCGTGGCTAAAGGTTACTAGCACAACAGACTCAAATCTCTGAACTGTTGGCCACACCAGTTGCATTGTAGGTAATGTAGGCACCAGACTTGCAAAACTTAAAAGAACGCTTTCTCCAGTTGTGCTGGAACGATTTTGATGTTTATTTTTTGAAACCGACGAGTCTGATGACATTATAGTGCAGTGCCACATCGGTGGAGTACACTGGCTTTATTTGTAAAAACCAATCACAGATTCAAACAGCGGCGACATGAGAAGACATTTGCCCAACCCGTCATCTATTGTATAGTATAAGAGCACCTTTCTGTATGGCATCTTGTAGAAGGTCGTGTTTGGCTTGAAGTTTGAAGGTCAGAGAACTGCTGATGAGGAAGTCTTTCACTTTCTGAGACAAAAAACAAAACAAAGTATTACAGATTCCCCTCGACTGCTTCAACACAGTTTCTGAAACTACGTTCAAATTCAACACTTTTTCATACATTTCATTTTTCCAAACATTTAACTCATGTGTTAAGCGTAAACACATGAATCAATCAGCAGCTCACCACCAACAAGATTATATTCCCCTCTATCATTGCTTAAAGGGTAACAGTATTTTTTCTACCTGGACCTTGGATTTTCTGGGGACTAATTGCGGCAAACAAGGATTCAAATTGGTCCGGTGTTGAGTGACAACGCTGCAGCCGCTAAACTGTCTGCAATGTAATCATATCGGGCAACTTCTCACCGTAGATGTACCAATGACTCATAATGGCTCATATTCTTATTCTAAGTGTCTTGACAACATTATGGAAAGAACCCTACGGAGAAATAAAACCGTTTTCTTCACCTTTTAGCTTGATCTGGTTTGTTTGTTATTGTGTCCAACAAAGTCTCTCTCAAGGAGAAGTCTTGTTCTGAAATCTCGCCTCACATCCACATTGTGGAAATCACACTAAATATTCAGCCATGATGTTGAAGATCTTTCAGATAACACTAAGCTACGCTCTCTGTTCTCCAACACAACAATCTCTGACAACACGGCACTCCCCTCTTCGACTCTCACAAACGTTTCCACCGTTGTCTCCCAGCAACAAGTCACATGACACCAGAACGAACAGACTCAATCAAGCGATAGGTAAAGAAAAACGCTTTTATTTGAGTGCAAGAAAACTGAAGAACTCTGGATTTGACAAACTCAAATGGTGTTTTGAGAATTCTAATTCTCATTCAAGGGTTGTGTCAAAGCAAATGAGAAATGAATCATTGTCAGGGTGGAACCCCATAGAAATGGTGTTAATACTATAAAAGGACATTTAAATGATCTCCCAACCCATGTCCACCTTTAGCCAACTGCAATGACTCACTGTAAAGTAGTAGGTCTCTGTCTCCTGCTGATTGGCTCGACGCTTGGCGAGGGCAAGTTTTGGGGCGGTGTTTCCTCCAGGCAGCTCATGCAATAGGCTGCTGGGCACGTCGGGGGAGGGGTTACAGTCGCTTTCACACATATTTTCCAGCAGGGCTGCGAGTGTGGCTTTCAGCGTTTTACTGACCTGAGAAAGGGAGAGAAATGTCGATTGCTTAAGTCAGTTAATTTGTTTCCTAGATACAACTTTTTCGTTAAGGTTCATGGCTGACGGATTTAAAAATAAAAAAAACAGGCGGTGAGAATAATTCTGCTGACCTCCTCTGTTTCCAAGGTAACGGCAGCGAGTCGAGACTGAAGCTGCTGGAACCTGGTCTCCAGCTCGTATCTCACCTGGCTCTCCGCACTCACCTCGCACACCTGAAATACAAAAACAAACATAAAATACTCTTCCAAGTTCAAACCACTGGGATGTTGTCCCGAGAGAGATGGGAGGTGCAAAGGCTGGGATTCATTTCTGGTCAACCTCACAAACACCAATGAGTTAGACAGGTTTTTGTGTGGGGTTGTAAAAAAATCAATATTACTTTAATTGTACGCTACATTTAGACTATTTTCAACACCTTGCCGCCAGACAACCCTCTGAACTGAAGCCGAAAGACTCCATTAAATAACAGTAAGTTTACCTCGCAGAACGTGGGAGTTGCTGGTGTAACGCTGGGTCGATCGGTCCGTTTGTTTGTGTAGTTGAGTGACTTTGGTGTTTTAAAGGATTAGTTCGGATGCACCAAAGTCACACAATAAGACAAACAAACTAACCAGTCGGGGCAGCGGCAGACCAGCAACTTCTGTGTTCTGCGAGGTAAAAATACCTGTTTTTGTCAATGAAGTCCGGCATAGATGATACAACGGCTTCAGTTCCACGTCGGAGAGTGCTGTCTGATGGCAAGTTAAAGCCATGAATACATTCTAAATATAGCTTACAGATATATTTATATAGCTTTTTTTCTTTTTAGGTGGTTTTAGTCTTCAGGTGGTTTTGCTGCGTCCCCTGTTTTCCCCTCCAGTCTGTGAGTGCTGCGCAGTAATTCTTTTTCTCCACCTGGTCTCCCTCGTGCGGATGGTAGCTGAATCTGAACGGCAGACAGAAGGCGGCGTCGTGTTGCTGCAGCAACGCATCTCTGTCTCCACCCTGGTCCAGGGACGTCACGGCAGCCTCCAGCTGCTTAAGACCCGTCTCCTCCGTCTTCTGGATGCGCCCCCTGCTGGTCAGGTAGCACTTCATCACCCTCTCCACGGACAGATGGAAACCCAGGTCGCAGCACTGCCAGGAGCAGGGGAGGAGGGAATGGAAGGGGGCGGTGAGGTAGGACGAAAAAGGGAGGAGGAAACGGGAATGGAGGGGAGGTAGGAGAGGAAGACAGGAAATGATGGAGAAGGGAGGTAAAAACAGAGAGGGAAAGGAGAGAAAGAATTGTTTTTAAATGTGGGATTGTGGGACAAAGAGAGAAACTATTCTTTCTCCCAATAAAAGATCTACTTTCTTCAGATAATAACAGGAGACAGTGGCACAAATGGGTAGCTCTAAACCACCAAATGGCACACACAGACAATCGCACAATGCAAATCTCATGTTTCTCACGTCGATGAGCGTGCTGATGTCCTGCAGGTAGTACTTGTTCATGGCTGCGTTGGCCGCTGCAAGATTCAGCAGGTAGTCGTTACGAGCCTTGGTGCACTTAAGCTGGTTCTCCTGCACTCTGCCGTGCCTCTGTGCACGCACAAACACACACGAGGAAAGTGAGAGAAGATAAGAACACAGACGACCACGACATGCCCCATCTCACTCATAAAACACGCCTAGAAGAGATATGCATTTACAGAAGTAAGTTACGTTTTTACACACTCAGACAAAACAACAGGAACAGGAAAGGGTTTGTTGTGTGGGAGAAAAAAAAAACCCAGTTCAAGACTTCCTGTGACTCACACACACATGCCAACACACACACACACACACACACACACACACACACACACACACACACACACACACACACACTCACTTTCTCCATCAATCTCTCCATCTTCTTGACGGAGCTCCGCCTCTGCCCTCCCAATGGGCCGGGGCCGAGCTCGGCTGACTTGCCGGTGTGTCTCTCCTCCAACCGCTCGGCTTCCTTCAGCTTCCCCTCGGCTGTCAGACAGTCCATGTGGTACAGGTTGTACGTCTTCAGAGCCTTCAGTAGCACACATAATGGAGACATCCACATCAGCATTGTATGCATTTTTCATTATAGCACGCAAAGACGACAATATCGACACGCTCACCGTCTGCATTTCAGTGGTGACCTTCAGCAGCTCATCCTGCATCTGGATGCCAACTTCTTTGCTCTGCAATGTAAAGAATATTTAAACACTTTTGAGACTTGCCAATTGCTATTATATTAAAGCACAGTTCAAAGTGTGAGCAGTGGTGATGAAATGTACGCATTAAACTCAAATCATATGGGATCTATTTCAATACTTTTACATTCAATAGTTAATACACTACTCAGCTACTGTCAGGTTGGGAATGACAATGACATGATTGGTTGCACGGACACTAGTGGCTCATGACTAGTGTCCCTCAATCGTATGCTGGCTACCCAATTTGGCATTCAGTCAGTCATCAATGTTGGACGTTTTGGGATGTACACATCTAAGCTTTATTGCGGAGAGTAAGATGAGAACATCGATGCAACTCTTGTGTGTTATGCGCAAAATACATAGGCTGTATATAAGAAGTGGACGTAGTCATTGTGACGTCACACATTGGTTTGTGGACTGCCGTTTTGAAGCCTTGAGTTCGCAGATTTTGACGTCGCCATCTTGGATTATGGCTTTTTTTTTTGTGCAACCAATAAACAGAAGTTCCCATATTTGGAATGCGGAGGAGTGATGTAGAGACGATGTACGGCTCTGGTAGTGGCAGCGACCTGTCAATCACAGTAAGCCCCGCCCTAAAGCATACTCTGCTTTATGGTCTGTTTGACTCTAAATGGACCATCATTTACTAAATGAACATCATGCTGTATTGAAGAAGACTTGAAACTAGAGATTGAGACCATAAACTCATGTTTACTGAGGTAATAAATCAAGAGAGAAGTAGAGTCATTTTCTCATAGACTTCTATACAACCAGAGGAGTCGCCCCCTGCTGGTCAGTAGAGAGAATGCAAGTTTAAGACACTTCCGCATCGGCTTCACTCGACAGAACTGAAGGTTGGCGCCTGGCTAGATATAATATTAAGCTTAATCAAGTGACATATTATCAGCTTTTATTAACAGTACTCAAAACTTTCTTTCTTGAGTTTTACTTTGAGTGAAGGGCGAGATAGAGGCGTTATCAGCATAATATACTTAAATTTACTTAACTTTGTCCAAGGTGGAGCTTTAAATTGTAATATGATGTTAGATAGTTTAGCGAATAATAATGCATTATATTTTACTTCTTACATTTTGTGAGCCAAATCTGAATCTGCAATGTAACCAGCAGTAGTTGTACATTGTAGTACAACATTGTTTTCCTCTGAGGTAGAAGTACACAGTAAGTACTGTAGTATAAAGGTAATAAGCATGTTGGTTATTTTTAAGGGCTTTGGAGGCTTTGGCTTTTTATTAAAGTTATTTTGGGGTAAAATGAGTTTGTGTAGTAACATCATTCAGGCAGCAACACCACAGGCTAAGAATTCAGCCCCTTCTGAACTGTCCTGTTTTAAACATCACTCAGTTGAATAACGATTATTTCATGTTTATTCTAATCAAGCCATCATCACTTGTGTTTGTACAACTGCATAGAACTACTTTGATGGTAGCAATAATAGAGAAGCTTGCTGTGCTTGGCGTCGGGCCTCTTAGCTGCTCTGAAATGACAGTTGTGGCTTAATTGATATTGTGCTCACTTTTCATCTATGAGAAGGCACAGAGTGTGTGTCTGACAACCAGTAATTTGAGTCAGATGAGTCTGTGTGCTGTATAAAATATTCGAGACTGCAGATGCCACTGCAGTACCGGGACAGATAAGAAGACTTCATTGAGTTCAGTTATGTGTCAACTTGTTATTTGAGTGTGCTATGTTACAAAATGAATGTGGCAGAAATCCATCTTAAACAATTTATGCATTGATATGCTTTGGCATAGAGGATATAGAGCTGATAGAGTAAAGTGTACAGTAAAGGACTTATTAAAGAAGAATCCTTACAACATAATTTTAACAGTTTCTAGCATGTGGGGCAGCCTATATGGCACTGCACCTTCTTTTCTCCACTGGAAGGGCAATTGATCATGTTTTTTCTTCTGTAAAGGCACCCTAAAGGTTACACAAATCATGTTTTCTCCACTGGAAGGGCAGAGGGCACTCCATCATGTTTTATCTACCATACACTTTTGCTGTGTTTCTTTTGAACAAGGCGAGCAGTTGACCTCAAAGGACAGGAGTAACAACCCTTCAAAATAGGTCTTGCATGTCTAGTGCGTCTGTTTCTGCGAGCATGTGGCCCTCCACCAAAGATCCACTCACCCGTTTGTGCAGACGGTGTGTATCCTCCGTGCTGTGAGCCAACCGCTGTGTGAGTGTGTTACAGCAGGTGTCACCCAGCGCTGCATGTTCCCGGCTCTCCAGACGAGTCTGAGTCAGCAAAACAGACCAGACCTGACACACTGACTGACCCCACTGCTCCTTCCTGCAGAAAAACAGACGACCTTGCTGAATTACAGCTTAATGAAACACTTTAAGAATCACCTGAGGAATAGAAGAGACACATCCACACTCCCTCACATACTGTGGACACGCTTACTTCTTGGTCTTGTGGGTGAATCGCTCGGTGAGTTTGTCAAGGGCGCGCGCGTATTCAGCCTCGATGTCGCCTCGGCGCCGGAGAAACTCAGAGAGGTCTGAGAGCTGCTGCTGTTTCACCTCCACCTGGGAGTCTAAAATCTTTATCTGGTCTGTCAGCTGAGCCCGCAGGTCTGATACAGACAGGGACAGACAGAGATGGACAGACAGAGAGAGACACGTGGAGAGAAAGAGGACAGTTATTCAAGTAAATGTGTTTATAACCCTGGAGACATTCTGAAATTTAACGATAAAGCAAGGAATCTCTGTCAGTCTGTCTGTGTGTCCTTCGCGTGTCACGAGAACTTGTTCATCCGATTTACTTCACACTTGGCAGGTGTACAGATGGGGACCAAAGGGAGTGCCGTTGCGAATGTGGACTCAGGACACGTTCGATATTAATAAACATTGGATAAACAAGCGAACGGCCCTCTGTTCAGCAGTAGGGGGGCGGAGCTTCAGAGCTCTGCAGACTGGTGCCTGAGTCTAGCATGTCGTCTGCAGAGGGGCTGACTTACTTTCCCCGCACTTCCTTTTGCTGCTGGATGCTGGATGCTGGACAACGCCTGCCAACGCTACATGGATGCTAACGTTACAATCGGACTCTTCTTCACTTCAATGAAGTGAAGAAGAGCGTATAGCCAACTGGAAGCAGAATGGAACCCGACTGTATTCCACCAGTGTGAGACTTGATACAAACTAATAACAATAATGATGTAACCCGAGAGTGAAATACCCTCGCTAATTAAATCCACGCTCTACTTTATAACGGTGGTGGTTGAGTCAAAACAACGGCCCCTATATGCAAGGAACGTAACATGTCAAACAAATGACATAAGTATTGCCATGAAACTGTTTCGCCTGCTGGTTTTTGGACATCACAATAGAAACAATACAGCAAAAATATAATCAATAGACATTTTTATATCATATCACATCGCCAAGCACTAATGGCGGTGCAACACGGCGGACTCCATGGAAGAGAACCTGCTCCCTCTGTAGATGTGAAGGGAACATCCTAAGCTAACGGACACGATTCATAGCTTTAGGTCATTATAAACTAATGAAAACAGAGTTGTGAATATTATATTGCATTTCTGCCGATAGATTCCCCTAAATTCTACACACTGGATCTTCAAGTAGGATTTTGAATGTGGGACTTTCTACTCAGAATCTGAGTGCTTCTATCACCAATCCTCATTGGGAGTTGGGATTTTATGACACACGCGGATATGCATGAATATGTATGGAACCCCGGGGTGTGTATTTTCCGTCTGGCTTGTTAAAAATATGAAAAAAAGAGTCATGCATATCACACCTGCTCCTTCTCGCAGACATAAGGCGCCTGCATAAAGTCTACAAATGAAACACGTGCAGACAGCACATGACTCCCGCTGCTGTGTTTCTACACCTGTGGGAAAAACAACGGCGCCTGGGGACACTCATGGATCCATGAGGGAACAGATCATTTGCGCAGCAATTTATCTAATGAGTAGTTATTGTTAGAAGTATTAGAAGAAAATACGACAATGTCTTTTCTAATACCACATTTTCCAAGCAGGGAATGAGAGTTCATAAAACGCCGTCCGTGCTGTCATTTGCTACCGATTTACTGAGACGGCAACGTATAGATTTAGTACGCACAGCTTGTAACAACCCAAGTATACATGCGTGCGCACTTGTGTGTATAACACGAGGCCATGCATTGTACACACAAGCTTAAACGCATCCAACCCGCTGCACTTTGGTTTGAAAAGGCCAATACAAACATCGCTCTCTCAAATAACCCCGCCTTCGCTTTGCTCTCTCTCTCTTCTTCTTCTCTTACCTGTTCTTGGCCTCTCTCGTTCTTTTCTTTCCTCGCTCACCCAGCTCCCCCAGCTCCCCGGCCCACCCAGCTCTCCTCGCGCTCCCTCTCTCTTTCCTATTTACTCGTCTTCTCCCGTCTCTGTGTGAGCACACGGCCCGGGGCTGACTGGATGTGAGGAGACAGCATCACTAATACTGGCTATAAATACACCCTTGTAGTACAGTAAAGAGAGCCGCCCGGCCACGGCATGCACCCTACAAAAACACACACACACACACACACACACACACACACACAGACACTGCTGTTGTCATGTGAAAAATCCTGTAACGCCAACATCGGTCACGCTCATGTTTTTTACTGTGATTGAGGTACGCTGCTCTCTCCTGTTGGCTTCTAGAGACTCTGCGTGGATCCTCATCCAGCTCCGGATGAGGGGGGGTATTTGGTTTGTGACGATGTGCATTTTCGTCCATACATGCAAACATGGGGCACGAATACGTTCAGTGAGAGTCCAGGGCTCAGCGAGCGTGCGGAGCAGCTGCAAACACTCATGCATGCTATTTTGTCATGCATTCATGCATGTAGGTGTGTGTGCAATAAAGGGCACGGACGAAAACACAGAGACACACACACTCTCACCTTTCATCTGCGACTCGTACTCGGCCAGGCTGCCCTTCTCCCTCCTCAGCTTCACATGTGATGTCATCATCTTCGACCCCCGGATGGTCCCCTGTCACTGATGAGACCTTCCTCCCCCGATGTCCCGGTTCCCCTCGTCGTCTCCCCTCCCGCCTGCTCCGGCTCTGTCCGTCTGCGACCTTTTTCACCCCTGACCCCCCTCGGCCCTTCGCTGCTCTACGGCTGCGTGCGGCGCATCGGCGTTGGTGTCGCCTGGCTGTGCTCCGCAGGGATGTCGGTCGGGTCGATGCGCTTGTGGAATCCCTTAGGTTTCTGGCGGGGATGCTGATCCACAGGTGAACTGGCCTGAGCAGCAGACAGAGGGTTAGAAGACGAGGGGGTGAGGAAGGATGAGAAGAATACAGCAGAGGGTTGACCAGAGTGGGAAAATGAGAGAGCCAGGTGGGGGGGGGGATGAGGCCAGGACGACGAGACTGAAAGGGAAAGTGACACCAGAGAAGAGAGGTTTAATAGGAGGGACAGCACCAAATGGACAGTAAGAGGGCAACATGATGTGGATGTGAGGGAAGGAAGGGTGGGGGATGGGAAGATGAGAGGTGATGAGTAACAGCAGTAGTGAAGGATATTCAACGCTTCGAGGGGTCGGGGGTTTGCGACGTCCATTACGGTAATCTTCAAATACACGAGCAAATGTCTCCAATTATGCTTTTTTACACAAACTGTACCAAGGTCAAAGAGTCACAGTAGGATGTCGTAAAGCCTCTTGTGTGACCCATGTAAGACTGGCCTGTGATCAACGTTGGGTCCTGACTTTCTTGATGTAATAACAGTTTTTCACAGGTGCTTTGTGTTTCTCACGGTTCGGATCCTATCACGGATCAACACAAAAGAAAAAAGGGAGAAAATATAACTTCTAGAGATCCTGATTTTTGCCGCTGATACTAATTGATGATCATTGATGATCCATATTAACACTGACAAAGAATAAAAGTAATTATATTTTGAAAGAATTTTACAAGCTACAGCCTTCTCCGACTAAGTGGTCCACGCAGACAAAAAAACAACGCTGGGAAACTGGATTGAAGAGGAGGAATTTAAACAAACTACAGCCTGGCCTGGGTCTTGCCCAATCGGGTTCAGGAAGAAAAATAAAGTTTTTACTTTGATGATCTCCTCAACAGTTACTCAACATAGAAACATGCAAGATTATCCGACAATGTAATCATCCCATAAATTTACGCTATGGCCGCCAGTTTTAATTATTTAAACTTTGTTTCATGGCGGATGGGTCGGAATACTACAATACCCATGAGCCTCAGCCTCTGTTGCTATGGACAAGAAGACAGTAAATGGCGAGATTCAGAGCTGTTGCGAATCTAAAACACTTTGTCGACGCAGTTGTGAACTTAACATTGCCAAATTGTCATCTACAGAACAGTTTTTAAATGTACTCCCATTTTACATGTCTGTCTTACTTCCTTTGAACATCTTGGTTTTATAGTAAACTCTAAAGATCCAGTGATCATTTTATTAATCTACAGACCGCCCAGACCCACCTAACAGTGTTTTTATCCAAGAATTTGGTGAGTTACTATCCCATTTTACATCAAAGTATGACAAAATTCTTATTTTAGGTGATTTTAACATACATGTCTGCTGCCCTTCACAGACTTTCGTCACTGATTTTATGGATATGCTGGAATCTTTTGAGCTCACTCAGGCTGTACAGGAGCCCACACACTCAAAGGGTCACGCCCTCGACCTGGTTATTTACCATGGTCTCAGCCCTTACAACTTTGAGATGAAGGATATCTGTGTGTCTGATCACAAAGCCGTTTTATTCAATGTGGTTTTATTCCATCCTCGACCAGTTATTCATACTTCACATGGTTTTTAACTCTATGTCTGCAAGCATGTTCTCTAAGCATTTTACCATGGCTTTTTGAACTGCCTTTAATCCTCATTATACAGTAACTTAGAGGAGCTGGTCTTTTTGATCAAACCTGTCAGACTGTCCTGGACTCTGTTGCCCCCCTGAAAGACAAAAGGTCAGATATAACACCCCAGCCCTAGCTAAAGGAAACCACCCGTGATTTAAAGAGAGGCTGTAGGAGAAAGGAACGAAAATGGAAAAAAATGTATTTTATGAGAGTTGGCAAGATGCAATGAAGCAAGAACTTCCTTCTTCTCCAACTTAATTTTAGCAAATCACTCGAATCTGAGAATTCTATAATGAACTCAGTGGTCACCCCCTCCTCCCGTCATTTTACTGATGCCTCACAAGAGATGTCTGAGCAGTTTTTAAACTTTTTTACAAATAGAGTCAAGGACATCAGGCAACGAATTCTTTTTATATCTACACAGTCTAGACTTTTTATCAAAGAACCGGGTATGTTGTACCATATTTGTTCATCTTTGGCACTGACTCTGTGTTCAGACTACTCTACATGGCAAACCTTGAGGCAGCGTAACTGCATATAAAATCAACAGAAATATAGAATTGGATAAGAATACTCCAGGAAGTGACAGTGAAGACACATCCATGCAAATTACAAATGTTTCAAACTTGAGCGCCAAAATGTGCGTGTGTCCCTGGTCTTTATAAAAGTACAGAGGCAAGAGGACAAAGGAGAGACCGGAGCGATATAACAACAAGTTTGCGTTCAGCCACAGACACGGCCGAGGCCTCTGCTAGCTAGCTTACAGTTAGCATCTGAAGAGTTGGTATGTAACATTGTCTGGGGAGAAAATTAATGGGACTTTTATTACCCGAACAAGGGGCGCCCAACACTGCTCTGTGCACTTCACAACTCTATTGGAGCTTTAAATGTACAACTTTGACAATCAATTCAAAAGACATTGGTGTTTACCAGGCAGAGTGTGTGTAATGACAGTAGGCATTCAGATCCATTATGGGAAGTGTAGGCTCAAGAACTTGTGGGACACAAATAAGGACGAATGAGGATATCTTGGCCTCTGCTGCGTCAATTTCAACTGTTCTTTTTTTTTAAAATCTATCTAACGCATTCATTATATGATCATTATAAATCATCGGAGTAGCCTTTTAAAAGGCAGAGTATGCCATCTTTTAAATGACTTAAACAGTTTGGATGCTGTTAAGTGAGAGAGTTAGCTTTGTGAGACAATAAAAACATCTGTGTGCAGTGGATAGTGAAAGCCAAGCCAGCCTACATTTATAAAGATTTAGCAAATCAGTCCTACACATGACTAAATGCTTACATCGCACTAGACATAGGCATTTGCATGGTTGTGTATTAGTCAGCGTAAACTGTACTGAAAAGGGGACTTCACACACACACACACACACACACACGCACACACACTGTGTCTTGCTTTTTAGTTTCACACAGGCAGGCAAGTGCAAGTACACACACACTCTCACACACACACACACACACACACACACACACACACACAGACAGACAGAGGCAACTTCATGTCCCACATCCTGTGTCAGTTTCTCAACGGGTTGTCTCAAAGTGTGTCGCTTTCACTGGAAACTTTGTTCCTCAATCAGCCTCTGGGGTTAAAACCCACAACGGTAGCTGAAGTGAAACACACTCACTCCAACGTCAGCCAGATTTAATGTGGCCTAACAGGGTCTCCTGTATAAGCCTTGGCGCGGCGGGAAAAATGTGATATTGTGGATGGAGGTTTGAAAGCATGAGGGCATTGTTTTAACAGCTCTATACCGGCAGAAAGCTGCTGCATGTATCGGTTTCATCGTAACTAAAGTCTTTCACTCAGAACTACTCAGGTGCTGCCATTGCTGCAATTGAATACCTGTCATTTCCTCTTCCAAAACGCTGTGCGGTGGATGTGGTGCAAACACACTGTTCAGTGACGGTTTCAGAACTACGAGCAAATAGAGAAGTGCATGTTCGGAGATGTTTCCGAAAATGAGACTGTGAGACCTCGGAGGCTTCGGAGGCCTTCATCAGCGTGCGACCTTAATCTGCGCAGAACAAAGCGAATGTAAATGATCTGAGGAGCGAGAGGAGGGGGTTGTGAGAGCTTTAGCGAAATATCGGGGGAAAAGGCTGATTGAGGGGGGGGGCAAAAAGGGCAACGGGGGCAGAGAGATGGAGGTTATCTGGGAACAGTGTTCCATACTTAAAAGTCAAGGGCATTGACTGAAAGAGGAGGTCGTGTGGCGCACAAATTGAATACAAAGTAGATTGACGACAAGTGCGATGGATCCGTATTGCTGCTAAGGGGATTTTCTGCTAATTTCCTCTGAAGGAAAAAAAATGGAGCACGAAGCCGCAGTAGCACAATTGGGATATTGTGTTTGATGTTATGACCGATATCATATGGGGATTTCCAACCACACTGTGCTACGCTGAGCCGGTCAACATACAAGACGTTATCTTGCATCATGTGTTTTGCAGAAATGCTTTTTTTCCCCTTCCAAATTCTTACAGCTGCATTGTTTCTCAACAGCTGGGAATAAAACTGTCCCCGATCCCTGCGAACCACGGGTCAAAGCCCAACCGTTGCTAACATATGGGTGTCAATGGGACCCTCGGCCAGATGATCTCACTTCCTGGAAAGTTGTACTTTTGGGGAAACGGTGAGCTGTGACAGCACGCACACAGGCTCATCCTTATCGGTGCGGTGCGATCGCAGATTAAGCGCTGAAATGTTAAAAAGGGGTGCGTGAGAGTGTTGAGCATGATCCCCCGTGCTGTGAGATGTACTACAGCAATACGTTCACTGCTCTGAACACAAGTCAGGTAGAGTCAGGTGTGACACTCGTCTAACCGATGGACTGATTGGAGAGGCTCTTACAGACTAAAACACCACTGGGAGAAGATGCGTGTTGCCATCAGGGAGATAAACAACAGGTGGAAGAACACAATGAAGTAGGATAGGATAGATGTCATCGGAGGACTACTGAAAACAAAATGGCTTTAAACAATCAAGCAAACAAGAAAATAAATGAATGAAAGAACTAGAAGGGCACAGACCTCTGCCAGGGCACAAATAATGTGTGTATATGCCTTGGCTGCACAAGTAGAAATATATAAAAAGGAGTAGAACGGACATTGAACTGTCTTCAATGGTCGTTAGACTAGAACTAAAGAAAATGGCGATTGCTGTTAGTTGTTATGGTGACAACGCACGTCAGTGGGGCCATAAAGGGTTGTCGCAGATCGCCGGGTGGCTGGCTAGTTAGCTAGGTAGCTTGACCTTCTCCGGAGCGATTGGGGAGCGAGGTGAAGGGACCGTGCCACTGGCTACCAGCCTGCTGTTCGGCTTGTTTTCTGTAATGAGAGCTGCATTAAAGCATGGTGGAATTAACACGCTAGCTAGCTGACTAGCGGACAACTGGCTAGTTAGCTAGCTAGCTTGCTAATTCTACGATACTTAAATGACATATTGGTTACAGAAAATGAGCTGAACAAAGTTGTCACTCATCCGGTGATAGCAATGATAGCTTTCCTATGCTGTGACAAGAGTGTGGAGCATTAAGTTGTTAAACTTTAAAAATGGCTGCCACTCTGACCATCCTACAACATTGATTTGAATGGGAATGTCCCTTCTACTCCTACCCTATATCTTTGGCTACACCCTCCCAACACGTTTCATGAACATTAGGCCAGTAGTTTTTCAATATTCCTGCTGGCAAAAAGACAAACCAACGAACCAAACTGAAAACATAAGCTTCATTATGATGCATACTGTATGTGCACTGTTATCCTGTTGTGGGGGAGTTTACTGTAGGTGTAGCACCGACATGAAGTGTAATGGAATTAGCTTTAATAACAAGCGGCAGACCAGACCTGTGCTGTCAAAAGTCACAGCTTACAGCAGCTTGTGATCTACAGAACTCATTATGACGTGTAGAGCAACAGCATCTGTCATGTCCTTTGTTTTCTTTTTTAATTATGTTATCTGGATGGATATACAGTGTCTGGCAATACTGTTGTAGGTCCCTACAGCGAAAGCTATAGCTCATTGTCAAGTTCATACTTGTATTTGGGGTTTCTACAAGAACATGTTTACGTGCTTTATTGTTCAAAAAACACATTATTTTTCTCATCCTGTCGGTCTGACTATACCTGCATTCACTCTTTGTCTGAAACGCTCTGTTTTAGCGCCTGTTTCTTTAAGATCCCATCACAAAAAAAGCTCAGTATGCTCCGATTGGCGATTGGAAAAATGAGACCGGTTATTTTCTCGTTAGTGATGTTGGTGTTTTTCCAAAACATAACTAAAAGGCTTTGCTGCTTGAACCTAACTAAGTGGTTTTGTTGCCTAAACCTAAGTTTACGTACTTATTTTAAGCCCAACCATGATGTTTTTCCTTAACCTAACCAAAAGGTGTTTGTTTGAATTCACAACGTTAACGCACGTGTTTACTGTGACCGTGCGTTAGAAAGCGACCCTGACACAGCTTCAGTATGCGACGAGTTGGAACGAGAACATGTTGATTACACACAACCGATCACATTCTAACGCCACTGCAAAACACCGATTCTGATCCACTTTGAAACCTCAGGAACTGAATCGTCAGCTCCTTCGTCGGCTGCCAGGCTGCAAAGCAAATCTGAAAAACCAGCTCACACAGCCAACAGGTAAATCCCGTGAGATTTGAGGCCGATGCAAAATTAGCCACGCAAAGTGGCTAAATCCAAACTCGTCACACCATTGATAAAAGTTTGCTTCTCACCAAATTCTCTCTGCAGTCTTCTACATCCTTCTCAGCTGCCGCCATAACAAAACAGGAAACCATATTGTTGCATGCTGCCACAGGTATTTTTACCCGCGGACCAACTGCAGATAATTACTCTGTACCTGCAAATCTCACAGAAAGTCTTCAGCTTAGTCCCGGTTTCCTTCAGTGCCAAAACCCACACATACACACACACACACACACAGACTGCTTTCAAGGTGGCAACGTAATGCATCACATTAAAGAGAAGTGTGGCCACCAGCGACGTGACATTTACAAAGAAAAATGGTGGGATTTAATAGTATTTGGCATTGTGGTTGATAAGGTGCCTTTCAGATTCTGGCATGCTATTTAATTGCAATGGCACTGAGGGCAGTTTGTAACGGACAGACTACAAAAAAAATGGATGTAGAGGATCATTTACGGGTAATGTTTGCAGAATGCATACCTGTGCGTCCTGGCGGAGAGCATGAATGAGGGGAAAAAAAAGAGACGAATGAAAAAAAGTCTCGGACAGTCGGGCGCTGTGAGGGTCCGAGGGGCCGCCAGGTTGGCCACATCCGGGTCCACATGCCCTGCTGAAACCTCCACCTCTCCACCAGCACTTTCCCCTGGACAGCGCTCAGTGGAGGTCAATTCAGATGCTGTTCTACTGCCAACTCTGATCCCAGCTCCTACTGTACTACAGGACGTATGAGTGAATCCTGTAATATCTTAATTCATTCTATTTTATGCTACTCCATACTTTTACTCCACTACACATATCTGATCTCTTTAGTTGCCAGTTACTTGATACTGATTAAAATGACATTAAAATGATGTTCACACACATTAATGCATCAATGGCTATAAAGAAATAATATACATTACTCTGACATGGACCATTCTACATGATGAGTACTTTCACTTTAGGCAGTTAAGAGTATATTTTGATATTACGTATGTTCTTATTTTGGCAAAGATGTTTGTGGTGTTTCTACACACAGTGTTATTTCTGTTTTTTACTGAAGTAAAAGAAGTTACAGGATGAAAAGAAATGTCATATCTCTGCTCGTGTTGTTTCAAATGTCATGTTTAAAGGAACACGTTAACAACAAAATGACCTTTTATACATTATGTTATCTTTGATTTTGAAGAAAACCTTTTTCTCGCATGCCTCCATGAGCTTGAAGTTTATGTTATTTGAAACACTTTGGACTCTTGCGGCTGTTTGATGAGAAGTGTTTTTAAATTGTAAGGTTTCAGCGAAGATGCAGGTGTTTGAGAAGTAAGGGAGACACCTGCTTTACGGATAAACCAGTGTTAGATTCAGATCAGAATCTGCATCGCTTCATGCACCTCAATGCATGTGCAGGGTCAAACAAAGAAAAGAAACAAATACACACTTTTGCTCCTCGCTGGTACAAAGAGGATTCTGCCTCTTTTGTTGGCTATTTTTCAATTTGAGGAGTTTGTGTAAAAAAACAACTGGTTTCTCTGTTGTTTTGATGCAGCGGGGGCTGTGTGAGCTTAGGGGGGTCTGCATGGTGGACCCTGAGACGGGACTTGTTTTTCTGTAAAAAGTACACTATAACCTGTGAGCTGCATTTTCTATGATTAAAATCCAGTACGCTCACAATCTAAGCACCAGTATAGGTTTAAAATAACGAAAGTCACAGAGAGCTTTCACAATGACCAGGATGCTGTGTCACATTACCATCGCAGTGTGTTGCTAAAACCAACGGCACAAAGGAGACTCTGCTCTTCATTATGTTGTATAATAAGGGAACGTGAATTAGCTGTCAGTGGTGTTCAGGGGTGGTTGAGTTATACACCAGTAAACCACCCCATATGGTCAAGGCGCTCCACACAATGGCCACGCAAAACACCACAGCATGTAAACACACACACACACGCACACACACACACACACACACACACACACACACACAGCATCAACACTAAAAATGGTGCACACATATTACATAATTGATAACAGTCTGCATCCATTTGTCCACTTAGACCCCCCCCACACACACACACAAGTGAACACAACGCGCCTTTAAAAAACTATATATAAACACAGAGACTAGCATGCACTAGCATGCGCACACTTTTACACACGCGCATATACACCCTGTAGGCTACACGAACACACAGGTTGTTATTGGATTCACGAGCAGCGTGGCAGCCGTACGTACCTCACTTTGTGCTCCTCTGCTGTCTCTTTCTATCTGTTCCTCCTCCTCTCCTCTCCTCTCATCCCTCCGTCTCTCTCTCTCTCTCTCTCTCTCTCTCTCCCTCTCTCTCTCTGTCACACACACATACAGACACGCGCACAGAGAGAGCAGTGTGTTTGAATCTGACAGATTTCTCTCAGCTCAGTACCCTCCCTCTCGCTCTCTCTCATTTCTCAGGCAAACACACACAAACACTCAAAAACAGCCCTCCCTCCCGTCTTTCTTCCCTCTCCTGCCAAATAGCCTCCCCTCTCTCTCTCTGTCTCTCTCTCTCGCTCTCTCCTCCCCTATCCCTCCCTCTCCGCCTCGTGGAGCAGCAGTGCGAGAGCCGCGGCCCAAGCCACGCCCCCCTGCTCTCCCCTCTCCTCGGGCGGCTATAAATACCGCTGCTGCTATGAATACACTGCCTTTTCTCCCTCAGCATCCCTCGCTCCTGCTCTCCCTACCTCGCTCCAGTCTTCCATCTCTCTCTCTCTCTCTCTCTCTCTCTCTCAATGTTTTTCTGATGACCTTGTATTCTTCGCCCCCTTTACAATACCATCACATGACAGCATCCTGCGAGGTGCAACCGTTGCCATGCATGCGCACACGCACACAGACCCGCATCTAAACACAACCATAGAAGTGTTTTTTCGTTGATAACCGGTCTCCTATCTGCTTCCTGTCTGTTGAGCCGGATGTGGTGCATCTTTTATTTTTTTTTACCTTTTGACAGCTGTGAAGAAAAACACACTGATCGAGAGACAGGCGTTCAGTCACTCCTTCACCAATGAATCCGACCTGCATCACTCATTCTATCAACACCTGCTGCTGCTGAGATGAATGACGGATGTACCTGTCCCTGTTAAGTCTATAACAAAGCTATTATATAATAATAAGCTGAATATTAGGTACATTCTGCATCCCATTTATCAGACACGGAGGGCTGATTTGTCACACTGAATGTAAGTGCAATGGATCAAATATAAACCCTGTGTTTTGCATGTATTATATGCAACATGTCGGGTTGATTCACCTGCAACAAGAACAAAAAACAGTGTATAGATTGTACATTGTACGCTAACAGTAGTTCTGATGAACATTAGGCAGCGTCGTGTCTCTGCTCTTTGCTCACTGCCAGGCTATATTGCCCGGGAATGAGGTTAGGAACATCTGGTGCAGGCGTGTATATGCACACCAAGGGTGCACTTAAAACGGAATCAAATCTTCGCCCACAGGCCGTATTGTATGTCACGGACGTAATTAATCCTCGGATTGCACGGGGCGCCGCCGCCAATATAGCTTCATAAATGGAACCGAGCAGCACAGAGACGGACCTCAAGCTGATTTAAAAGGAGCGCTGCCCTCTTTTGATCTTGGTTCTTGAGGACCACCATGAGATGCTCGTGCATTACCTACAAGGTAGCACAGTAACGCAATGTCTAATGGTTCTGCTCGCTTTTTATTGTTGCCTGCTGTTTTGCATCGAATTCCCTACTGGAATCATCAAAATGTAATTAAAGTGTTGATTAGGTTGTTATGGTTCCTTCCACCTCATTTCAGTTTTTTTTAGTTTTTTTTAAAAATCAGCAACAGGAATGAAAATGATGGTAAAAAAAGTTTTATTTGCATTAATGGTGGAGCAAACAGTTTGATGCGTGAGGCGGTTACGAGTCACCCAGTGTGTGTGGATTGTGATGTGCCAAACTGCGATCTGCGTGCTTGAGTGGATGTGCTGGTGGTGCACGTGCAGGTGGTGTTTCAAAGCAACTTCCTCTTCGCCTCCGCCGACGCGAGGGCGGCCCGCAGCTCCTCTGCGGCGCGCACCTGTATCGCCAGCGAGCACGCGATGGCCTCCCGCAGCTCCTCCGGGGCGATTAGGTGGAGGCGCAGCAAGGTGTCGGCCAGCTGGGAGCGGGCGTTGCCGACGAAGGAGTGCGAAAAGAACGGCGCGAGGCCTCCCCCGTCTTCCATGGTGTAGAGAGGGACTCGGACCATCCCTAGAACCTGCAGAGAGAGAGAGACAACAGGTGATGAGGAGCATGAGATCAGATTAATGGCTGCAATCGGTGATTCTAGAAGGAAAAGGACACGCACGCGCGCCCACTACCTCCTGTCCGTGATCCATTGCCGTGGTCACGGCGGCTCTCTCTAACTCCCTAATCTGCTCCTCCTCCATCTTCTTTGCGTAGAAGTGAGTGATGACACGGGGGGAGGAGGAGGAAGAGGAGGAAGCAGGGGCGTAGCACGAGTCCACGTGATCTTCCTCCAGTATAGGAAGAGCCATGCCCAGCTCCTCCGACAATTCCCTGGTGAGCCCCGCCTCCAGGGACTCCTCCGAAAGGTTGACGAACCTGCGGCGTGGGAGTGCGGGGTCAAAGGTCGGGATCAGAGATGAAAGTCGACAAATGATGTCAGCTGCATTGCTCCTCAGAGACTCCTCGGGCTGATTAAAAAGCTCATTCAATTTTAAAAACACAAAACGAGTTGGCTGAGGTGGTGCTGAACCTCGAGTCACGAGAACGACGCCACATCTCAACGGCGTCGTCAAGTTATTCTTTTGGGGGGGATTCTGTCAGAATTTCCCTCATGGGCTCGTGTATGAATGGCAGCCAGGGATCGACATTCAGGGAAATCTGTACTGGAAGACACTTTTGTGTGGAGCGAGCGAACGAATCACGACTCTGCTGGCAACATATTTTAATCCGCGACTTGTTTATGGTTTATTTGTGCCAATGCTTTCGTGGGTGACTTTGACTCGTCTCGCAAACTTGTAGAATACAGCTTACAGCACTTCTTGTTCTTGAAAATAATAAGAGAAGTCTTCCGCCGTGTACACATACCGACTCCAACCAACGCCGCCTGCAGTCCCCACAACCAGACGAACGAGGGAGCGGGCTCCATATCGCAGTCTTACCACAGCAACTTAATGAACTTAATGATACTATTCGGCTGCGTCCGAATAGTATTTTTGGCTTCGGAAGGTTCCTAACTGAGTGAAATAACCCAGAAGTACCTGAGTTGTAGCCAGGCGGCAACCTCCGGTTCTACCGAGTGAAGTCAATGCGGAAATGTCTTAAAACTTTCTCTCTACTGACCGGTTGCAAAAAGAAGTCTGATTGTATAGAAGTCTATGAAAAAATGACACTACTTCTCACTTGATTTATTAAGTCAGTAAACATTGTAAACATGAGTTTACAATGTTACTCTAGTTTCTTAGTCTTAAAAAGTAGGGTGTGAACCAGAGCCTTCAGTTATCAAGCTCCTCTTCTGTGGAACCAACTTACGGTTTCAGTCCGGGGGGCAGACACACTCACCACATTTAAGAGTAGGCTTAAAACTTTCCTTTTTGATAACGCTTGTAGTTTGGGCTGGCTCAGGTTTATAGTTAGGACTGGCTCGGGTTTATAGTTAGGACTGGCTCAGGTTTATAGTTAGGACTGGCTCGGGTTTATAGTTAGGACTGGCTCGG